ACATTGTGGAAATGAAGGTGGGCATGGTCACACCAGTGTGAACGCGCTCAGTGCCCTAACTGGTTGGGTCAGAATGGGGAAGAGGGTGGCTGCGCTCAAGTTCCATCCCTGGTCGGGGAACTGAGTTGTCCTGTGAGATGTGTGGTGTTTCCAAAATTAAAAAAAAAAAAAATGGATAAGATGGTAAGTCTTCTGCTATGTGTGTTTTATCACCACTTTAAAAGTTTTTTAAGAAAAACAGATGGTGGGAAAATAATTTGGGGAGCAAGTAAGAATTTTTGTAGAATCCTGTGCATTTAAACCTAACAAGCTTCTAACCTAATTTTTTCCCTTGGAATTTCAGGTCACAAGAGGAACAGATTACAAATGCTATTGATAAACTTTTTGTGTTGTTTGGGGCAGAAATACTGAAGAAAATTCCAGGCCGCGTATCCACGGAAGTGGACGCAAGGTAAGGACGCAGGGCTGACGGGTGAGGGGTCAGGAGCAGCAGCTGCTGTTGTTCGCGGCTCCCCACATGGCCACGCGCTGCTCTGGGCACCTGGTCTCCGCCCTGCGTCTGCGTCGGTCCCCTCAGCCGCTGCAAGCCGGGCACCCCGTCCCCCGCAGGCTCTCCTTTGATAAGGATGCGATGGTGGCCCGTGCCCGGCGCCTCATCGAGCTATACAAGGAGGCCGGGGTCAGCAAGGAGCGGATCCTGATAAAGCTGTCGTCCACCTGGGAAGGAATTCAGGCTGGAAAGTAAGTGTCCCGTGAGTGGGGAGCTGCTGGGGCCTCTGCCTGTCCCGGGTGGGCCTCTAGGGCAGCGGGCCTGCGCGGTGCTGCTAGCCGAGGACAAGTGGGAGTCGGCTCCCCCCAAGCACGCTGGGCGAGGAGGAGGCAGGCAGGCGTGGACAGGATGCTGCCCTGGCACCCAGGCTTGGCTGTCCTAGGAGCGCCTGTGCACCCCCAGGGGTCCCTGTGTTATTACGGCCCCGCAGCCTTCTGCCTCGGTGCTTCCGAGGGACGGGATTGCACCGCACGTGGCCTTCATGTGTGGCTTCCCTTGCTTGGCTCGTGTTCCAGGTTCACGTGCGCCACGCCTGTACTGGAGCTGCGTCCCCCTTAAGGAGGTCTCCCTGTGTGTGTACAGTGCACCTTCCAGGCACATCCTCCTGGGGCACATGGCTGCCTTTGTCGGGTAATGCTGTGTGTGCACACACCAGTGATGGAGTTGTTGGCTCGGTGCTCGTGGCATTGGCCGCCGAGGCATCCCTGTGCCCTCGAGGCTGTGCTTCTTGACCGCTTCCCTGTGGCCCGGCGGCAGGGTGCCTCTGAAACCATCTGCTGGGACAGGAACTCGGCTGGCAGATGGTAGAGCGTGGCCAGGCCCCCTTCTCATGGTTGGCCCTGACGTGTCATCTGGGGGACAGGCTTTCTGCAGGCTGACCCAGAGGGCAGGTGGGGGCCGTGGGGCCAGTGAGGCTGTGGGATTGAGGCAGGATGGTGCTGTGGTTGGAGCCGACTCCGTGATCTCCAGCCCAGAGATTCCTTTTTTTATCGGCTGTGCTGGGTCTTCACGGCTACCTGGCTTTTCTCCAGGTGGGAGGGTGGGGGCTTCTCATTGTGGTGGCTCCTCTTGTTGCGGAGCACAGGCTCTGGTGCTCCAGGCATGTGGGATCTTCCCGGACAAGGGACTGAACCCGTGTCTCCTGCACTGGCCCAGCGCAGAGGTTCTGTGACGAGAGGAGGGCTGTGTCTGCAGCTTTCAGGGGACTTCTCGCCTTGGTCCCTGTTTTGAAATGTGGGTTTGATGAGGTTTGGTCGCCACAAGCCACTGGCCTGAGCTCATGCTGGTGAACGTTCCAGAATTACTCACGAGGGTGGAGCGACCCCATCCCTGCCTCTCAGGGACTGACTCGCACACATGTCCCGTCCCCACAGGGAACTGGAGGAGCAGCACGGCATCCGGTGCAACATGACGCTGCTCTTCTCCTTCGCCCAGGCTGTGGCCTGTGCCGAGGCCGGCGTGACGCTCATCTCGCCCTTCGTGGGCCGCATCCTCGATTGGCACGTGGCCAACACGGACAAGAAGTCCTACGAGCCCCAGGAGGACCCCGGTGAGTGGCCCCCCAGGCCAGGGCAGAGGGGTGCTTTGTCGTGTGCTCTCGGGGGGCCCCAGGACTGAGGGTTGGGCGGCACGGATGGCAGCTCTGGTGTGTGTCCCCAGGAGTGAAGAGCGTCACCAAAATCTACAACTATTACAAGAAGTTCGGCTACAAAACCATCGTCATGGGCGCCTCCTTCCGCAACACGGGAGAAATCAAGGCCCTGGCCGGCTGTGACTTCCTCACCATCTCACCCCAGCTCCTGGGGGAGCTGCTCAAGGACCACAGCAAGCTGACGCCCGTGCTCTCGGCCAAAGCAGGTAAGACCGCCGCCTCCTGCCTTCCGCCAACCTAGGGCCCCACGGGAACCGGTGCCTTGCTATCTTGAGGCTGTGGAACCTGGAGCCTCGGGGCAGGCTGCCTCCACCCGGCACTGGGCTTCATTGGGCAAGGGCAGCTCTGAGCCCACAGCCCGGGCATGTGCTCCGCAGCCCAGGCCAGTGACCTGGAGAAGATCCAGCTGGACGAGAAGGCCTTCCGCTGGCTGCACAACGAGGACCGCATGGCTGTGGAGAAGCTCTCTGACGGGATCCGCAGGTTTGCTGCGGACGCTGTGAAGCTGGAGCGGATGTTGAGGGTGAGCGCCGGGGCCACGGTTGGAACGGGCACGTGGGCAGGAGGGGCCTGCGGGCTGGAGGGGCGGGAGGGCCCAGGGTGGCAGGCCTGGCCAAGGGCAGGGTTGGGGGCAGAGGGCAAGCCTGGTGGGCGCACCAGCTCACACCACTCATCTCCAGGAACGGATGTTCAGCGCAGAGAATGGAAAATAGCACAGCACCTGAGGCTGGAGCACGGATCTGTGCGTCTCTGAATTGGGGCCTAATTGCACATGCTTTGTGATGAATCTTGGATTTTTTTTTTTTACTAATTGGAGCGGGAACAAATCATAGATTTCTGATTTTATGTAAAATTCTGCTCAGCGCATTAAAGCCCTTTCTTTTCCTTCTTGTCTGTCTCCTTCCTGGGGCCTGATGAAGGCGGGGTTAGGTCAGCAGCCCCGCGGGGACCCTCAGGCTTCTAGGCTGTGCCTGTGGAGCCGGGCAGGGCGTTGCTGCCCTGGTAGAGGGCCTGCTGTGGGGACACCCGGCGTTCCCCCCCACACACTTCCTTGGGCCCAGGTTCCTTTGGGGGGGTGGCGCCACCTTGTGGGGACAGTGTAAGGTGTACGGGCCTCAGACCCAAGCAGAGGCGGGCAGTGTGTGCAGACACTTTGCTGCACCATTTGGACTTTGAAACAGGTGTGCTGCGCTGTGGGGCTTGGCGGGGGGTGGTAACGAGGGGTCCACGGGGGAGCCCCTTCCTCTCCAGCCCGAGTTCCTGGAACAGTGAAGGGGGTCAGGGCAGGGAACGCAGGGTCGGGGGGATGGCCCAGGAGCAGGAGGGGGTGGGTGGGTGTCCAGGTCTGCACCAGGGGGGCCAGGTGTTGGGGCGGGCCTGCGGGACACACCTCGGGTCTGGATGTGCCCACTCCCCTCCCTGGGGCCCCTGCCAGGCCAGGCCTGTTCCCCACAGCTCCCTGCACGGAAGCGGGGCCCCTGGGAGTGTGGCTCTGGAGCTGCCTCTGGCCGCCCTCCCCAGAAGCAAGAGCAGTGCTGGGTGGGCAGGGCTCAGGGCAGGCGCCAGGTGGGCCACACTGACAGGGCAGGGCTTCTCCCAGCCTCCCGTGACTGGCTCGCCAGTTTGGGTCAGAGGGCTGTGGCTTCCTGCAAGCCTCCAGCAACCCCAGACTCTCTGCGCTGAGCTGGTCAACAGGCTGTGTCCTAGGAGGTGAAGTCACTCACCATGCCGCCTGGCCCGGGGCCTGAGCGCAGACAGCGGATACGGCTGACACATGAAGGCCACCTGCTCACGGGCCCAACCCCCTGGAGCCAGCGCCGTGGGACACCCTGGTCCCCCGACCTGGCCCTGTGCCCTCCCACAAACGGCCAGTCCACTGTCACTCTCCTGGATATCTCACCTGGCTTTCTTCACTGAGCATGATATGAATACTGTCCATTAACGAGAACACTCCTTTTATGGAAGCTACGACTCATCGAAAAGAACCACCACAGACGCCCACACACCGTTTTCGTGGACTCGGAGCTCAGGGTCTGTTTTCAACACTGAGCATGTGGGAAATCCTAGGGGCCCCTTGCTGGGTCCTAGGCCACATCCCCCCCACCCCACTGCCCTGGGCCTGGAGACCCAGCCACACGGGGCCAGCGAGGAGGGCTAGGGAGGGCTGGGGAGGGCCCTGCCCCGCAGAGCCCGCCCAGGTCAGGTACAGACACTCAGAAGATGCCCCTAAGGTGTCATCATTTTTCTTTTTATTTGCGTTACCATTTTAATAAATGCTTTTGTCCAGCCAGGTCCATCACCAGCTGGTGCTGCACACGGGACGGCTGGTGAGGGGGCCCAGGCCCAGGGTGCGGAGGCCAGCAGGTGTCTGGAGCTGCAGGCACAGAGGGGCGCGTGGAGGGCCACAGCCTGGTCTGCGGCGCCTGGCCGCCTCCCTCCTCCCGAGGGGCTGGCCAGGGCAGAGCTAGGCTAAGAGGTGACACACGTGGGGCGGGGCAGCTCCGGGGCTCAGCTGTGAGCCACAGGCCAGGCGGGCACCCTGAGGATGCTGGAGAGCGCCCAGGCTGCACTGGAGTCCACTGGCTGGACAGCCACCTGGCAACCCAGGACCGTCCGCCACCCCAGGATGGCCGGCCACAATCCAAGAGGAGTTCACGCCACGTCCACCTGGAAGCAGGCCTGGCCGTCAGGACCTGGACACCACTCGGCAGGCGGCCGTGTGCTGTACCCACGAGCCTTTCTCCTAACATCAGAAGGGACATGGAGACGCCGCAGGGTCCACCTGAGTCCACCCTGGCCTTACATGGGGTCACCATCGGGTCTGAGACCATGCACCAGGTCAGCGTCCGCCCCCACCAAGGCCCAAAGTGGTGGGGACACCACAGGGAGGCCTGGGAAGACCATCAGCACAGGAGCGGAACCCCAGGGTCCTGGCCAGCAATTGCCCCAGCTTCCCAGAAGGCTCTGCGTCCCCCCAGGACTGACTGTGTTCCGGGGCTGGAGGGGAGCCTGCTTGCCTCCCCGCCCCTCCCCAGTGAGACCCACCATGGTCAGTGGCACGGCCTGTCCCCCAAGGCCGACCCCTTCAGGGAGGATCCTCAGAGTCCCCCAGCAGTTCCACCAGGGGCCAGGCAGGCCGGGTGTCATGACATAGAGTCTTGGGGGACACCCAGGACATCTGGAGGTGGCAGCATCTGCTCGGGGCCTGATTCAGGGCCTTGTCACTTCCTGCGGGGTAGACGCCAGTTCAGACAAAGGGGCCGGGCACCAGGCAGGGTCCCGCTGCCGCCGCCTGCCGTGGCCCCTCACCGGCTGCCACAGAGGAAGAGCAGGTTCTGCACAGCCGGGATGGTGGAGCTGGCGTTCTGCCCGGTGACCAGGTGGCGGTCCAGCACCACGTGCACGGCGTCAGGCTCGCTGGCTGCAGGAGACCCCGAGTGCCGGGGCCTCAGGCCGCGTGCAGGGCGGCTCCCGAGACCCTGCTGCCCCCGCCCTGCCATCCCAGCTGGGGCTCCCACAGCCCTCTAGATGCTCAGCCCAGCCGCTCACCACTGAAGCAGGCCCCTGCGTCCTTCACGAAGTCCTCCACGACCAGGGGCAGGTGGGCGAAACCTGGTGCCCGGACGAGCTCATACACGGAGGGCTGTGGGGCAGGGGCAGTGCCCAGGGTCAGGGAGCCATGACCCCCCCCCCCCCAGACTGCCCATGGGGAGGGGTCCACAGCAGGGGTGAAGCTTCTCAGGTCCTCCCCGGCATCAGGACACGGGGCCACCAAAGTCCAAGCAGAAGAGTTCAGGGTCGAAGGTAGGGCAGAGAGCCCGACAAGGGGGGCCGCAGTGCCCCCAGAGGATCCCCCCCAGGACCCGCAAGCAGTCACCCACTCTTCGGGCACAGAACAAGGCCCCAAGGGGCCCCTGCTCCAAGCCCCCTGCTCTGTGCTGGGGTCTGAGCCCTGACCAGGCCAACAACTGCTGCCCCCCCAGGGGCCTCGATCCCCCCTGCCCAGGGGCCCCACCATGCGCACTCACCCCGGTGACGCTGTAGCCTTGGAACACCCAGGACCTGTCCTCGCTGGTGGCGCAGCAGAGGGCGGCCACACCGTGGCCCACAGCACAGATGGGCTCTGCAAGCAGGGCCAGCACCGGCTTGAGGCAGAAGCCACCCAGGCCCCATCAACACCCCCACCTCCCCGGCCCTCCCAGACAAGACTGGGGTTTGTTCAGAGCTCAGATCCCCTCAAGCTGTTCAGGGGCCAAGAGCCAGGCTTGGCGGGAGGAAGGTGGCTGCTGTCCACCCCTCACATGGGAGCACCGTCTCTGCCCATCAGAGGCGCCTGACCCAGCCTCTGGGCAGCGCCTAGAGCCCCCTTCTCCGAATGCAGTGGCGGGAGGGACCCTGGCCCTCTGCTCAACCCCAGGCCCCTGGCTCCAAGCACCCCTCTGAGAGGACAGCCTGGCACAAGTGCGTTCCCACGGCTGAGTGCCCGGACAAGCACTGCCCGTGGAGGCCCCGTTTCCACCAACAAAGGACGCTTTGTGCAGCCCTGGGTTTGCCTGCTGGTCCCGACGCCAGGCCAGGGCAGTGTGCCACATCCTCTTGGAGCAGACACGTCTCCTCAGAGCAGTTTTCCCAGCCCCCTGCCCCACCGCCACCCACAGACCCCACCAGGAACCAAGCCAGCATCCTGCCTGCCCACCTTGCAGGGGGCAGGGTTCCCAGCCCACAGCCCCGGAGGGAACCAGGCTGAGGGAGGGGCAGTGGTGGAAGGGATGCCCCTCCTTCGTGTGTATCACACGTGCGTGTATACATGCTGAGTAAACCTGTCCACTCACTGGTCAGGACCATGGCGCTCCACACTGACCCCAGGCGGCTCCTGAAATGACTCGGCATTCCCACCAAAACCTGAACCCCAACGAGGCCCACGAACACCACCTCCCACACCCCCACCAGACACTCCTCCCTGTTAGCGGGGTCCCCTCTCCCATGAATCTCATACCTCCCCCCAAGCCCGGGCCTGGGGCCACCTACTGCTCTCGGAGTGGAAGTGCTGCAGGATACGAGCCAGGGACCCGCTGCTGGCCAGGTCCACCAGGGCCCCGGGGCAGCTGGGGATGAGGAGGGCATGGTAGCGGGCACCTGGGGGACCACAGCCCGGTCAGTCACAGATGACGAGGCCAGCAGCTGGCTCTCTGCTGCTGCTGGCCAGCTGCCAGCCCCACCGGCTAAGGCTCCCGAGACCCGCCAACCACCTGCCTGCCCGCCAGCTCCCTCTGCTGCTGGGAGCTCTGGCCACCGGACGGGACATGGCCCGGATGGTCATGGTGCTCTGTGGCAAGCCCCTGAATGCTCCAGGAACACGGGTGTGTAGTTTGGGGTCAGGACCCAGCGGGAACTGCACCCCCAAGGCCCTCCCAGGCTCCGCACCATCGATGGACTCCAGCTTGGCGGGGCTGGCGTAGGCTTTGAGGCGGAAGTCCTGCACCCAGCGTGCATTGCTGTCATTCACGTCGACAAAGTCCATGGTCTTCCCCTGTGGGAGCCCAGAGACCGAGGGTCAGCACTTCACCCCCTGCTTCTGGCACATGGAGGCTCCAGAAAACTCTGACATGGGCTGGGACTGCTGGAAGCCCCTCGGGACAAAGGCACCGTCAGCCCAGCCCCTCGGCCCCCGCTGGCCGCAGTCCCCGCCTGTAAACTGGAAGCAGGTGTCCCAGGCTCCTCTGGGGGGACTCTCAGGGCAGTGTCCCTGGGGTCCCAGCCCCTTAGGTCCCCCCAGGGATGATGTCACTCTCCTGGAGACAAGGGGAACTGGACTCACCCCGGGGGTGGCCACTTGCAGGTTGAAGGCAGCGCTGGCCAGTGTGAAGCAGTGGAGGAAGGACGGGGCCGACACGCCTGCAAAGAGACACAGGCCGCTGGGTTTGGGGCTTCTCCCAGCCTCGATCACCCTGGGCAGCAGCCCTTCACCCCACCTCACCCAGGGCCCATTCCACACATGGCTGGGGCAGCAGTTGTAGCCCCCTGGCCCCCTCATCCCCTGAAGGGGGTCTCTCTCTCCCCCCAGTCTGACCACTACAGGCCTTTTCCAGAAGGCAAACCCAAGTGTGAGGTTCCCTAACACTTCATCACCAGGGACTGACACCCCCACACACCCGCCGATTTCAGCCAGAGGGGGGCAGTGATAGAGGCCTGCGGCTCTGGAGCACGGGCTGCGGCCTGTGTCCACGGGGAAGCGGGGTACATGCAGGATGGGGCGATGGGCCCCTTCCCTCACGGAGCTCCTGGCTCCTGTGCGCCACCCCAGCCCTGGCGCTGTGCCGGGCCCTCTTCTCTGTGACCAGGGGGAAGAAGGCTCCCGGCTGGGGCTGAGGCCCCATCACAGACACCGGCTTCTGAAGTCACATGATCTGCATCCTTCCGCCTTTACTTTAATCAGGGCACTCCATCCCTGAACCTCATCTCGGACCTCATCTCTCTCCAGTCTAGGGGATCAGTACATGCACACTGTAGATAGTCTGCATATCTGGCAAAGGCAGTCTCCCCAATTCTGCCCGGTTCCTCCAGCCCCCGCTACCCCACCGGCTTTGGCCCAGGGCCCTCTGAAGGGCCTACTCACCCTGCCCACAGAGCCCGGCACCCTTCAGAGCCATGCCCCCGACCCATGTCCTCAACGTCCCTCCGGGGGGCACACACAGGCCGGCCCGACCCCTCCTCACCATTACCCTGCTCCCAGCAGTCACCCACGACTCCAGGACTGAACCCCACTCTCAGTGGCTCAGCCTTAGCCTCTCCACAGGGTCTGGGTGCCCCTCAGTGTCTCCGTTCTGGGGGACAGCTCAGGGGCCCCGCCTGGGGCTCAGCACACTGCGACCCCGTGACCCGCTGTCCTTGCCTTCTCGCCCACTTGGGCAGCAGCTGAAGTCAGGCCGGAGGCAGGCTCCAGAGCAGGACCTCGGGACCCGCCTGGGCGTCCCGGCTCCCCGCCGAGCGATCTCCTCGCGGAGGCCGAGGCGCCGGGCGCCCCGCCCGCCGGCCCTGAGCACCCGAGGCCTCGGCAGGGAAGCGGCGCTCGTGGCGCGGGGCCCGGCCGCCCGGCTCCCCTCGCACCTTCACCAGGGACACAGCCGGGGGGCGCGGCCCGCGAACCGCAGGGCTCCGAACAGTCCCCCACCGCGTCCCCGGGCGGCGGCCGGGCGCACTGGCCAGCCCGCAGCGAGCGCCACCGCGGGCCGCTCTCCACCGAAGCCCGGCTCGGGCGGGAGCGCTCGCGGTCCCGACCCCGCCCTCGCGGGCCTCACCTTCCGCGGCGCCGCTGGCCACGAGGAGGCAGGCGGGCCGGCTCGGGAGCCGCTCGGACGCCATGGCGGGTCTGCGGGGGGCCAGCACGACTGCGCGTGCGCGGGGCGCGCGTCCGGGGGCGGTGACGCGCCGCGTGGCCTGGGGGCGGGGCTAAGCGTCTCTGGCCCCTCCTCCCATCTCGAGTCCGGGTCCGATTCCGGGTCAAGTCCTCCGCCCGCCGCGAGCCCTCGGGCGCGTTCCCGGACCGCGTCCGCGTTCCCCGACTGCGTCCGCGGTCGTGGCCGCGGGGGTCTGCAGAGAGGTCTGAGCTGGGCCGCGGGACCGCAGCTGCACGGAGCAGACTCCTAGCCCGACCACCACTCGCGGTCGGGAACACGGTTCCTGCCCCTTCCGAAACCCAGGTCGGGCCCGCGGGCCAGCCTGCAAGGAATGGGTTCCGCGTGGCATTTGGCAACTTGCAGGACAGCGGTGGCATGCGGTGGTAGCATGCGGCCTCCCTGTCCAGAAGCCTCATTCTGGGTCTGGCAGTGCTCTGCCTGTCAGTGCCGGCCCCTGAGTCCAGTGGGGAGGACACCCACAAGATGACCTGTCAGGGCGATTGAGGTGTCCCCTGGGTTGGCTGGGAGTCTCACCGCTTCCTGAGCAGGTTCTCATACCAGGGAGGGCCCCTACCCTCACGTGGGAGGGGGCAGCGGTGAGGAGGCGCCTGTTACTGAGGCCCGGCCCTGAGGCCAACACCTGGGCCGGGTGGCTCACTGCACCTGGGCATGATGGTGGGCGCTGCAGGAGGAGTGATGGGCAGGTGTCTGCTCCTCTGAGGGCAGGCGCAGGACCAGAAGGGCCAGCAGCCCAGCCCAGGCCAGGTGACTGTCTCCTGGTCCATCCCTCAGTCTATCGGTGAGAAGAAGGGGCTCCCCCTTCAGACCCCCCGCCCCGTCCTGCTGAGCCTCCCCCCACAGTCTTTGCCCCGGGTCACATCTGAGGTGTCAGCTCACCTGCCTCCCCCTGGGCACCACCTGCAAGCTATGCAAGTTCCTGATCACTGGACAGTGAGTGCCCAGTGGAGCAGGAGCAGGTAGGGCAGGCCTGGGGGCTGGGCTAGGGCTCTGCTGCTGGGGTTGTGGCAGGTTGAACCTGGGCTCCTGCAGTTGTTTGGGCCCCTGAGGCACAGAGTGCCTGGGGATCAGAGGTCATGTTTTCCTGCAGCAGCGTTTCATTCCTGTCCCCAGAACCTGCTCGCCCTGGACACCAAGAACAGGTGACTGGGGGCCGCTTCTGGGGGACTCTCTGCCCGGTGGGGCCTCAGGTCTCCTCTGCTGTCTCCCCTGGCAACTTCCTCTTTTCAAAGCATATCTGAGCCTTTCCCTGGGAGCCATTTCACTTCCTATTTCTATCTCCTGAATGCTGGAACCCACCTCTCTGCCCATCAAACTCCTAACCATCCCTCAAAGCCCATGGGCACCAAGGCACTGTCTACCCAGTACTCCCTTTCTGAGAACACCCCACGCAAGGACTGCCCTGAGTGCCCTTTTATCTCAGTCGGCCTGCTGGGTGGACCTCCCATCTAGGTACTTGGGATTGAGGCTCTCTCAGGGAGGGTGTGTCATGGGCAGCCCAGCTTCCCAGACAGGCAGCAGAGGGGCCCAGGTCCCGGGCCAGGAAGCATCCCTCTCCCTATCAGGGCTCAAGCTTCTCAGCTCTGGGCTCTCTTTTGGCCTAGGTTGGGCTGAGAGGCGTCCATAGACTTAGATCCCAAGTACCTGTGTGTTGTGCTGCAATGGCCCCTAAACCTAGGACTGCTGAGGCCATTGCTGCTGGCTGGGCACAGGGTCCCCGCACCTGGAGCGGAAGCATCGGCAGGACTGTTGAGAACACGCAGACGCTGGTTCCACTGCTGCCCCCAGGCTGACAGTGCCTGACCAGCGGCTGTCAGGCAGTGGCGTTTTGTGGCCTGGAGAGGGGTGATGCGACAGGAAGGCAGGCCCTGCCCCAGTCTGGCTTATCCCAGGGCCGAGGACATCAGGACAGGGAGGGACAGAGGCCTGGGGGGGGCGGGGTCCAGAGGAGCGTCTGAAGGGGATTTCCCGCAAACACACCTCCAGATCCCACAGAGCTGGACGGGGTGCCAGCGTGGGTCCCAGGGGCGTCTCCTGAGCGCTCTCTGCAAAGCAGCAGGTGTGCGCTGCCCTCCAGCCAGGACAGGGGCTGCTCTTGGGGGGCAGGTGGCGGCATGGGGCTCTTGTCTGCTCAGTGGCCCTCTGATAGCCAGCGCGGCTCCACGGGCTGAAGGCCCCAGACAGAAGCGCAGGCAGGGCGGTGTCAGTCACTGGGATGCCAGGAGCCTCTGCCTGCCTTGCCCTGTTAACTCCCTGAGGGCAGGGAGCCGTGACCAGGGCGGGGCTGAAGGCCCAGAAGTCCAGGCCCCACTCGGCAACCACGGGAGGGTCCAGAGCAGCGAGTCACTGGCCAGCTCTGCCCTCCCCAGGCCTTTGCCACTCTGCCCTGGTGGAGGAAAAGAGGTTCTGGAGGCCCCTACCTGGCCTGAAGCACTGGGCTGCCCCTCCCCCGGGTGCACCAAGAATGAGGTCCCAGGTGGGTCCCCAGAAGGGAGCTGCACACTCTCGGAGGAGAGGGTGCTAGAGAGGAAAGCAAACTGGACTCCCACACGCACCTTCTGCATCCCCGTACAGTGACCCCACGTGTGACCCAGCTTACCCTGGCGGCCCTGCCACGGGGCCTCTGGCCCTGGACATGCTGCTACTGTCTGAGTTCTCCTGGCTTTCAGATGTCCTTGTAAGCATGCATGGGGTTTACAGTGTGAACTTCTTATATACTGAGTACTTTTTATATCTGGTATTTTGTTTAGACCTCAAAAGTGGTACTGTAGTGAAGGTCATTGAAGTCAGCCAGGGCTTCCCTGGTGACTCAGCTGGTAAAGATCCACTTGCAATGCGGGAGACCTGAGTTCGATCCCTGGATTGGGAAGATCTCCTGGAGAAGGGAAAGGCTACCCGCTCCAGTATTCTGGCCTGGAGATTTCCATGGACTATATAGTCCATGGGGTTGCAAGGAGGACACAACTGAGTGACTTTCATTTTCACTGGGTGTCCCCAAGAGGTTTTATTTTTTATCATTTTGGAAGCATCCCTACCTTCCTAAAGCTTAGGCATGCTATGAACCAGAAATCGAGGGGCTTCCCTGGTGGCCCAGTGGTGAGAATCCACCTTGAGACACAGGGGATGCCGGTTTGGTTGCTGGTCCAGGAAGACTCCATACGTCACGCGGCAACTAAGCCCGCAAGCCACAGCTACTGAGACCCGCATGGGCTAGAAACTGTGCTCAGATACAAGAGAAGCCACTGCAACTGGAAGCCTGCTCACCACAGCGAAGAGAGCAGCTCCCACTCACCGCCACTAGAGAAAGCCCACGCACAGCAGCAAAGACCCAGCACAGCCATAAACACATAAATAATTGTTTTAAAAAAAGCTGAGCCTCAGAACCCTCATGGCACCCTGGGGACCTCAGCTGCCCCATTCTAACATTCCCTGGAAGGGGCCACCAGTAACTGAGCATGCGTGGAAATTCAGAAGAAATAAGGGAACAAGAGAAACATAGCGTCCCTGGAGCTGAGATGCAGTCACTCAGCTGTGTCCTCTTTGGGGCCCCTCTGGACTTCCATGGGATTCTCCAGGCGAAATACTGTAGCCTTGCCTTTCTCCAGGGGATCTTCCCCACCCAGGGATTGAACACCAGGTCCCCCACATTGCAGATGGAAGCCAGAGAAGATCACAAACTAGTATCACAAAAGTTCAGTGTGGGCTTGAGGCAGGTGCAGGCAGACGCAGGCTCAGGAAAGACCCTGGCAGTGCGCAAAGTGGCAGCAGGAGACAGTCACAGGGGCTGCGGGGGGCCCTTCACGGCCTGATCCTGGCCCGTGTCGTCTCGGGGGGAGAGAAATACCACGAGCTTCTCGGCTTAGTCCCCATGAAACCTGAGCTTCAGATGGGTTAAAGGCTTCTCTGTGAGTGAATGCCAAGAGTGTTAGATTAGAAGAGATTCCAGAAGGTTAGACAGTAAAGGGATCAACGCTTATGCATGATAACTTGAGATTTGGGAACTTCTAGACACAGGAAACAGATGCAAGCCAGCCACTGAATACAGATAGGTGCCATTTGGCAAAGGCTTGGAATATGAGACACATAAAGAAATGCATGCAGGATCGCCCTGTGGTCCAGTGGTTAGAGCTCTGTGCTTTCATTGCCTTGGCCAGGGTTCAATCCTTGTCAACCTTTGGTTGGGGAACTAAGATCTCCCAGGCCGTGCAGCCTGACCAAAAAAAAAAAAAAAAAAAAAAATCCTCCAAATAAATGAGAAGAAGGCCTCTCATCCGCAGAAACAGATAAATGGCACCAACAGAAAAATCAGAAAAGGCACAGCCCAGAGAGCCAAGAAGTTAGTAAACAGTAGCAGTTGGCTCCATGCAGACAGAATGACCCACGGTGGCCCTGATCAGACGAGCTGTCAACCTCGAGGGCTTTGCTCACTCCCGTGTCGCTGGGTGAGCGTCATGCTTTTCGCCCGGCCGCCCCACCTCTGAGCAGGTCCCCGAGTGAACTGTGTGCTGGGCCCACAGTCGCAGCAGCCGGCAAGTGGAGGCAACTCAGCATTCATCAGCGAATGATGGATACACAAAATGTGGTCCCCGCATAGGGTGGGACTTAAGAGGAAGGAAATCCTGACACAGGCTATAGCATGGATGACCCTGGAGGACATGATGCTCAGAGAAACAAGCCAGACACAAAAGGACAAATCCTGTATGACTCCATTCACCTGAGGTCGCCAGAGGCATCGCGCATAGAGACAGAACGAGCAAGTGTTTAACTGGGACTGAGGGTCAGTTTGGGAAGAGGAATCGTTTCCGAGGCCCGATGGGGTGATGCTCCCACAATGTGAAGGTGCTCAGTGCCCGGGATCTGTGCACCCACAGGGTTAAGATGAAATGGGGGTCACAGTGGAAACAGTGGCTGACTTTATTTTTGGGGGGCTCCAAAATCAGTGCAGATGGTGACTGCAGCCATGAAATTTAAAGATGCTTACTCATTGGAAGGAAAGTTATGACCAACCTAGAAAGCATATTAAAAAGCAGAGACATTACTTTGCCAATAAAGGTCTGTCTCGTCAAGGCTATGGTTTTTCCAGGAGTCATGTATGGATGTGAGAGTTGGACTATGAAGAAAGCTGAGTGCCTAAGAATTCATAATTTTGAACTGTGGTGTTGGAGAAGACTCAAGAGTCCCTTGGACTGCAAGGAGATCCAACCAGTCAATCCTAAAGGAGATCAGTCCTGAATATTCATTGGAAAGACTGATGCTGAAGCTGAAACTCCAATACTTTGGCCACCTGATGTGAAGAGCTGACTCATTAGAAAAGACCCTGATGCTGGGAAGGATTGAAGGCAGGAGGAGAAGGGGATGACAAAGGAAGAGATGGTTGGATGGCATCACTGACTCAATGGACATGAGTTTGGGTAAACTCTGGGAATTGGTGATGGACAGGGAGGCCTGGTGTGCTGCAGTCCATGGGGTCGCAAAGAGTTGGACACGACTGAGTGACTGAACTGAACTGACTGAAGAATCTGCCTGCCAACGCAGGGACACAGCTTTGGTCCCTGGTGCGGTTACACCTGACTCAAAGCAAGTCAGCCTGTGGCCACGCCTGCTGAGCCCGCACTGCAACCAGAAGCCACTGCACCGCAGCTAGGGAGCAGCCCCACTCGCCACACCTAGGGAAGACCCGTGTGCAGCAGTGAAGCCAGCGCAGACAGAGATAAAAAAGGAAAACTAATAGAAAACTGAGGCAGCGCCCCGAGAGAGTCATCGCGTCTGGAGGGCCGGACCCTCAGCTCCTGGCTGTGGCGACAGAACTCACCTTCACAGCCACCCCCATCCCGCCCCGAGTCTCCACAACGGCAGGAGACTTGTTTTCTTCTTTTTTTGCATCTAAGGTGCAAGCAGAACAGAGGGAGCGGGAGAGGGGACCAGCTGGCTGGAGAGGGACGGCGTGGGTGGCTGCAGGGCCTGTGGACAGGCGGGCTGGAGGCTGCAGCCGTGCGCTCCGGCGTCTCCCTCGGTGGCCGGGCCTGGGCCAGGTGGTTCAGGGCGAGGGGCACGTGCCCCAGGGAAGCGCCCCAGGTTTGTGTGGGCCTGAGGTGTGGGTGCACAGGCGGGGGTGGGAACCCGGAGAGTAAGCCCAGCAGCTTTAGGAGGCCCGTGGGGGGAGTGACCCAGGCTGACAAAGGCAGAGAAACTTACGGAGCCCGGGGGTGGGGAGCCTTGCTCCCAGGAAGCCTGCACCCAAAGACCCCCAGTTGGACGCCTGGCCGGGTCGGCTCAGGGGAGGATGGCAGGAGGAGGGACCCCAAGCCATAGAGCGGCCTCCTCCCCCGCCGCCCAGGGACACGAGCTTGCTGCAGAGTGGGGCACAGAGGCCCAGCGGGGGGCACGGCCCCCTCCCCCGACACGGCTCCAGGCCAGTCAACCCCACGCGCTGGTGCGGTGGCCCAAGGTCCGGGCCGGGGGTGGGTCCTGCAAGCTGGGCCTGGGTCCTCTAGGGCCAGGGCTGACAGGAAGGCCGGGCCGCAGCCATCTGGGTAGGGCCGGGCCTGGGCAGAGCCACAGGTGGAACCCACCCGGGTCAAGGGCACCAGGTGGTGGGAGGGGCTGGGGCGGGGCACCGGGGGGCCCTGGCCCTCCCTGGAAAGCCTGCGGTGTGGATAGGTGACACCCCACACCCAGACAGGCCGCCCCGCCTCTCCCGACCGCGTGCAGTTGAGGACGCCAGCCCAGTCTTTAGATAACAGTTTATTTCAAACTGACCTCCACTCAGGCCCAGGATTCCAGTGGCCAGCTGGTCAGGTAAGGGCACGTCTGGCTCCCAGTGCCCACTGCCACCAAGACATGCTCCCAGCAGAGCGTGGTCTCCCTGCAGGCTCGACGGGGCTGTGGCCGAGGGTGATGGTTGCCTGCCCAGTGGTTCTATTCAAACTGTTATTGCATTTATACGCTTCTTAGACCCCAAGGACCCTGGGTGGGCCGTCTGCGGGGCTGGGCAGGCACGGCTGCCTCCCCGCCAGGCTCTCACTTGCCCCCAGGGCAACCGCCGCAGAATGGGGAGGGGTTCAGGACGGGAAGTGTAGGGCCCAGCTTCAGGGGCCCCCTGGGTTCCAGCCAGAAGGTAAACTTCAAGAGCACCTCTGACACCAGCCTGTGAGCTTTCTGTCCACCCAGCCAGGGCTCAAGTAAGCAGGCAGGAGGCATGGAAACTCAGCTAATGTGACCACCCACCTTGGATCAGCCCACTGAGGCAGCCCACCCAGAGGAACCCCCATCCTGGCTACACGCAAAGAGCAGAAATGGGACAAACAGCCACACCCTTTAATGTCCCCAGGCTGGCTGGACCCAGCTCAGAATCCATCCCAGGCCCCTGCCCAGCCCTGCTACCGTGGGGGTTCATCAGGAGCTGCTGCCAGGAAGATCACAGGACCACTGGGGCCCTTGGCACAGGCTGGCACACTTGGGCAGGCAGGCCACGTTCAGAGCCCGCTTCTCTGTCCGTCCACCAGTGCCTGGTTCCACACGGAGCCCCCACCCTGTGTCAGGGACCCACCCGCAGAGCCTGGGCTCCTTCTGTCCTCGGGTTCAGAGGGGTAAGTGCTGGGGACCGCTCGAGGGGGCTGGGTCTCCACTGCTGTCGGGGCCTGTCCACCTCTCTCTCCCTCTGCTTGTATGTGGGGGACACACTATAGGTATTACATATGTATAGATAGCAGTGTGTGAATTCGGCATGCACTAGACTCCCAAGGTCTGTACAGGATGTGGCTGTGCCCAAGCTGGCCACTGGCCATCATTTTTTTCGGACCAGGAAGGCGACCCCAAGAATCAGGGCTGCAGCAGCCACAGCCACGCCCCCGGCCACCAGCAGTGGGGTCAAGTTCTCAAAAGGGCAGGGCCCTCGGCCGCTGGGGCCCCCACCGGGGGCCTCGCCCTCTTCAGCCCCGTCCCCAGGGCCCTTGGGCTCGGGGGCCGCGTCAGGGGTGCTGGGGGCCGCGGGGGCCGGCTTCAGGTTGCTGTGGTTGTTGAGAAGGGCCGGGTCTGCCTTGGCTGGGGTCTTCTTGGCAGGTGGCGGCGTGGGGGCTGCTGGCGGCTCCTGCTTCTCTGCTTGGGCCTCCTTCTTCCCTGGCTTAGAGGACGGGGCCTTCCCGTCCATGGCAGCAGAGGCTCGGGCCTCAGCCGTGGCCTTAGTGTCGACCTTGGGGCTGTTGGTCGGCTTCCCTCTGGATTCCATGCTGGGTGTATGGGCGGGCTGTGCAGGGTACGCGGGGGCAGGCAGGCGTCTGGACCACGGCAGCTCAGGACAGTTCACCCCTGGGCATCCTATGGACCTGGGGGGGAGACCCGATGAGACCGGTGTCCTGTCTAGAGACCCGCTCAGCTCTCTGGACCCTCCTCTCCCAAGGCTCAGCCTCCAACTGGCCTCAGCCACCTCCTGAGAAGCCTCTCTGAGCACACAGGCAGGTGCCATGGGCCCCCTTTGGGCTGGGGTGTTGGGATGAGACCTGCTAGAGGCTTTAGTTCCCTCATCTGTGAAACGGTCTTGTCCACGCATGTCCTGTGTCCATCCTGTCAGCCCATGGTGGGGAGGTCCTGACCGGGAAGAGAGCACCCACCCAGACCTGAGGAGGGTGTGTGGCTGGGGAGGTGGCTGGCACCCCATGGGTCTGGGCAGAACTGACCGTGTACCCTTCTCGGGGTTGGGTGGGCTTGGGGTGGGAGGGCAGCGTGGGAACCCAGAGTTTGGGCTTTCAGGCACATGGGGTCATAATGGGCCCAAGGTCACCAGGACCCCGATCGGACAAAGCCAGGGTGTCTCCTCAGAGGCTGGAGAAGCCAGCTGGAGGGCAGCGACAGGCCTGGGCTCCCAGCTGGTCATGGACCCCCCTCTCAGCGCCCACCCCAGGACCGGCCTTGCCTGCTCCAGCTTCACAGAGGGGATCCCTTTCTGACCCTGAGGTCATGCCTGCCTCTGGGGGAGGACGGAGTCCTTGGGGTGAGCCTGGGGCAGGCACCCCCAAGGCAGGGCCAGGCAGAGACTGGGCACTCTGGGCAGTAGGGAAGGCCTGGTCCTGATCCACAGAGTCGGGCGTGGGGCAGGGGGCTGGTGGCCTCAGCACTCTGGACCCGTCTTTCCTCCCGGAAACAGACCCCGCTGTCCGCAGCTCCTCTGGGAGGCTGAGGAACTCCACCTGTGCCTGCCGAGGGAGGGAGCCTGTGTGGGAGGCAGCGGCCCAGGACCCCACCCTGGCAATGCACACTGACACAGTGAAGGTCGCCTGAAGGTCACACGCGGGAACGGGGGTGTCCTGGGGAGGACTGTCCCACTTCCAGGGAACCCAAGAGCCCCTCACCCCTGTCATTCTAGAGGGGCACCCCGCTGCTGGGCATCAAGTTCCCAAAGGGCAGGTGGTCCACGCTCCCCCTCCCCCAGACCCTTGGTTATTTTGGGCTCATACTGACGTCACCGGCTGCCCCTCCCCCTCCAGGCGGCTGCGCCCAGAAGAGCAGGGGGCCCCGGAGCGCCCCCGGTGACCTTCATAGCGGAGAACCGTCGCTCTGTCCAGGGGCCCCGCGCCCCGCTCCCGCCCCAGATCCCGCGCCGCCGAGTCCCCGCCGCCTTACGCTGCTGCTCGGCGCTCCCACCTCAGGGCCGCGCGCTCTCTGCGGGACCACGGCCGACCGGATGGACGGCGGCGGGCGGCGGCTGCGGATGCAAGGACTGGGAGTTTCCCACAATGCACTGCTCCCGGCGCAGGGAGCGGGGCGGGGACCGCATCAGCGCGGGCTCCGCCCACTTGCTCGTGGTCACCACAGCGCCCCGGAGCGGCCGGGACTTCTGGGGCCCCCAAACCCAGCTCTGCTTTTGATCCGAAGGGCGGCTTAGCGTCAAGAAAGTGAGCGGCTGAGGCTGGCTTTCTCGCATTCCCATCAGACCTCGAGGGAGTCAGGAGGCCGTTCTAACCAGGCTCCGCTACAGCCAGTGTGCCGGTCACGGCTGGGCAGGCGGACTCAGGACGGCAGGGGGAGGGGAGCCAGTTACCACACGGGGGGGATGCCCTTCACCCCCAAGAGTCTAGGAGAAGAGGCATCTACTTAGAATATTTATTTATCTTCTTACAGGACAAGACACAAAAAGTTACAACTTCTTAAAACTCTTCAAAGGAAAAATATATAATTCTGTAAGCAGCAGCAGCAGCTTCCAAGGTACAGATGTGACGGGAGAGAGCAGCTCCCAGGAACAACCGTGAACTGGGGGGCCCAGGCCTGAGCCCCAGGTAGTGTCACTGGGAAGGGGCCTCCGGGGAGGGGCCCGGGGGTGGGGGACACAGCACCGCCACATCAGATCAATCACCAACACGACCACGTGGCTGGGGGCGGGGCAGGTCTGGAAGAGCTGCCTCAGTTCACAACATCGAGGGCGGGGGAGGGCGGAGCTTTACTAAGTGTGGTCAGGAGCCTTAAGCAGAGGCCCGGAGGGCAGGCTAGGCCCGGGGAAGACGGGAGGGGCAGCTCCTGGTGCCCCCCAGAAGAAGATGCTCCCGGGCTCCATACTGGTCCTCAGGCCTGCCCTCCCCTCTGGCCCACCCGGTCCTGGAGGGGGCGTGGCTTCAGAAGTAGGGGCGGGTGGAGACAGATTCCTGGACGGGGTCACTGGGGAGTCAAGGGCACACACCCACGCACTCACACGCTCCTCCACACACACACTGCCTGGCCACATGGGGACGGCTGGAGCCCCCCACAGCAGAGGGCGGCTGCCACCTTCCCCCAACATTCTCTCTCTCACACACACACCTCACATGGGCTGGGTCCCACAGTGCGGGCGGGGGACCTGTCCTGGGAGTCAGCACTCAGGCCCACCCCCAGTCTAGGATTCCTGGCTCAATATGGGGGGCAGGAGAGCCCGATCCTCCTGCAAGGCTGGCCAAGGCAAGAGAACAGCAGCGGGGGAGGCTGGACGGGCAGACGGAGGGGTGGACAAGCCGCTTGTGCTCGGCAAGTTAATAAATAGGTTTGTGCGGGGTCCCCTCTGTGGACTAGGGGCCAAGCCTCGGGGACAGGAGCTGGTAGACTGGAGGGGAGGGTCCAGCTTGCCCATCCCAGGCTGGGGGCCCCCAGTCCAGAGACCAGCTCTATCCCTGGGGGTTGTTCAGACTGGGGCAGAGGTGGGCAGGGCTGGCTCCAGGAATGTAATGGTTTCGGCCTTTTCTAAGTAAGTAAGACATTGATCCCAGGGGTTGTGTAGGCAGGACCCCACCAGGCACGCGTGTGCACACCTGCACTCCCCCTCTCCCCACCCCCACCCATCCGGGTGGGGAGAGACTCTCGTGCTTTCCCCGGTGGGGGGGCTGCCTGCCTTGGGCCCCGCTCTGGTCCTGCTTGACTGGAGGGTGAGGGGCGGCTGCCAGGCTCAGGGCTGGATGCGTGGCAGCCCCAGCAGGGTCTCAGCGATGCCCAGGAAGTAGACCACTTGAGCGATGCCGAACAGCGGGGCAATGACCAGGGCGCGGCAGTAAGCGCCCTTCAGGAAGGCGGAGGGGCCCTCGTTCCGCAGGATCTTCCTGCAGGGAAATGGGGGGTGGTCAGAGCCACGACGCTGGGGCCGCCCTGCCTTCCCCGCCCCTTGGGGCTCGCCCACCTGGCACAGTCCAGGAATCCTGAGTAGGTGTCCTCGTTGATGCCACGCTGCAGCGACTGGAGCCGGGTCTTCACCACTGCAAGGGGCATGCGGGTCAGCGTGGGCCCTCAGCCTGGACCCACCCCCAGCCCCGCCCTGCCCCAACCAAGCTGGGCACCGACCATCACAGGGGTTGACGGCCACGGCGGCCGCACTCCCAGCCACGCAGCCGGCCAGGAAGGACACGTAGAAAGGCGACTTCTCCCCGGATGCTGGCCGGCCCAGCTCATTCAGGTTGGCGAAGAGGGGGAAGTAGACGATGGAGAAGGGGACGTCCCTGTGGGGGGACCACGGGGTGACTGGCTGGGATGCGTGGGGCAGATGGGGGGGTGGGTGGGCCTCCCCTTGCCCTGCCTGTCCCCCACCTGAGCAGCGTGGCCCCCAGGCCCTTGTAGAGGCCAGCAATGCCGCGGCTCCGCAGCAGGTCCCGGGTCAGCTGCGTGGCTGTGGGGCGGGGCGTGGCTGGAGCCTCCACCGAGGGCTGGGCACTCCCCTGGCCCGAGAGCTGGGCCTGGGCAGACAGGATCTTCCTTTGGGCAGCTGGGGAGAAAGGGGGCGGCCTGCTGGTCTCCCTCCAAGCACAGGGTGGGGGTGGGGACGGGGTCCAGCTGGTGTCCCCCCACGCCCCACCTCCCCCACACCCTCACCGAGGCGGCCCGCGTCCTGGAGCTGGATCTTCAGCATCTCCATGGGGGTGGTCACGATCACCTGGCAGGTGCCCGCCCCACAGCCCGCCAGCATCTCCTTAAACAGGGTCAACTTCTGCCTGCAGTAAAGAGGGTGGGGCTGCAAGGCAGAGTCAGAGGCCCCTGCAGCTGGGGGACGTGAACGGGGTGGGACCAGTGAAGACACAGGCAGCTCCCCCCACCTGCCCTCCAGTAACAGGCACCGAGCAGAGAGACAGCCGGCTCACAGCGGGGCCAGGGATGGGCTGAGGACTGTTTTCAGCAAACAAAACTGGAGGCGGGGGTGGGCGGTTCAAGTGCTCCGTGGGACTACTGCCGTTTCAGCTGCACCCTCAGGTGACAGGGAAAACTGGCCAGTGCCCCCCAAATCTCCGCCTACAAGGGGCAGCAGGCAATGGCTAGGGGCCAAGGACCCCTGGGGCCTGAGCACCACGGATTCAGCATCGGAGGAGGAGGAGGAAGCCCTGCAGGTTGGGTGAGGGGCCCCCAGGACGACCGAGCTTTTGTCCTCTGGAGGCACAGCTCCGCTCCCTTCGTGACTGTGGCCCCCAGCAGTCAACTGAGCCCCTCACCCGTCCTTGGAGAGCTGGTATCGGAAGAAGTCATTGGCTGCCAGCTTGATGGCCTTCTCGGGGGTGACGAGGGTCAGGTTCACGGCGGCTCCTGTGTGGCGCGCGGATGGGTCAGTGGCCGGGGCTGGGAGGCTCTCAGGGGGCACTCGCCTCAGTTGGCAGAGCCCTCCCCCCGCCCGCTCACCCACATTTGTGCCTGGCAGGGGCGGGGGCCAGCGGGGACGGGGTAGCGCCTCCTCCTCCAGGCGACCCTCCCGGTCCAGCGGGTGGGCCTTCGTGAGGAACAACCCCCTGCCGTCTAGAGGTGGGGGGCCTGGGCGGCAGGGGAGGGGGGAGTGGCGTCCAGCTTGGGGTGGGCCAGAGCTGGGGAGGCCCTCTCTATGTGAGGACTCCGCTGCACAGCGTCTGGGCAAATCCAGGCTTGGTGGTGTCTCCTAAGCAGCTTTGCAGTCAGGCCCTGCCCCCCTCCCCCAGTGTCCTGGCACAGACCGTCCTGCCTGTCCCGGGAGGCGGCGAGGCCACTGCGATAGACACACAGGTCCCGCCATGCTGGGTGCTGGCAGCGGTGGAGGACGGGGTTGAGTGCTGCCCTTCCCCACCCCACACCCTGTGCAGGTGCAGCCAGCCCCCACGGAGCACGTCCCCACCGTCATACCAGGCCCTCCTGCCCCCTGCCCAGCCTCACCACGGTACATCCCAAAGTAGCCCTCTGAGCGGATGGTCTTGATGAGGCAGTCGGACCTGCAGCCCCGGGGGGGGGGGGGAGGAGTGAGCCAGGGATCAGCCAGGGTCCAGCTGATCTGGGCAGGAGCACCCCCAGGCCTGTCCTCCCCCCCACCCCAGCCCGCCGGCTCACATGCTGGTGTACATGCGCTGGCCATTCTGCTGGTTCTGTAGCCTCGTCTTGGCCAGGTCAATGGGGAACACACAGGTGACCCCGATCAGGCCGGCGATGCCGCCATTGATGAGCTTGGCTGGCAGGCTGCGTGGGCAGACGGAGGTCAGGCGGCCTCCTCGGCCATAGGTCAGCAGGGAGGGAGGGCAGGGTGGGGTGAGGCTGGGCTGGGTTCTGACCTGATCTGCTTATCGGCCATTTAACTCGGGAGCACCCAGGTAGGAGCCGCGGAGCGGGATGCCAGACAGTGGGGGAGGGAGCGCAGGGCAGAGGCGGGTCCTCTGCTTTCAAGGGTGTTTCCAAACCAGCGCTTCTGTCCTAGGAGAGAGGGGACTGCAATCAGCGGGGGTGGGCAGACAGGAGAGGCACACCAGAGGAACAGGCTTGCCCATCTCCCTCCCAGGAATCCCCGCAGGGGCTCCGAGTGGCTCCCCCAGGCCCCCAACCCCGCTTGGGTGGGCCACACGTTGTGGGCTCGCAGCGTGCCGTGAGGCCCACCACCTGGCCCCATCCCTGGGCCACCTGGCTTCCTCTCAAGATCCCCCACCAGCGCGTCCTCCCAGCTGGCCTTGCTCACGCTCACGTGCAAGGAGCCCTTTAAAGGGCCAGGCGCCTCCTCCCCTGGGCTGGGCTGTACCAACCCCATTCTCAAGCAGCCTGCTCTGTCAGGATGGGGGTGAGAGAGCCCCAGGGCCCCCGCGGGGCTCAGCTCACAGCTGCCCAGGTAGATGCGGCCAGCACAGGTGCAGGCCCTGCTCCGTGGCAAATCCAGGCTGGAGCCCTAGACCACCGCTCCCCTGGAAGAAGCAACCACAGCCAGCCCTGTGCCCACCCTCCCAGGAACTTCAGCCCCTGACTGCACGCACGCACACGCACACACGCGCGCACACACACACACGCCAAGGAGGGCGGGGGATGGCTAACCCTCTGAGGCTCCCTGTGTCTGGTCCACCACCTATTCCTGGGGGGCAGGCCCAGGAGGCCCCTCTCTCTAGGGGCAGGGCTGGGGACGCAGAGGCACCCCAGGGGCCTCCTGCGGGGGGCGCCCCCCAGCCCGCGCCGAGACCAGCTGTCCCTGCCTCGCACCCGCCGAGCCGCTACTCGGGTCACACGGCTGGCTCACACCTGCCGTCGCTCGCGGACCGGTGACCTTCACCCCGGCTTCCTCGGGTCGGGCGGCCCCCTGCCCCCGCGGCAGCCCGCCGCCCCCGCCGTGGTCCCGCTCACCCCGGGCGCGCAGGACCGGCTCCTCCACTGCTGCTCCTGGAGACTCCAGCCCGCGGGCGGGCGGGGGAGGGCCAGCGGCCGGGGGCGGTGCCGGCGGCGGGGATTGGCTGCGGGGCGGGGCGGGTCTGGGGGGGGGCGACTTTCTCTTTCAGTTTGGGCGGGATGAGGCGCCCTGCCGCCGCGGGAGACAGGATGAGAAGGGGGTGTGACAGCTTCTGGGAGGCTTGGGCTGGCCTCCGAGCCCCCTTCAGCCCGTGAGGCAGCGGGTCTGACGGGCTAACCCAGCCAAGCCACGCAGCCGGTTCGAGGGGCCCCAGCCCGCGGCCGCCGGGCACCCAGCTGCTCCTCTGCGGCCAGCAGGCGGGCTCTGGTTAGGGCCCTGGGACCCCAGGAATGGGGCTCTCTCTGTACCCGGGCACAGGGAATCTGCAGCTGTGGGGTGGAGGTGGGCTGTGCCCGCGTGTGTCTGTGGACCGTGTGTCTTCTGGGAGGTGCATTTCAGGGAAAACTCATGCAGGAGCGGAGAAGACACGCTTGTCTGCTGCAAAGGCCAGGGGGTGGCTGGATCACAGAGACCCACCGGCTGCCACCCACACTCCCAAAGCCCTCTGCCCCCGCAGATGCCTCCCACCCCACTTACCCAGAGCCTCCGTGCCCCAGTCTTAGAGAAGAGCCTGATCTCTGCACTTCAACCTGACTTTCTCTCCCCACCCCCACTCCCCAGGTGCAAACGTCACAGCCGATTGTTGTCCCCGACCCTTGGGGACAAGGTCCATACTCTGCCCTCTTGGACCTGAGCAAGCCCACCAGACCCTACCCCCTGTGCAGGATAAGGGACACCTGGATGCTAGGGTCTCGGAAGTCGGACAGACTCTCCAAGGTGGGGAGGGGAGCAGCTGTCCCGGGAATAGAGGCAGGCCTGGAGATCCGAGCCTGAGACCGTCATGTCAGCTGGTCCCACTCTGCGCGCTGGGATGGGGGAGACGCTTTAGAACCGAGTAGTGTGGGGAGGGGCTCTGCCAGGGGAGAACTGGCAAGGGGTCCTCTGGACCAGGAAGCCTCCTTTTCCTGTCCTCACTCAGTGGTTCCTACCACCTGCTCATGAGAGCTCGGAGGGCCCTCCCCTTGCACCCCAGGTTGCCATAGAGACCCGGCAGCCCCAGCCAGGCCTGAGGCCCCGGGCTGTCAGCCCTCCCTGTCCCCCCCCTGGCTCCCGCAGCGTCCTCAACCGGCGTTGCAGGCGAACTCTGAGCTGAGCTGTGGACAGCTCAGCTCAGAGGCCACCCGCAGGATCATGCTGCTGTCTCAGCCCCCCCCCGCCAGGAAGTAAAATCTGCCACGAAAGAAGTCCCTGGACTCCCTCACCCCCAAGAAATGAAAAGGCTGTGAGGCTCCAAGTCTGCAGCTGGCCCTTCCCTCCCCATTCATCCCCCCAGCCCCTTGCCCCGGGGAGGCACTTTCAGTCCCAACGGCTGGAGGGGCGCCAACCCGGCGACAAAGGAGGCGCGGAGTGGGGGTTCAGGGCTGCGACTGGAAGCCCGGCTCAACTCCCCGTCCAGCTGGAAGAAGTCCCCATGGGGCCCGGATCGCCATGCTGAAGCCCGCCAGGCGATGGCGACTTCAGCCACCCACGTGTCCACGTACATCCCGCAGGGCCCCACGTGAATGTCCCCCACGGCCCGGCTGGTTCCTTGGGTACTAGCTTCCGTCTCCCGACCGGCGAGGACACGTGTGCGCGGGGAGCGCGCCCGGCACCGCCCGGGGCCCGGCCTCCCACACTCCGGCGGCAGCGGATCCGAGCATCCGCCGGCGCGGGCTCCGCAGAAACCGCCTTGTCCGGGCAGATGTCACTTCCCACAGCCGCCGTGGTGCCCCTGGCCCCCGCGGCCGGACTGCACTCGGGTGGGCTCAGCGGAAGGAGCCACCAGGCGGGCACTCACCGCGCGCTCTGTCGCCGCCGCCGCCTCTGCCGCCGCGCTGGCCTCCCCGCTTCGCCGCGCGCCCGGCTGCACCTAAGCGCGGGGGCGCGTCCGCTCGGCGCCGCGCGCGCTCCGCCCCCGGCCGGCGGCTGGCTCGCGGACTCCGGCTCCCCCTCCTGGCCGCCACGGCCACTGCGCTCGGCAGGCCCCAGTCCGGTGCCAGCCCGCGCTCTAGATCTCCAAGGGTTTTCACTGGGCGTTCGACTTCCCCTCGGGTGCATGGGCCAGGGACTACTCCCGTCGGGCCAGCGGATGGAGGGTGCGCTGGGACGAAGTGTCCCTAAGGGAGGAGCCGTGTGAACTCAACTGGCCAAGCAGCAGGCCCTCAACCAAAAGGCAGATGTGCAATCCGGCACAGGACCGACTGTATTCACGGGGCAGAAGCTGTTAACTTTGTAGCTGGGACTCCTCTCCCTCCCCGATCAGGACCCAATGCAGGTGCTGGGCGCAGACCAGCAGGAATGAGAGCTGTGCAGAAGGAAGTCTGTACAGAGGCCTGCTTGCAGCAGAGCAGGGCCAGGCCTCAGATCACCTGGCCACCCCTGGCCCTCCACTGGCCTCTCCACCCAAGAAAGTCAGTGCTGAGACAGCGACCAGGCCAGTGTATGTGTGTTACACGGGTGGGGGGGTCACTTTGTTCACACGCAGGGAAGATTTGAAAGCGGGAGCCTCAGGGTCCAGCCCAAAGTCTGGGGTCTAGGTCTGGGCAGGCTCTGGGGAAGGTGATGGCGACCGGTCAGGAGAGGCAAGGTTCCTGGGGGCCAGGCTCGTGTGCCGGAGGCCCTCCTGGTACTTGTGGCGGCCAAGCTCCAGGACAGCCCGCACCTCTTCGGCCACATCCCGCCGGTCACTCTGCTCCAGGGCCTGCACGAGGCGCCCCACGGCCCCTGGCTGCCCAGCCTGGCGCTCCGCCCAGGAGAAGAGCATGTGGCAGATCTGCCCATCCAGGTCATCCCTGGAGGGACAGGGGCGCAGTCAGGGGGGTGCCTGCCAAGACAACCCACCACGCCCAGGGCCTTGCTCTCCCTCCCAGCACAGGGGCCTTGCTCCGTGGGCCAGGGGTGGCCAAACCCTCCCTGCCCATCTGCCCTGCCCCCTTTCCCTGGACAGAACCTCAGCCAGCCTCTGGCAGGAAGCCAGCAGGACGAGAGGCTCAGAACTCACCGGAACTCGTGCCGGATGCGCTGGAGCTCACGGTAGGGCAGGCCCAGGTGCAGGGCCACGGCTGGCCAGTCGGGGCCCAGGCGCCTGGCCACGTTCAGCAGGTTGCTCTGGGTCAGGAAGCCAGTCTCGGCGTCGCCCAGGTTCAGAGGCGCCAGGGAGAGGCCAGCCCCCCGGGCCGGGCCCTCGCATCCCCTCAATCTCTGCAGGCAAGTCGAGGTGGTAGTGAGCTCCGGCCTCACCCCAGCCCACCCCGGCGGCTCCTCCCCCGGCCCCTCCACACAGGGCTCCCCAGCCAGGCCTCACGGGCAGCTTGATGGGCAGAGTGGCCATCCACAGGGCAGCTGTGCCCCTCTTCTGCCGGGCAGCCTCTGCCTCCTCAGGGACCACCTCCGGCACCTCGCCCCGGTAGAAGGACACCTGCAGGGGAGGGGGGCTTCAGCGCTCTGGCCTCGGCCCGGGCAACCCGGGGCGCCCACCCCACTGGCCCACCTGGCCCCTCACGGCCCGAGCCCGTCGGTCCAGGGCGGTGGTCACGTACACCTCCTTCAGGTTCTTCAGGTGGGAGTAGAAGACAAAGCACACCCTGCCTTCCACGCAGTCTGGGCGGTCTGTGGGCACAGGGGGCTCAGCGGGGACTCAGGGGCAGACCCAGCGTCCCTGCTCCGGGCGCCAGGGGCCACACCTGCGTCGATGTCAATTCCCCTTTCGAAGGCGGCGAAGAACTTCTCCCCCTCAAACATCTCCACGGTGTCCGAGGGCTCAGGGCCGCGGTATCGCTCCAGCAGCCGCCGCAGGGTGGCGTCCACCTGGGTGGGGGGAACCCACTGGCTGGGCGCCCGATGCCCTGCACCGCGCCCCACCCCCAGCCCGCCGCCACTGCCCCCACCTTGTTGCGGGGCAGGCACTGCAGCAGGACCTGCTCGGGGTCCCGGCGTCTCTGCAGCGCGATGAGGTTCACGCGGTGCAGCCGCAGCCGCTCCCAGGCCTTCCGCGCCAGGCCCCCCACGCAGGTCTTGGTGGTGTACCACAGCCAGTACCTGAGAAGGCGAGGGTGAGGGGGCCTGCAGGCCAGGGGGTGTGGGGGGGGGGGCTGAGGCGGTGGGGGCACTGACCAGGAGAAGCGCGTGACCTGGAAGCGCGCGTACAGGTGCGTCAGCTCCAGGGCCACCTGCGCGGTGATGTCGTCCCAGGTGGCCGCGGAGGCGGCCCGGTGCAGCAGGTACAGGCGGGACCGGTCCAGACTCAGGCCTGGGCGGGGGGAGGCGGGGTGGGGGGGCGCGCCGGCTGAGGCCTCTGGCCGGGCGCCCCTTCTGAGCAGCACCCTGCCCGTGCCCGCACGGCTGCCCTCACCTGTGACGCCAGGCGGCAGAGGCAGCTGCACGGTGACTGGCCGAAGGAAGCTCGAGGGGCCGCTCTGCGAGAGGCAGAGCAGGGGGCTGGCTGCAGCCTCGGGCTCCCCCAGCAGGGCTGGCAGCTCTCTGCGGCCCACGTGCACGACCTGGAGCAGATGGGTGGCCCGAGCGGTCACTTCTGTGCCCAGGCGCCCCCACCACCCCAGCGGGTGTCCCGGCCCTACCTGCATGCGGACGTGCCGGGGCTCCTCTGTGGCCCCAGCAGGGAAGGTGACCCTGACCCCAGCGTGTCCTGAGGAGCACAGCAGCGCCCCCTCTGGTGGCACCAGGCAGGCATCGGACACGGGGCGCGAAACCACGAGGAACCAGGAGAAGTGGGGCACCTGGCAGTGAGCCCAGAGCCGCTGGCGCGGGAGCACACGGTCGGGACCAGCGGGCCGGAGCAGAGCCGGCCCTTCCCAGACGGCCCGGGCCACCCCCGCCTGGGGCGCCTCCTCCTCCAGGTGGGTCTCCAGGTCGCTCCAGCTGCTGTCACTCAGTGTCCTGACCACCACCTCGCGGCACCGCCGGGCCCGCGGGGGCACGAAGAGCAGCCACAGGCCCACCTCCTGCCAGGCGAGGGGCGACATGAGCGCCAGGGCCACGCTGGGCCCTCCTCGCTGGGGCCCTCGCCCGCGCTTGGCCCACCCCAGCCGTGCCTGCTGGAAGGCCACCCCGTGGGGCTGCAGCTCCAGGACACTGCTGAGCAGAGCGTCGTGGGGACCCAGGGGCACGAGCCGCGGCTCCGGCAGCCACTGGCGGTAGCGGACGGTCACGGGGGCAGCAGTGGCCCCCGCGGGGAACTGCAGGCGGACGCCGCAGGCCAAGGTCACGGAGCAGCCTTGGGGGGTCACGGCAAAGCTGAGGGAAGACAGGTGGGCACAGGGTCAGACAGCAGAGTCCCCTAGGTCTGAATCTGGCGCCCCAGGCACCTGTGGGAGACCCCCGGGGCATGGGCAAGGTGTACAGCGAGGGCAGCGTGGCAGGTGGACAGAGGCTTTTCCAGCCCAGCCCCTCCCTCACGCCATACCTGTCCAGATCTGAGGTCAGCAACAGCCTGGGCATTTCTGGGACCATGGGTGTCCCTGGGGAGGGACAGATGGGCTGTTAGGCCGGTGATGACACCTGCGCCCTGACTGTGGTCTGCCCCCAGCCCCACAGCAACCCTACCTGGGGGGCTGGGGGGGTCAGGAGGGGGCCTGCCCAAGGGGTTTCCTTGCAGGCGCACAAAGGGGGCGTCCAACAGCTCAGGGGGCACGTCCCGGAGCTGGTTGTCCCTCAGGTCGAGCCGGGTGAGCAGCGGGAGGCGCGCCAGGCTGGCGGGCACCGAAGCCAGGAGGTTGCTGTGCAGAATGCAGAGCCGCAGGGCCCGCAGCCCGGCTGCGGGGGGCGCCAGCTCAGGGCCAGCGGAGGACCGTCGTGGCTACCCGCCCCTAAGCGCCAGTCCAGGCGGCTCGCACCGCAGCCGCCCGGGGAGCCCTTTCAGTCTCCGCCCGGTAGCTGGACTAGAGAGCTCAGGGAGGCCTGTGCAGGGGGGAGCCTCCACAGCCAGGGAAGCGGGGAGCACGCGAGGGCTGCCGGGGAGGCGAGCCGGCCCGGGTGTACAGGGCACGTGGAGGAGGGCGGGGCAGCCAGCGGCCCACAGGCACTCCCCACTGGGCCAGGGGAACCAGGGCCGCGACTCACCGAAGGAGCCAGGGAGGCTCTGCAGCCGATTGGAGGCGAGATTGAGCTCGGCCAGGCTGCCCAGGCCTCCGATCTCAGCGGGCAGGGCCTCCAGCAAGTTCCCAGAGAGATCGAGGCGCTGCAGGCTGGACAGGGCTCCCAGGGCTGGGGGCAGCGTTCGCAGGCGGTTGTGGGTGACGGCGAGGAAGGTGAGGGATGGGAGGGCCCCCAGAGCCGCGGGCAGCTCTGAGAGGCAGTTACGAGACAGCAGGAGGGCGTCCAGGCCACACATCTGGGGGACGCAGGCCGGCAGTGTCTCCAGGCTGTTGAAGCTCAGATCCAGGTGGGCCAAGTGGGCTAGGCCACTCAGGCTGGTGGGCAGCGTGGTGAGGGACCCCCGGAGGCAGGCACCCAGGGTGTCCCGACGTTGCCCACCTGATGGGGGAAAGGCAGAGAGACGTGGCCTTCAGAGTCAGAGACCCAGGTGAGCCCAGCTCTGCCGGCCAGGGAAACGGGTGCATGGAAACGCAGAGCTCCACCCCAACCCCACCACAAAAGAGAGAGACGGACAGATGCTGCAGGGCCCCCGGCGAGTGAAGCAGGCAGGCACAGACGGCGCGGCCTCATCTCAGCTGACGGCCGTCACCCGTGACCCAGCCCTGGAAAAAGACCTGCCCCGGAGTCTGCTGGAGGCACCACCGCGCAGCTGCTGGGGCCGGGAGCCCGGGCCCAGCCAGCTGCCTCTCGGGGGAACACGGCTGGGTAGAGCTGTGCAGGGAACAGGGCTGGGGCTGGGGCCGGGGTCCACCTTTCAGGACCAGGAAGCAGAGGCAGGAGCTAGAAAGAGGCTGGGACAGGGCTGGGACTGGGGGGGCTCACCTTTGAGGACCAGGGAGCGGAGGTGTGGCAGGCTCCAAGGCAGCCGGGCCAGGGAGGCCTCCAGCAGCTGAGGGTCCTCGTGGCCACTCAGCTGCAGGAAGTCCACCTCCAGCAGCTGAGGGGCCTGCTGGGCACACAGGCGCAGCAGCCGGCGGCAGCCCCCGGGGTACAGGTGCAGGCTCAGCCGGTTTCCGGCTGGGAGCAGGGGCGCCTCCGGCCCTGCACCCACAGCCTCTGTAGCATCTCTCGCAGCATCTTCTGGGACCGAAGTCGCGGGCACCTGCCCCGCCTCCACTGCAGCCATCGCCCACCAGGCGTCCTCCGGGGCCAGACATGTCCCAGCTTGCCAGGCAGGCCTGCTCAGGCAGGGCCCAAAGAGGCTGCAGAGTCAGGGGGAGGAGTGGGCTGGGCGTCCTCACAGCCAGAGGAAGGGGGACTCAGGCTGGAGGGAGCCAGGCCCACTGGTCCAGAGTCCAACGCCTAGACTGGACAGACTGTCACTGACATGGGCTGGGGAAGAGAACTCCCTGGGGCTGGGAAGGTGGCAGGCAGGAGACCTGTGAGTGCAGAGGGGCTTGAGGACAAGCCCGAGGGAGTGGGGGAGGGAGGCCTCACACCCCCAGTCTAGAAACTTGACAAGGGGCTCCTAGTCCAGACCCCCGCAACGCCACCTGCCGGGCACCAGAGGCCCACCTCCAACCTTTCACATTTCTCGGCTCCAACCGGAGGCACTGGTTCTCATCTACCACGTTGGGCCGGTGGCCCAGGCAAGCACACGAATGATCCTGCCCGCGTCTGTCCGAGCAGCGCGAGGGGGCTCCTGAGGACGGGACCCACTTCCTGGCCCCTGGAGGAGGACTCTCCCGCCACTTGCAGCTCGCACCTCGGTCCGCAGGGGAGGTCCGTGCACCGCGCAGTCGCCGCCCCCACCGCTTGGGGCGTGTCCTGGGGGAGAAACCGCACCGCAACCCTCCCCACCCCAACCTCCGCGTCCCCTAGACGCACCCGCGGCCCGCGCACCTGCGCTCCCGGCGGCGCGTTTCCGGGTCCGGCCGCGTGGGAAGCTCGCCTCGCGCTGGAAAGGTCCGCCGGCAGGGGTCTCAGGGTCCCGCCCGCCCTGCCCGCCCTCTGCTGGACACACCGCCCCGCCGCACTCAGCTTCCTGTAGGCCGGCGTGCATCTGTGCGACCGCCCTTCCCGCGGGAAGGCCCGCTTTTCGCGCCACAAAACCCAACCTCTCGGGCCCTGGACCCGCTCTGCTCTGGCTATGCATTCCCGGCCCCGTTTTAAAATGAACTAGTGCGATCTCTGGCTGCAGGGGGTACTGAGGGCTGATTGCAGTTGCTGCCCCACACCCACCTCCTACCGGAGGTCAGCACCGAGGTCCCCAGCCAGCCCCCAAAGGCCTCCTCTCAGGCCCTGCAGAGCTCAGGGCCCACCTTCCATGACCCTACCTTACGGGAGCACTCTGGGCCACCTCCCAGCCCCCCGCCCCCAGCGGGCTTCCCCATAGGCTGCCTCCTTCTTTCTCAGCGTCTCATAAGGGAGGAAAAGGAGGTGGGGGAGATCAGATGTGGCCCAAGGCCACTCGGTGAAGGCCAAAGTCAAGGACCAGATCTGTCTCTCGAGAAAGCCTTCCCGACTGGTCCTTCCACCTCACAGAATAGGTGCCTGTGAACATACACATCCGCCCCAGCCTGTTCTGCCCCAAATGACACCTCTACCCTCTTTCCGCCACCCTCCCCAACTACCAACATCCTTCCCACCTGGACGGGCAGTTCCTGCTAGGCCTGTGTTCTCCCCAACTCGTATTCCCCCTTCAGTTTCCACATAGCTGCCAGAACACACACACACACACACACACCCACGCAGGAACATCATTCAGACTTAAAAAGTAATGAGTGATGGCGCATCGACTCAATGGACATGAGTTTGAACAAACCCTGGGAGATAGTGAAGGACAGGGAAGTCTGGCATGCTGCAGTCCATGGGGTTGCAGATCCGACAGGACTGAGCGACTGAGCAACAAAAGGTAATGAAATCCTGACACATGTTACAATGTGAATGAACTTTTAAGGGCATTACACTAAATGAAATAAGCCGGGCACAAGAGGACAAATACTGTATGATTCCACTTATGTAAGATCCCTAGAGCAGTCAACATAGAAATAGAAAGTAAATGGGAGCCAGGGGCTGGGAGAGGGATGGGGCGTTATTGTTTAGAATTCAAGAAGAGGAAAAAAGTTCTGGAGATACACTGTGGTGATGGTTGCAGTTGAACGCCGTGTGATGGTCATTGTGAATGCATCTAGTGCCACGAAACTGTATGATTAAAGTGGCTTTACAGTATGTATTATCGTACCATTAAAAAAAACACAACAGGCCACTTTCCCGTGTGACTGCAACAGTCCCATCCTTGCCAGATGGTGTTCCTCACTTTACCCCAGCTGTGTGACCTTCAGCAAAAAAACCTTTCTGTGCCGACATTCATCGATATAATGGGGTTTCCGTAGGGCCTGCGTTATCACATCGGCGCTTGGCCCTAACACGAGCCCGCCTGGGCTGCCTGCTGCCTCTGAACCCATCTCCGGCCACCTTAGCAAGGCCTTTACTCCTGGGGCCTGATGCTCGCCCAGATCTTCGCAGAACAGGCGCTCGCTCACCCTTCAGCCCTCCTCTCTCAGGGTTTACCTCAGTTAGGACTGCCTCGTTTAACTACTCTGTGTCCGCGCACTAGAACCTAAGCTCTGAGGAAGCAGAACCGGGCCTGCACGCCCCCAGGACTGACGCCAACCTGCAGCAAGGTCCCCGACAGGCAGTGAACAAGCAACGTGTGCTGTGTCCGCGGGGAAGCTGATGTCACTTCCGAAAGGGCACGGCCCGGGTGGGGGCGGGTCACACGGGCATGGATGGTCTGGCTCCGCTCCTCCGAGCGGCAGTAACAGAGCCTCCCAGCTTCACCCGGGGTCCCCGCCGTGGCACTAGGGATGGGGGGAGCAGCGGCTGGGTTCCGCGGAGTGAACGCTCGGGGCGGGGGCCCAGCCGGACAGCCGGCTCTTGTACGCGTAGCCTGCCGCACCCCCTCAGCGGCGCCGGGCCACGTGCGGCCCGCAGAGGCGCCCCCGCGCTTCCGGTAGCCGTGAACCATGGGACTTGTAGTTCGCCGGCCGCGTCCGCCGCTCCTGCAGAGAAGCGAGCAGCGCACGGAGGCCGCACTGCATGCTGGGAGCTATAGGCGCCGCGTGGCATCCTGGGAACCCTGAAGGGAGAAACGCTACACTCCTGGCTCGCGCCTCTCTCAGCCCCACTTCCCCCAGGGATCTCGGGCGGCAGTCACCCCACTATATACACGAAGACAGCCCTGAAACTGCCTTCCGCCTTTGCGGTGGCGGCTGCGCGACAGACGGGATAATGGCGTCTCCTGCGTCCTCATTGGCTAGGCATATCGTGACGTCACTAGGAGGCGCCCTCTCGGGGCGCCGAGCGCAAGTCCCGGAGGCTTCTGGGTAGCGAATTACTCCCATCCCCAGCACCGGCGATTTCCTTTCCGTCGCTGACGCCGCCGAGGTCGCACGCGTGAGGCTGCTCTGCCACCGCTGAGTGAGTGGGCCGGGAGGGCCGGGCCGCGGGGCCTGGCCGCGGTCGTGAGTGCCGCGGGGGGCAGGCGGGGCAGGGCGTGGGCCAGGCCTCAGCGGCGGGTCCGCACCAGCCGCGCGCGGCCCGGCACTGACCTCGTAGGGACCCGAGGCCGCCCATAATGCCGTTGTCCTTGTCTCATGCGCTAGGATGCGTTACGTTGCCTCCTACTTGTTGGCCGCCCTCGGGGGCAATTCCTCCCCCAGCGCCAAGGACATCAAAAAGATCCTGGACAGCGTGGGCATCGAGGCAGACGACGACCGACTCAACAAGGTAGCCGCCTCGCAGAGGCCCGAAGGCCCCCCGACCCTCTACTCCGCATACGGGGCTCTCTCTCCTACCCAACCCAGGGAAGTAGGTTGCTGCATGTTTGGTGGGAGGCCTTTGCCAGCCCATGTGGTTTTGGAAGTGTCCTAAGGTACTGGTACAGCCCAAAGGAAGAAAAAATGGAGATGAAGTGAAGTCCGCGTTATCGTGGCTCAGTGGGAACAAGTCACGTGAAAGCTTTTTTTTTTTTAAGTGAAAACAAGTCCACCTTGCCATTATAGTTTTGAACTTAATGTGGTGGTGGTTTACTTGGTAAGTCGTGTCGGACTGTTGCGACCCTGTTGGCTGTAGACCGTCAGGCTCCTCTGTCCATGGGATTTCCCAGGCGAGAATACTGGAGTGGGTTGCCATTTCCTTCTCCAAGGGATCGTCCCAACCCAGGAATTGAACCCAGGTCTGCTGCATTGCAGGCGGACTCCTGTACTGCTAGCAGATTCTTTACCAACTGAGCTACAAGGGAAGTAAAAAATACACTACACTCAGTCCTGTCCGACTATGCCACCCCATGAACTGCAGCTCACCAGGTTCCTCTGTCCATGGGGAATGTCCATCCCGACACAGGGATGGTGCCCAGGTCTCCCGCATTGCAGGTGGAATCTTTCCTGACTGGGCCCCTGGGGAAGCTCTCACTCAACCTAGTGAAGGTTATTTTGATATGTATTGAGTGTAAAGTGAGATATTTTGCATTTTTTTCAGCAGTAAGTTTTGGAATTAGTTGCCACGTGTGGGGTGTCTTATCTTACCTGTCCTGAGTGGGTCATAACTGCAGAGCGGGGGGTGGGGTGAGGTGGTGGCCTCTGGTGACCCTGCTCCTCATCTGCTCTAGGTCATCAGTGAGCTCAACGGAAAGAACATTGAGGACGTCATTGCCCAGGGTGAGGTTGTGTTTGAGGCTTTCTTTTTCACGGTCCATTCTAATCCTTGCTGGTCAGCCTGTGACCTGCCAGGCTTCGCTTGTGGACCAGAGCACCCTAGAAGCCTTACCCAGAGGAGTGAGCAGGATCGCCATGGGCTCCTGCCATGGGCGCTTCTAGACAACCACCCCGGCAGGGCAGCAGGGCGCCTGTGCTCTTGGTGGGATTCTGTAAACAAGCCTCACCACTCTTCTGTGGGGGCTAGGACTGACCACAGGCCCCTGCCCTGTGAGGTCAGGCTAGAGCTGGACTTAATTGGAAGTTGAGCTTTGGGGGAGCTGTTTTTGTCCGTGGGTCCATGACAGGGCAAAGGCAGCCTCGTTTGTGAGCTCACTGCTGGGGCTGAGGATCTGGACACTGGGACGGTGGGTTTTACCTGCCTGCTCATAAGCACGTTTGTCCAACTTACCTCCCGGGTAGGGCGCTGTGGACCTACAGGTGTGCTGGGGGGCGGTTCTAGTGTCTGGGAAAATGGGAATCTTACATGGACCCTAGTGAGCTGGACAGTGTCTCTTCACTTTGAGATGACGTTCAGGCAGAACACCTGCTCTGTGCTCACCTCCCCTTGGGTCTCTGCAGGTATTGGCAAGCTGGCCAGTGTGCCCGCAGGCGGGGCTGTGGCCGTCTCTGCTGCCCCAGGATCCGCAGCACCTGCTGCAGGTTCTGCTCCAGCCGCAGGTAAGTGGAGGTTCAAGAGCTGTTGGTGCACACGCCCTGGAGTCTGTCTCTGCTGGGTGTGTGGCCTGCACTGCGATTGAGCTCGCCACGCTTTCTCCCCACAGCAGAGGAGAAGAAGGAGGAGAAGAAGGAAGAGTCGGAGGAGTCAGATGACGACATGGGCTTTGGCTTGTTTGACTAGAGTCCCGCTTCCCTGCAAATAAAACCCTTTTTATGTATTTCCTGAGTTAACTGTGAGTGCTTTGTCAGTGTGGTCTCTGCATCTTTGTCTCGTTCTGGGATGAACCAGGACCCTTGCCCAGTGGAGTCTGAAGAGCCAGGAGTGGGGAGCCTGGGAGGGGGCACTTCCTGAGGGTCTTGAGTATGGCCAAGCCTTGAGCCTTCTTCTTGGACATTGTCGCGGCTCCTGAGGACTGCCAGGGTCTTGGACGGAATAAGGCTTTTGGGGGACTCCCCGTCCAGAAAAGCTTCCAAACCTGGGGAGGGTGGCCTCTGCTCTGTGAGGTGGGTGCCTCCAGTTGAGGCCAGCAGTTCCCATCAGATTGAGTGGTTTCAGTTACACAAGGGGACGTGGTGCACCTGGATTCCGCTGTAGGAGTCGGACTCCTGGTCTTTTTTGAGTCAGCACCCCAGCTCCACCTTAGCTCCTGAGTAACTCGGGTGTCATGCCTCTGCTCTGAGCCTCAGTGTCCCCAGCTGACTGGTGGCCACTACCTTTGCTGGGCAGATGTGGAAGTGGCTTGCAGACAGCAGTGCTGGCCGCATGCTCTTTGGGTCCTTTAGTGGCAGGCCTGCCCATGCCCTTCTGCCAGGTTCTGGCCTAGAATACGGGGCAGAGGGGAGAGGCCCTCTCACTGCCCAGTTCAGTTCAGTCGTGTCCAACTGCGACCCCATGGACTGCAGCACACCAGGCCTCCCTGTCCGTCACCAACATCTGGAGCCCACTCAAATTCCTGTCCATTGAATTGGTGATGCCATCCAACCATCTCATCCTCTGTCATCCCCTTCTCCTGCCTTAAATCTTTGCCAGCTTCAGGGTCTTTTCCAATGAGTCAGTTCCTTTCATCAAGTGACCAAACTATTGGAGTCTCAGCTTCACCATCAATCCTTCCAATATATATTGAGGACTGATTTTCTTTAGGATGGACTGGTTGGATCTTGCAGTCCAAGGGATGCTCAAGAGTGTTCTCCAACACCACAGTTGAAGACATCGATTCATTTCACTATCCTGGCCCTGTAGCTGTTGGCAGTCTTCACTGCCAAGGCCTTGGGCCTTTGCCCACCAATGCCAGGCCACCCAGTAGATCCTCTGCCTTTCTGAAGGCTGTGCTGTGGTGGGTAAGTGCTCGGAGCTCACCCTGCATGCAGTAGGCCTTTATGGAGCTGTGGGCTGTTTCAGAGGAGAGTGGTGAGTGCAGCATAGGAGATTGTGGAGCAGAGGGGCAGGGGTGCTGCCCTGAGGAGTGGGGCCTTGGACAGGGGTGAGGGTCACGGTAAGGGGAAGAGGTCTGGGGTGTGGAGGCTGGGGGGCTCTGTATGCCTAGGGACACAGCTGACCCAGGGCTGGGGTCCAAGGCTAAGGTATTGGGGCCCCTCTCAGAAGAGTGGACCCAGCGTCCAGGGGCAGAACTCACAATCCTAGGTTCAACCGCTGAAGAAATGAGCCCTGTGGGGGCAGAGGACCCCTGCCTGGCGTTCAACAAGCCCGAGGGATTCTCATCTGTACTGACGGGGGAAGGGGCAGGTCCACCTCCCACTCCACAAGCAGGATTCTGGGAAGGGCTCGATGTTCCTGGCTCCCCTAGTCCCAGGGCCCTGAAGGGAGGGTTATGTACCCAAAACAAGTCAGCTAGTGTGTGGAAATGGGAGCAGAGGTCTCCCCGCACTGGGGCGGCACAGCCTCATTCCCTCAGAAAAGGCCCGGACGCTGGCCTCCCACAGCAGGCTGCGGGGACGGCCTTCCTAGGCCCCTGGCTGAGCTCACCGTGTCCAGCTCCTCCTTGGTGGTCCACCCTGGTGACCCCCTGAGCTCTGCAGGCTGGCCTTGGGGGTCTGTTCCATTTCTACTGTGTCCCCCCTCATCTGCTGTGTCCAGCAGTCTCCCCAAGGGCTCAGGCACCCCAATCCTGTGCTGCACCTCCATCCAAAGCATTCGGGGTTCTAAGTCAAACACCCTCACCCTCTGCCCTCCCTTTTCCCAGGACCCCGCTGCCCTCCCCTCCTCCCACCCAGGGCCCTTGAGGGTCTGCAGGGTGGGTGGCCCTTTGCCTTCCCATGGTTCACCCTTCTCAGTCCTTATTTGAACTTGTGGAAACACTCTCTCCCACTTCAGCCAACCCCCTCCCCAAGTGGGGCTGGTCTTGCTGACTGCTCACTGCTCTGCTGGTGCAGGCTCCCATGCCAGGCACACGTGCCAAGCACGGGTGGCCTGGAGCTGAGGACTGGCTGGCATGATGCTACATGGCCCTGTCCTGGGGAAGCCTTGCTCTGGCTTTGCCTGGGCTTGCCTGGGGGGTGGCCCCAGGCTGGGTCCTGAGCCAAACTCCTGCCTGGGGAGCAAATGTCAGGGGTGACATGCACCCCTGCCTTCAGCATAGGTAAGCCCCTTGTTTGGGAGGTGGAGTGAGGTGCCGGGTGACCTGGTGGCTCAGTGGTAAAGAATCCTGCCAATGCAGGAGACATGGGTTTGAACCCTGAGTCCGGAAGATCCCAAAAAGGAAATGGCAACCCACTCCAGTATTCTTGCCTAGGAACTCCCGTGGACAGAGAAGTCTGGTGGGCTACAGTCCATGGAGTCACAAAAAAGAGTCAGACGGGACAGAGCCAGTAAACAAGTGAAGTGCAGGGCTGGTCTCTGGATACAAGTCAGGCTAGCCCTGCCCTGTAATCCAGGAGAAAAATGCGGAAGGGGGTGGGAGGGTGACGTTACCAGCACCTGCTTGGGCAATTAGTGAGGGCGGGTCAGGGCTGGAGTCACCCGGAGTAGACCCCACAGCCTGAGGAGCTGGGACAGGAGGCGGGTGGAAACCAACTTAGTGCCCAGGTAGAGTTGGCCGGGCCGGGAGGTCTGCTGTGGGTCTGAGACCCGGTGTTCTCTGCAAACTGTGGTTTGCACGCAGCCCTGTGTGTTTACGGGTCATTCTGGGGATGAGTCGGTGGGTCCTTCAGGTCCCTGGCCCGCGGCGAGCTCCTCGGTGTCCCGGGCGGGCGGAGGCCTACGCCTGAGGGAGGCGGGATGCTGCCTGGACAGCAGCGCCCTCCGCTCCCGGGTGTCCGGCTCAGCTGCCGACGTCCCGGGTCTGAGCGGACCGTCCCCAAGCCTCTGGGCCCCCGTCCGCCCCTTTCCGCCGTTGACGGTGGTGGGGGGCGGGGGAAGGCAGCGGGAGGTGGGGGACGTATACTTCCGTCCCGGTTCGGCTACTGTCTTTGGCGGGGCCGCGGGGTGTCGCTTCCAGGGGGCTGGACAGCGGGCGGGGTCTCCGGGTCAAGGTTGGCTTCCGGGGAGGGCGTGGCCTCGAGCCGAGGGCGGGGCCTCGGAGCCGGGCTCCGGGGAGGGCAGGGCATCGGGCTTGGCGTGGCCTCGGAGCCGGGGGCGCGGCCGTTCCCCGCGCGCCCCGATAGGCCCGCGTGAGCCGGCTCCGCCCCGCCCCCAGCTAAAATCGCAGCCTCCGCGCAGAGTCCCCAGCTCCGCCGGCTGAGACCCCGAGCCACAGCGACCGAGGCGCCAGCGGCCCGTGTAGCCCCGGCTCCAGAGCGAGCGGCGAGCGCGCGGCGCACAGGGCGGCCTGCGGAGCCCGGGAGCCCGGCGGGCCGCCGCGATGTTCCCCAAGGAGACGACGTGGAACATCTCGTTCGCGGGCTGCGGCTTCCTCGGCGTCTACCATATCGGCGTGGCCTCCTGCCTCCGCGAGCACGCGCCCTTCCTGGTGGCCAACGCCACGCACATCTACGGCGCCTCGGCCGGGGCGCTCACCGCCACGGCGTTGGTCACCGGGGCCTGCCTGGGTAAGGGGGCCGGGGGGGCTGGGCAGATGCCCCTCGCGAGCGTGGAGAGTCCCCTTCCGTCACCATGGGGAGGTGGGAGGGGTCTCTACCCGGGACTCGGGCCGAGGGTCCAATTCCGGGCGCCAGCCAGGGGCGGGGCCTGCCTTGTTTTGCTCCAAGGGTGCCGGGGAATTGGGGTAGGGCCCGGCGCGCCTCTGGGCCGAGGCTGCCGCCTGGGGCCCGCCTCTCGGACGCAAAGGTTGGGGGGCGGGCAGGTGCAGCAGGAGTTATTTCATTGGAAAGAGAAAGTAGTTCGTGGGCGGGACCTCGAGAGTCGGGGTGGGGCTTAGGCCGTCCGCCTGCCCCGGGCGTGAGACCGGGTGCCAGCGGTCACTGTGTTCTGGGGCTCCGGCATTCCAGACTGCCCTGGCCCCGGGGCCAGGTATGGAGTTGGCTTCTGAGAGAGCGTCTGGGCACTGTGGCCTGGCGCCTCCCGAGGACTCCTGGAGGAGGACCTGGCAGGTCAGGCCTGGGTCTGGCCAACACAAGCTCTCTCCGGCTCTTTCGCTCCCGGCGCATCGCCCACTGTGGGCCGGGTCCGTGGCTGCTGCGAGACGTTTTTGCCCCCTCCATGGGGCGAGAGGCGCGTGGAGACTCTGAAGTCCCAGAGTCGGCTTCCTGCACCCACACTTAACGGCGGCCCTTGCCAGTGATGTTTACGGCACACGGAGTTCTCCAGGAGACAGCCCAAGTGACAGAGGCGTCATTAGCTTCGGGAATGCCCCGCCCAGCAGGAGTCTGTCCAGAGCTCTCTCCTGCCCCCTGCCGGCGGCCTTCGCCCGGAGAGGTTGGGGTGGGAGGAGCAGAGCTCCAGGACCCCTGACCGGGACTTCACCCTGAGGCCCCGCCCCTCCCCTTTCAGGCGGCCTCCCCCGGGTGCCCCTCAAACCCCCTGTTGGTCTCAGGACACCCCTAGGTCCGGGGTGCCTTGTTGAGGACGTAGCTCCCATGGCGCCTGCCCCCAACACACACTCCCAAGAAACCTTTCTCACAAGTGCCAGTGGTCTTGGGCAGCTGGGGCCTCCACCCTGCCGCACTCCTGACCCCAGGGGTGATCCTAGCGCCTCCGGGGCCTTCCTGCGCCCTGACTACTCCCGGCCAGCTCCCACTCCAGCTTTGTCCCTGGCCAGTGCCCACAGCCCCCAGAGCCATGTGGAGGGGCTGCAATGGGATGTGAGTTGATTTCATGCCCCCGGGCGGCACTAGGGTCTGTGGATCTGGATCTGGCCAAGTGGGTGAAGGCTGAGGCTGCTCAGAGTTGAGCCTGTGGCTTCTACCCTTCCTGGCAGGGCTGGATGCCAGGCCAGGCCAGGCTCTGTGATTCATGGATCAGGGAGAGAATTGGGAAATACCGGGCAGAGGGCAGGCCATGGCCTCAGCTGTGCCCTCCCAGGAGCCCCTCTCTTCCCAGGAACAGGTGTCCCAGTTGTGGGCCAGGCTCCATGGACACAGAGGCTCCTCCGGGGTGGATAGTGCCGCCTTGAGTCTGTGCCGTGGTCCTTGGGCACAGAGCCTTGGGGAATGTGCGAAGCCCAGGAGTGCTGGCCCGACTCTTGGCCTTCTTATTCTAGGTGAAGCTGGTGCCAACATCATTGAGGTGTCCAAGGAGGCCCGGAAGCGGTTCTTGGGCCCACTGCACCCTTCCTTCAACCTGGTGAAGACCATCCGGGGCTGCCTGCTGAAGACTCTGCCTGCTGATTGCCACGAGCATGCCAGCGGCCGCCTGGGCATCTCTCTGACCCGTGTCTCTGATGGCGAGAACGTCATCATAACCCACTTCAACTCCAAAGAGGAGCTTATCCAGGTGGGCCCCGCGGGCCACACTGGGGCGCAGTAGGAACCCCGAGACCCCTGCTCACTGCCCCCTCTCTGTCCCTACCCTCCAGGCCAATGTCTGCAGCACCTTCATCCCTGTGTACTGCGGCCTGATCCCCCCTTCCCTCCAGGGGGTGGTGAGTATCCCCTGGGCGCCCCGCCCGGGTGGCGGGTCAGCTCCTGTGTGGGGGGTGGGATGAGTGCCCCCCCAACCCCGCCCTCCTGCTGGCCTGTCGCCTCACTTCCCCAGAGTGTGGGGAGGAGCGCCATCTGTGCCCCCCCCTCCCCCCGTCGGTGGCCTCACTTCCCCAGTTACTCAAGAGCCGGCCAGCCCCGCGCGGATGCACATTTCCGGTGGCTGTTCTCCCCAACCCCACAGTCTGGCCATCTGTTTAGCGGCCAGTGCCCAGTGGGTGAAAGGCCCAGATGAAATGGCCCTGGGGGAGGGCTGTCAGCGCCCCCTTCCGGGCCCTCTCTGTATGACCTGGTGTCCCTGCCACAGCGCTATGTGGACGGCGGCATCTCAGACAACCTGCCGCTCTATGAGCTCAAGAACACTATCACGGTGTCCCCCTTCTCGGGCGAGAGCGACATCTGCCCGCAGGACAGCTCCACCAACATCCACGAGCTCCGAGTCACCAACACCAGCATCCAGTTCAACCTGCGCAACCTGTACCGCCTCTCCAAGGCCCTGTTCCCGCCCGAGCCCCTGGTGAGGCCTGCCCTCATCACCGGCATGGGGGACGGCTGCCCGGGGGCCTCTCCTGGTGGTAGCCCACAACCCGTCCAGCCTCTATCCACCCTGGATCTGGCTCTGGATTCAAGTCAGCTTAGGGTGGGGTGGGGGGATGGTGCAGGGACCCCAGGGACCCCAGGGGGCAGAACAGGGTGTGCCTGGCCCCCTGCCCCAGTTTATGCCTCCCCCTGCCTCAGGTGCTTCGAGAGATGTGCAAACAGGGCTACAGGGATGGCCTCCGCTTCCTGCGGCGGAACGGTGCGCGGGCTGCCTGGGGCTGGGTGGGCTCTGCTTGGCTGTCCCCTGTGGGCCAGCCGGCCGCAGCCCCGCTGATGGCCTGTCACATCCTCCCCACCCAGGTCTCCTGAACCGGCCCAACCCCTTGCTGGCGCTGCCCCCCAGCCAGCCCCCTGCTCCCGAGGATGCAGATGCAGGGGAGGGGGCGGTGGCCATGGAGAGGACTGCTGGGAAGGATCACCTGCCTCCGCCCAGGGAGGATCACATCCTGGAGCACCTGCCCTCGAGGCTCAATGAGGGTGCGCGGGGGAGGGGGGCCTGGGCTCCACCTTCCCCACCGACCTGCCACCAACCAACCACCCTCCTGCACCCACAGCCCTGCTGGAGGCCTGCATGGAGCCCACGGACCTGCTGACCACGCTCTCCAACATGCTGCCCGTGCGTCTGGCCACAGCCATGATGGTGCCCTACACTCTGCCCCTGGAGAGCGCGGTGTCCTTCACCATCCGGTGAGGAGCAGGAGGCGGGCCTCCAGGACGGACTTGGGAGTCACCCTGGGTGGTGGGCACACAAGGAGAGAAAGAGACGGCCGGTTTAAGATGCTGCAGAGATGCCAGGTCGGGCCCCAGAGCCAGGGCACAGACAGGGCCGGCCTGGCCGTGGTCCCTGAGCCCATGCCTTGCGCCCTGCCCCAGCTTGCTTGAGTGGCTGCCCGACGTCCCCGAGGACATCCGGTGGATGAAGGAGCAGACAGGCAGCATCTGCCAATACCTGATGCTGCGCGCCAAGAGGAAGCTGGGCAGCCACCTGCCCTCCAGGTGAGCCCCTGCCGCCGTGCCCACCCCGGCCCGCAGCCTCTGGGGCGACCCCCACGTGAGCCCACCCCCCACTCCTGCCCTCCCGCAGTCTGTCGGAGCAGGTGGCGCTGCGCCGCGCCCGCTCGCTGCCATCCGTGCCGCTGTCCTGCGCCGCCTACAGCGAGGTGCTGCCCAGCTGGATGCGAAACAGCCTGTCGCTGGGGGACGTGCTGGCTAAGTGGGAGGAGTGCCAGCGGCAGCTGCTGCTCGGGCTCTTCTGCACCAACGTGGCCTTCCCGCCGGACGCCCTGCGCATGCGCGCCCCCGCCGGCCCGGCCCCCGCGCCCCCGCAGCACCCGCCGGGCTCGCCCCCTTGCTGAGGGCCCAGGGCCCTGGCCTTCCGGCCGCGGGGCCCCGGTGCTGAGGGCCGGGCCCCCCAGTGTCCCTGCCCGGTGAGGCGGGGCCCCGGGGCCAGCTGAGCTCCCCTCCGCAGCCCCTCTCCATCCCCCTGCAGACTGAGGGGCTGGGGGCCCTCACGCTGCCCAGGGGGGCTTTGCGGTCTCACTGGCTGCACTGAGGAGGGCCGGGTAGCCCTCTCTGCGTGGCCGCAGGGGCCCCTTGCCTGTGCCTTAACCTCCCCTCGGGGTCCCGCCCTGGTTCCAGGCCAGCGTGCTGGGGCCCCGTCCCCTGCCTGGCGCCCCCACCTGTGAGCTCAGTATTACTCCTGAGAACTTTGCACCTGCTCCACCGGCCACACTTTTTCATGTTTCTGAAGAATGTGTGTGAAGAATTATTTATTTTTGCCAAAGCAGATGTAATAAATGCCACAGCTCAGCCCTGCCTCCTTCATTTGTGTGTGGCGCCCCCCAGCCCTGCCGCCCGCCCCCCTCGCATCGTGTCTCTGCAGCTTCAGGCCAGGGATTCCCGGGGTCCTGCGTGCCTCTAGCCTGGCATTCAGGGCCTGCCAGCCAGCTCTGGGGCTCCCCCTCAAAGCACTAAGGGTTTCCTAGGCTGCCGCCCACTCCTCTGGCTGGGACCCTTGGGCTCAGCTTTCCAAGGGCTGATGAAAATATTTGGGATCAAGATCCTTGCTAAATAAAAACAGAATTGTTTAGAACTTAATGGTGTCCTGGGGGTGTGGGATGATTGACCGGTTGGATGGCTGTGGAGGCTGAGGTTGTCCAGCTGAGCGCAGGGAGAGGTGGGCAGCGGGGGGCTGCTCCACGGTGGGCCTTTGGCCCCAGGCTCGTGGGAGGTGTGGGTCTTGCCCCTGTCATCAGGAGCCTCCCCGCCCCCAACGGTGTACCCAGCCTCCTGCCCGAATATAGGAGGGAGCAGGTGTGGTGAGGGGGGCTGGGTCTTGTGGGTGAGATATGCTCTCGAGGCCTCCTCTGCTCTGCCTGGGCAGTCTGAGGGGAATGCGGCCAGCCCCCCTTGGTGACCACAAGGGCCCATGGGACAAGGGGGGTGTCAGAGGAGCAGGGCGCTTGGCTGGCGGTCCAGAGCTGATTCCTGCTGCGGTTTGCCCGCGCCTGCCCTCCGCGCTTCCCCGTGGCCGCAGCCCCCAGCCAACAATAACGGTAGGGCTGGGGCCGCGACCGGGAGAGCCGGCTTGGCAGGTCCCCGCGCGCCTGTGCCAGGGGCCACCCCTTGGTCTCAAGGTCCCGTCCTGTAGGCCCAGCCGGTTCTAGTTCAGCAGGATCCCTGGGGGAGTGGAGGCCTCCAGCCCCCAGCGCTGCCAGGAGGGCCCCGTGAGGCCAGCTCCAGGTGGGTGCAGGGCCAGGCCGGGACCTGGGAGGGGGACCCCTGGGAAGAAGCTGGCATATTCTCCCTGCACAAGGAGGTCACACACAGGCCCCACCCAGCACCTTCTGGCAGCCCTCCCCCAACAGGAGCTGCAGTCAAGGCTGTGCCCCCAAGGAGAGTTTGGGGTGTCTGCTGAGACAGGGCCCTCCTGCCAGCCCCCCCAGTCTCTCCCCTCACACACACAGGCCTCTAAGGCACTGATTTAAATACCATGTTGTAGTATACTACTCGTTTATTGTTTTAAAAAAATGGGAAAAGAATGTTAGAGAAGCACAGGGAGGAGAGGAAAGTCACGCCACTCCTGGAGATAACCGTTGCAAATATTTTGGTCTATTTCCTGCCTGGTTTTTCCTGCACGCTCTTCGTCGCCTGAAATCGGGATCCTGAGGACTGCCCCCCCACCCTGGCCTTGGCCCTGTGCAGGAAGTGTCCCCGGGGTCGTCTCTACCCAACCACGAGCTCAGGCTCGGACAGGACAGACCCTGGGGGTCGGGGGCTGCATGCAGGGGCGGGCGGCGGGCTGAGTGCCGGGCTACAGGGCAGTGCCGAGAGGCGGGGACTTGGCGGGACACGGCGACAGCGGCGGCGGCTCCGCCCGGCCGGCCCTGCCGGGGTCTCGGTACTGGCGGGAGGACAGCCCAGTGCGCGCAGGTGTGGCGGTGAAGCTCGCAGGTAGGCAGGCGCCTGGCGGGTCCCCCTGCCTGCACTGGCTGCCTACCTCCATACCCGCCCCCCCACCAAGTCGCCACAGGGTTCACGGATCCCTGCGTATCACACCCAGGGACTCAGGTGTCCCTGGGGGCGTGCAGTGTCAAGGGCAGGGCAGACTGGGGCCCCAGGGCGTGGGGGCTCAGGAGTCCTCCCCTCTCCGCTCCGCGGCTGGGACACAGCGCAGTTTCCGGCTGGGACGGCCCTCGGGTCCCAGGGAGCCAGGGAGCCGCTGGTGGGGTGGCGTGCCCGCGCTGGGGGGTGGCGATCCCGCGCTGGGGGAGTGGTCTCCGCCCACGTCCCCTTCTCCCGCCCTTCCTCAGACCCGCCCTCTTTATCGGTCATCCCCCTCTCCCAGGAATATGGGTGGGGGGGAGAATCACAGTCCTGGACTGAGGGGCGACGACCCCAGGGTCTCAGGTCGGGGGGTGATCCCACACTGGGGGTTGGTTTCGGGAAATTCAGGGGTCAGGGCTTTGTGGGAACGACAGGTGGTCTGATGAGCGGGCACAGCACCCCCTGGGAAGGCGGCCAGTGTGGTGGCGGGCATGGTGCCAGCAGGAAAAACTGCTAGGCTAGACCCTGGGGTTCCCGACAAGGGCCTTGGGAGGCCTCGAGGCCCGGGTTGGACCCTGCACCTGCTCTCCTTGGGGCCCCAGGTCGGTGGGAGGGGCTGTGGGCGGGGAGGGCGGAGCCAGCCCGCCGGCCAGCTGGCAGGAGGCGGGGCCCAGGGTCGGCGCTGAGAGCAGCCAGGACGGGCTGGTACTCCCACTGGCCCAGCCTGGTCAGCCCTGTGCCCAGGTCGGCAGGACGTGTTCAAGTCCTCTGCGGCTGACCGTTCCTCACACGAGCACTTGCCCCCTCCCGCGAGCCCCCACCTCATTTTCTGTCACAAGATCTAGAGCAGTCCCCGGCCCACCCCCGCCAACGCAGCCTCTCCTGCGCCTGCGGCTTCGAGGGTGGCCAGGAGCCTGCCCTGCTCCACCCAGGCCCCCGCCCGCCAGCGCCACTGCCTGCAGTTGGGCCACACGCCCCCTGGCGGCCCCTCTGCCAGGCCCTCTCCCCCTTCCCATGGGGGCAGGGAGGCTCCTCTGCGCCCCACCTCTGGGTGCCCACCGCTCCCGCTTAGCCCTCGCACCCGCTCTGCCTGCCCTTCTCCTTTCCCCTCGTCTCTTCTCAGCTCTGCTCAAGCCACCGAAGGCTAAGCCCACCTCCATGGCCAGCCCTGGGAAGACCGGGGCTGGGGAGGCCCAGGAGGAGGAGGGGTGGGAGCAGGGGCGCACCCCGGGGCCCCCAGCCACGATGCTGGAGCAGGCCCAAGAGCTGTTCCTGTTGTGCGACAAGGAGGCCAAGGGCTTCATCACCCGGCACGACCTGCAGGTGAGCCCCTGCCCCCAGAAGCCGCCCGCCCCCGGGGCTGACCTTGGCCACTTAGCCCTGCCATCTGCCCTGCCAGGGCCTGCAGAGCGACCTGCCCCTCACTCCCGAACAGCTGGAGGCTGTGTTTGAGAGCCTGGACCAGGCGCACACCGGCTTCCTCACCGCTCGGGAGTTCTGCCTCGGCCTGGGTGAGCCTGGCCCCCGTGCCCCACCCCCAGCCCGCTGGCACGTGTGACTTGGGGCCCAACAAGGTCAGCAGCCTGCACCCATCCGTGGCCTCCCTCCCGGGCACACACACAGACTCCAGAGGGAGCCTCCAGATGTGCTGGTGTGCTCACCGGCTCCCACCCCTCTCCCAGAGCCTAATCCCAGTAGGGCTGGGAGCCAGGCGTGCCTCATTCTGGCCTGAGCCCAGCTGTCACCTCCCATTCCCAGGATGGGAGTCGGACCAGAGTAAGGAAGAAAAACAGGAAACCAGGCTCAGAGAATGGGCAGGATATGTGAGGGGGAGGTGGGCTGAGCTGTGGGGGGTAACAGTCTCTCCCTCCCACGCGCCGCAGGCAAGTTCGTGGGGGTGGAGCCCACCCCCTCCCAGGCTCCAGAGGAGACCTTCGAGTCGGATGTGAAAGGCGCCGGGGGCTCCGCGGAGGAGGACGAGGAGCTGCTCTGCTCGACGCTGGAGCAGCTGGGGGTGGCCCGGGTCCTGGGCGAGTAAGTCCATGTTGGCCTGACCGCAGCACCCTCCACTGCTTGGTCCACCTGCGCGCGGCCTGTCCAGGATGCCTGCACACCTGTTTCCAGGCAGGGACCCTCGGCCAGACTGGGTCCGGCCCTCTCAGCTGCCACTACTGTGGGCCGGGCGTGATTTCCCACAGAATTTGCATTTCTGGAGTCAGCAGTCACGGCTGCACCCAGCACAGGCACAGCCCTGGGTACACAAGGACACAACCCCACTTGCACACACCTCCTGGCCAGGCCAGCCCCACAGGGGTGAGAGCACCCCGCTTGTCCAAGGCTACAGGGGCCTCTGCGGGCTCACCCTTAAGGGTTGGGGAGTCCTCACTTCCACTTCAGCCCCTACCCGCCCCCTCCAGGCAGCGGGCAATTCGGACACTCTGGACCCGGCTGCAGCGTGAGTGGCCGGAACTGCTGGGCTCCTTCGAGGATGTTCTGATGCGCGCCTCAGCCTGCCTGGAGGAGGCGGCCAGAGAGCGGGATGGCCTGGAGCAGGCTCTGCGGCGGTGAGGGCTGGGAGGCCGGGGGCGGCCGGAGGGGCTCCTGGCTGTGGTGCTGGCAGGCTCTAAGCAGCCGTCTAACCCGCGGTTCCCCGAAGGCGGGAGAGCGAGCACCAGCGGGAAGTGCGTTGTCTGTACGAGGAGATGGAGCAGCAGCTTCGCGAGCAGCGCCAGTGCCTGCGGGATCAGGTGGGCCCAGCCCCGGCGCGCGGGTCTCCCCGGGGATGCCTTCTTGGACGGAACTGGTCCCACCCGCGCCCCTGCCGCCATCGGGGGCTCAGGTGTCCCCGCGCGTCCTAGGGCCTCCCCCGGGAGCAGCGGAGAGGCCACTTGGAGCTGGAGCTGCAGAGTCGCGAGCAGGAGCTGGAGCGCGCGGGGCTGCTGCAGCGGGAGGTCAGCGGCCGCCGCGCGGAGGGGTGCATGGCGGCCCAGCCCGGGCCCAAGCCCCGCTGTCCCCCACACACTCCCTGGCTACTTGGGGGCCTCTCTCCAGCCTCAACCCCCCGCTCCCCCAGCTGGAACAGCAGCTGCAGGCCCGGACCTCCGAGCAGCTGGAGGCGCAGGCGCAGAATGCGCAGCTGTGGCTGGCCAACGAGGCGCTGCGGACGCAACTGGAGGGCGCGCAGGAGCAGCTCCGCAGACTGGAGGGCGACGCGCAGGGCCGCCGCGAGCAAGCCCAACGGTGCCGGGGGCGGGCTGGGCCCTCGGGGGCGGGCCCCGGGGAGGGGAGCACCTGGAGCTCTGGGCTGCTGTCGCCCCCCCCCCGTTCCAGCCCCACCTCTGGGGTCTCTGTGGGGCGGGGTCCTCCAGGGGGCACCCCGAGTTGCCTTCCTGCACCCCGATCACCACCTCCGTCCTGCAGAGACGTGGTCGCAGTCTCAAGGAACATGCGGAAAGAGAAGCTCAGCCTCCTGCGGCAACTGGAGCTCCTCAGGTGCGTCGGGAAGGGGTCTCTGCCGTCGCTGGCTCCCACCCAGCCCCCATCACAGTCCCCCCACAGCGAGGAAGCCCTTCCGTGCCCACGTCCCCCACCCAAGCGTGCTTCCTCTTGAGACCCCTCAGAGCCTGTCGACTCCTATTCCCCAGGGAGCTGAACACGCGGCTCCGAGACGAGAGGGACGTCTGTGAGGCCCAGCGGCTGGGCAGCGGCCGCAGAAAGGCGCTGAGCTCAGCCCCCCTGCTGGGCGTCCGCTGCTGCTGCTGCTGCAGTAGCTGGGCCCGCCCCCCAGACTCGGCCCCGGCCACCTGCCCAGTGCCCGCTGACCAGGCTGACTGACTCGCTGGGTCTCACCTGGCTACCTGGAGAAGCCGCCCCTTGAAGGCGACTCGGCGTGGCTGGGGGCCGCCCATCCAGGCTGTGGGCTCTCCCCAGTGAGCTGCCCGGCCTGCCTGACTTGCAGACATGAAGGAACTAACCTGGGGGGTCAGGGACTGATGTCCCTCCCTGCGGTCCTCATCCTATCCCCAGCGCATCAAAACTAGTGGAAAACCCCTTCCTCCGAATAAAGTCCACTGACTTCGTTCTCCTCGGCCTCCCGTGTGTGTGGGAGCTGTAGCATTTCGGAGGCACGCGCACCAGGCATCCATCGTCCTTGTGTGTCTACTGGCCATGTCCGAAAGCCCTCACTGTCCGTCAGAGTTGTACGGACAAAGGGACTGAGGCCAGTCGGCCAGGAAGCGGTGGGCGGAGTGCCCTGACCACCTCCAGGGCCACCCCCTCCCCATGCCAGTCCTCACACAGCCCTGGGTGGGCTAGTTCAGCCCACTAGAGTCCTGAGTGGAGGCCCTGGGGGTGGGCCTGAGCTGTCCCCGGTGCCCCTCAGCCCTGTCAGCCCGAGCCTCGGGCAGGGAGCAGGGGACGAGGGCCGCCCACTGTCCGGGGAGAGCTGTCCCCACCGACGGTGCCGCCTCGAGCCGCGGCCACTCTGCCCTAGCTCCCCAGCGCAGCTGGTCGCAGCCTCTGCCCTCGTTCCCGAGCTTTCCCCACCACTCCCAGGCGACATCCTCCTGTCTGGACCCTCTCACGCCGTGACCCAGGCCTTCCCTGCAAGCCGTCCTCCGCACAGCGCCCAGAGAGGCCCCTGTCTGCCCCTGACGGCACCTCGAGGTCCTCCCCCGGGCCGTCTCGCGTCTGCCCCAGCGACCCCCGCAGTCCCCCCTCCTCCCGAGGCGGGCGCCCTCGGGCCTCAGCCCGCCTGGCCTCGGCCTCCTCTGGTGGCCCCCAGGCCGCAGCCGGGGCTGCTGCCCCGCCCGCGCGCGCGGAGCGCTGTCTGGACCCGCCTGCGTCGCCGGCCAGGGGCGGGGCCTGCGAGCCCGGGGCGGGGCCCGGGGCGGCCCCGCGCGTCTCGGTAGCAGGCCCCGGCCGGCTGCGTCTTCTCTGTGCTCCGAGCCGCCGCCGCCGCCGCCGCCGCCGCCGCCGCCGCCGCCGCCGCCGCCGCCCGCCGGACTCGGACGCGTGGCCGGTGAGTGCACCGCCGGGCGCCGACGACCGGGAGAAGCTGCGCGCCCGGCAGCCCCGCAGGCTCCTGCCGGGGGTAGACGAGTGCCCGGAGGCCCGGCGGGCCGAGGGTCCGCCAGGCGAGGGCAAGGCGCCTCCCGGGTCTCCGGACGGTGCTGGCGGCCCCCGCGGGCCGGGGCCTCCCCCCGAACACCCCACGCACTGCGCGAACACCGGTGCCCTCCTGTCCGCCCGGTGAGAGTGGGCGGGCCGTGCGCCCCTCCTGGGCGTGGGGGTGGCGGCGGCGGTGACTTCATCGCGGTGACGCGCGAATTCCTCACCGGCCTGGTGGGAGCCAAGCTGGGATTCCCCCAACTTGGGGGGCGTGGGCCGCTGACAGGCCCGGCTGGACTTCGGGAGTCTGGGGTGGGGCGGCCGTGTCCAGAGCCGCGGGAACTATTTCTGGCCGGCCCTTCCCTGGGGGCTCACCTCCGAGCACTCCCGGAAAGGCGGCCCGCTCCTCAGCCCTACGCTCGAGGGCGGGCCGTGCGGGCGGAGCCTGTGCCTGGAACCAGCCTTCCCGGGACCCCGGACCCCCGGGCCGGCCCAGGTCCGCCGGTGCGGGGGTCTGCGCCTTCCCTTTCCAGGCAGCAGCCACTGCCGCTTGGTGGGGGATGGGCCAGCTACAGGCCAGGTGCCAAGGCTCAGACTAGGGGGCTTGGAGGAGGCGTGCGGTCCCTCCCAGGATCGGACTGTCCAGAAATGTCTTCTGCCCTGCCCCGCCCTAGCCCAGACCAAAATACCGGGCCTGGCCGCTCCCTTCTCGGCGGGCGGGGGGCGGAGGGGACACTGCCAGCTTTGGAAGGCCGGTTTGCGGCCAATACCTGGGTCAGCTACAAGGAGGGGTGGCGGGATCCTGCTGGTCCAGGTTGAGCCTGACCTGTGGCCTGTCCCTGGCCCTCTAGTGGAGCCTCCTCAGGCGGGAACTTCTGTCTACCTGCCCTACAGAGGAGCCATCCCACCAGCCAGGTGAGTGCTGGGCGCGGCAGCTGGAAGTCCAGCTCGGGAGGCACTGTGTCTGTCTGGAAACAGGGCCCCAGGGCTCTTCTGCCCTCTGTGTCCCCACCCAGCTCATGCAGACACCCCAGAAAGAAGAGGGTGGTGTGGCTCTGGGGAGGAGCACAGGCTGGAGCTACACTTCGCCCTGGGTCCCTGTGGCTGTCCCCATTCAGGAAGGACCCCCCAGGTCTGGGGGTGGCGCCTGCCAGCTCTGGTTGGAAGTAAGGAAGGCTGGCCCTTTATGAGGCCTGAGGGCCTTCTCCAAGACCACAGGACTAGGCTAGAAAAGCACAGATCAGTCTACCTTTGAGCAGCTTCTGCTGCCTGCCCGTTCCCCCCAGCAGCCAATAGGATCCTGCCAGTCTGTGACGTGGGGCCCGGGGAATGCTTGGGGTGGGGTGTGGGGGGGCCTGTCTGAGCTCACCCAAGGTGCTTGCTGGGCCGTCCTACCTGGCTGCCCGCCGGGCTGAGTCAGCCCATGGTGGCTGGGGGTCCTCCATGCCTCCCCCACCGTGCCCTGAGTGCTGGTCAGGGAAGCCAGGCCCCCCAGGCTTCAGCTGGACTGTGGGCACCACATCTGCCCTTGCTGCAGTGGAAGCGGGGGCTCCTGAGCAGCCCTCCCGGGAAGGGTCCTGGTTCCCACAGACGCCCCCATAACCTTCACCCAGGCAGGCAGTTGGCTTGGCCCCAGCCTGGTCTGGACGTGTGTCCCTTCCTCCTCTCCCCGCTGGCATTTGGCCGTCCTCCTGGGCAGCCCCTCCCCCACCTCCCGGCCCCAGGATGGGCGAGTTTGGGGAGAAGTCGACGACATGTGGCACCGTCTGCCTCAAGTACCTGCTCTTCACCTTCAACTGCTGCTTCTGGGTGAGCAGTGGGCACCCCCTTTCCTGACCTCAGAAGGAGCCTGGCCGGGGGTTCAGGCCCGGGGCCAAATGTGGTGACCGGTGTGCACTGCCTGCAGCTGGCTGGTCTGGCCGTCATGGCCGTGGGCATCTGGACGCTGGCCCTCAAGAGCGACTACATCAGCCTGCTGGCCTCGGGCACCTATCTGGCCACAGCCTACATCCTGGTGGTGGCGGGCATTGTCGTCATGGTGACTGGGGCTCTGGGCTGCTGTGCCACCTTTAAGGAGCGGAGGAACCTGCTACGTCTGGTCAGCGGGGCTGGCCGCACTGAGGGTGGGGGTGGGGCTCCCTGCCAGGCTGCCTGGGGTTGGTTCTGGGTTAGGCGGGGTTAGAAGGGAATGGTGGATGAGACACTGCAGGACAGACTGCTGTGCTCACCTGGGAGGTGCTCCCTGCCCACCTGTGGGTCCCCATATCCCAGCTGGGCCAGCACAGGGCAGACACCTGAGGAGGGGAACTGGGAGGCCTGGGGGTCCCCCAGCCCTCACCTGCTGCCGAGTGCCCCCACCGCATGGCCCCCTGGCAGCTGAGGGCGGTGGCTCTGCTCTGTCATGCCTGGCACTGGGAGTCCTCACGGAACGAGGGTGTCCGTGTCCCAGCCCACCTGAGTCCCTGCAACCTCCCCCCAGTACTTCATCCTGCTCCTGATCATCTTTCTGCTGGAGATCATTGCAGGGGTCCTGGCCTACGTCTACTACCAGCAGGTGAGGGCTCGGACATGGATGTGCAGGGACACATGGCAGTGAGCTGGACACGAGTGTGCAGGAGACGTGTGTACATAGGGACACAGACACCCACACCCTGGGTCACACACACACACAGGCAGGGCATGCATGTGGAGACCTGCATGTGCACACGCATGTAGGCTGGGAAGGACAAAGACATACAGGCTGCAGTGCTGAGCCTGGTGTCGTCAGGCCCTGGGGGTGGGGGAGGGGTCACAGGCGGAGGATGGACCACAGGGATGGCCAGCTGGCCCTCTGCACCCAAGCTGCCTGCTTGGGGGCCCTGGGGGAGGCAGGGGATCTGGAGTGCCTTCCCTGCTGCCAACCCTGCCCACAGCCATCTGGGTGACTCTCAGCCACCTGGCTCCCACAACCACCCATCCGAGCCAGCATCCAATGCCCATTCCCTGACCCCAGCCCTTCCCAGAGTCCTCCTGCATCCCCCCGGTCTACGCCCACTCCCACCCTGCCCCACGTGGGAGTCTTAGACCAGAGCTGCAGTTGTCCCTCCCTCACCCCAGCTGAACGCAGAGCTCAAGGAGAACCTCAAGGACACCATGACCAAGCGGTACCACCAGCCGGGCCATGAGGGCGTGACCAGCGCTGTGGACAAGCTGCAGCAGGAGGTGGGCGGCTGGGGGGGCAGAGGTTGGGGCCTCCCCGGACTGCTGCGGGAGCCCCGCCTCAGGGGTGAGGCTCGGGGCTCTGCCTGAGCTCTACTCCTGTTGTAGTTTCACTGCTGTGGCAGCAACAACTCGCAGGACTGGCAGGACAGCGAGTGGATCCGCTCAGCCGAGGCAGACAGACGAGTGGTCCCCGACAGCTGCTGCAAAACCGTGGTGCCTGGCTGTGGGCGGCGGGACCACGCCTCCAACATTTACAAAGTGGAGGTAGGCCGGTGGGGGCCTGCTGAGCTGCTGGGATGCTGGGGGCTGGGTGGCCCCACCCCTGAGGTGACTGGAGGACTTGCGGCCTTCAGCAGCCCCTCCACCCCTGCAGGGTGGCTGCATCACCAAGCTAGAGACCTTCATCCAGGAGCACCTGAGGATCATCGGGGCTGTGGGCCTGGGCATCGCCTGTGTGCAGGTTTGTGTGTGTGGAGGGGGTCCTGGGCAGCACCGGTGTGCAGGTATGTGTGTGTGGGGGGCTGGGCATCACCCATGTGCAGGTGTGGTGTGTGTGGGGGCTGTGCATCCCCGGTGTGCAGGTGTGGTGTGTGTGTGGGGGGCTGGGCATCACCCATGTGCAGGTGCAGTGTGTGTGGGGGGCTGGGCATCACCCATGTGCAGGTGCGGTGTGTCTGGGGGGGGCTGGGCATCACCCATGTGCAGGTGTGTCTGGGGGGGCTGGGCATCACCCATGTGCAGGTGCGGTGTGTCTGGGGGGGCTGGGCATCACCCATGTGCAGGTGCGGTGTGTGTGGGGGGCTGGGTATCACCCATGTGCAGGTGCGGTGTGTGTGGGGGGCTGGGCATCACCCAGGTGCAGGTGCAGTGTGTGTGTGGGGCTGGGCATCACCCATGTGCAGGTGCGGTGCTTGTGGGGGGCTAGGCATCACCCATGTGCAGGTGTGGTGCGTGTGGGGGTCTGGGCATCACCCATGTGCAGGTGCGGTGCATCTGGGGGGGGTGGGCATCACCCATGTGCAGGTGCGGTGCGTCTGGGGGGGCTGGGCATCACCCATGTGCAGGTATGTGTGGGGCTGGGCATCACCCGTGTGCAGGTGTGTGTTGGGGGCTGGGCATCGCCCGTGTGCAGGTGTGTGTGTGTTGGGGGCTGGGCATCACCCGGGTACAGGTGTGGTGTGAGTGTGGGGGGCTGGGTATCGCCCGTGTGCAGGTGTGTGTTGGGGGCTGGGCATCGCCCGTGTGCAGGTGTGTGTGTGTTGGGGGCTGGGCATCACCCGGGTACAGGTGTGGTGTGAGTGTGGGGGGCTGGGTATCGCCCGTGTGCAGGTGTGTGTGTGTTGGGGGCTGGGCATCACCCGTGTGCAGGTGTGTGTTGGGGGCTGGGCATCACCCGTGTGCAGGTATGTGTGTGAGGGGCTGGGCATCGCCTGTGTGCAGGTGTGTGTGTTGGGGGCTGGGCATCACCCATGTGCAGGTTTGTGTTGGGGGCTGGGCATCGCCCAGGTACAGGTGTGCTGTTTGGGGGGTGCTGGGCATCGCCTGGGTACAAGTGTGCTGTGGGGGGGGCTGGGCATCACTTGGGTACAGGTGTGCTGTGGGGGGGGCTGGGCATCACCCAGGTACAGGTGTGTGTGTGTTGGGGGCTGGGCGTCGCCCATGTGCAGGTGTGTGTGGGGGGCTGGGGCCGACGTGCTCACACTGGCCGTGTGCCTAGGTGTTTGGCATGCTCTTCACCTGCTGCCTGTACAAGAGCCTGAAGCTGGAGCACTACTGAGCACGCCCACAGGCGGCCGCCCTCCGCGTGTGCTGCAGCTTCTCGCGACGCATTGACTACTGACACTCCTGAGCCAGGGTGCTGCGGTCCCGGAGGCGACTCTGCCCCCTCCCCTGCCGGAGGGGCTGTTCTGCTGCCTGGGCCCCCCACCGGGCCATCACCGTGCCCTCTGGGGACCCCCAAGCCCCAGAGGCTGCTTCAAGTGCCTTTAGCTACACACCAAAGTCCCAAGGCCTAAGGTCAGCCCCACCTATCTGCTGGGCTGGGGGTTAACAAAGGCCCCCCTCCCACCACCGTCTTCTTGGGGCTGAGGCCTGTGCCAGTTGGGTAGAAATGGGCTGGCGTAGGGGGCTAGGCAGCAGCCAGTGAGTTGGCCCCAGGTGCCTCCCCCAGGCCCCCTGGGTACTGGGCCTCCTCCTCAGCTGGGGAGGAGGCCTCTGGGCCGGGCCTTGGCTGCTCCCCCGCCGCCCGCCGCCCGCAGCCTTGCAATGCCTAGGTCACCGCTGTCAGCCGTCCCCAGAGGCAGGACCCTGCGGGTTATAGTCACTGCTATGCTCCGTGCCCAGGGCTGCTCCTACTACTTGACAGGCGCTCAATAAACGTCTGTGGAATGGACGGCTGAGATGACTTCGCTGGCAGAGGCAGTTCTGGTCTCCAAGAGCTGTCACGTGTGTCCGGCAGAGTGGACAGGCCCACCCCCAGGGCCGCACCAGAGGGGGCGGACGCGGGGTGGCGTGAGCTGAGAGCTGACGGGGCTCCAGGGGGTGGAGGCCAGGCGAGCTGCAGACAGGCCTCACAGCAGCTCAGCCCTTCCCGGATGCAGGGCCGGTGATGCGGCAGAGCTGCGAGGGACTGGGGCTAAGACCCCAGGAAGTGGGTGACTGGACCGCTTGCAGTTTCCAAAGGCCCTTCTGGCCACCGCCCAGGGACCAGGGATGGGAGGGGTGTCTCGGGAGCGAGTCAGGTGGGGTCTGACAGGATGTCTGCTGGCAGGGCAGGGCCAGAGAAGGACGCTGGGCCCGGTGGTCTCTGCAGACCGCTCATCAGGCACCTGGGTAGGTGGCTCCAGGCAGGCCGCCTCCCTCATGCCCTCTGAGCTGCTGGAGGCACCAAAGCTTGCCTGAGTCCCGCCGAGGCAACAGCTTTGGGTTTTAAGCCTGTCAGCTGGAGCGGGATGAGCTGCTTCCCACCCCCGCCCCCGCCAGACAGCTCCCTAGCCAGTTTTCAGGGCAACGCACCTGAGAGCCCATTCACGACAGATGCTGGCAGAGCCACCCAGGGCGCCTCCCACCCACTGTGGGGCCTCAGGGCTGGCCATGGGGGCGTGTGCCCTCTGGAGGGGAGCTGCCTGCTGGCCTTGGGTGGAGCCTGGAAGCTTCTGGCGGCAGCACCCTCAGGATGTGCAGCTGGGACCACAGCGGGCACTCAACTCGGAGCTCAGGGTCCGGTGCTTTAGATACGGGGGAGGAGGGGGGGCCCTCTGTTCTCAGCTGAAGGGCACCCTGGACAGCGCTGTGGGACGCCAGTGCCCCCAGCCCGAGCACTCGTGACATCTGTGCCTTCTGTGGGGCCAAGTGCGCCCACAGAGGAAGGAAGCCTCGTGCTGGCCACTGCCATGTGGGAGGCCCACCCTCCTCCCGGGCCACGAGGGCCTCGGGCACCTGCGAGTGGCCTCACGCGCCAGGCAGAGCCCAGGAGCCGGCAGGGCAGCCCACACAGCCACACCAACTGTTAGGACCTCCTGGCAGTCCTCAGGAACATTTACTGCACAGTTATTTCCAGAGAGGAAAACCCACGCCAACAGAGCCGTGGGCGGGCATGGATTTCGGTGCCCCACCCCCCAGGGGAACAAGCCGTGGGTGAGACACCGCCTGCGGCATCGTGGGGTCACTTCTCCAGGGGCGCGTAGTTGAGCAGCTTCTCGATCAGGTCCACATGGGCAAGCAGCATGCGGCGGCAGCAGTAGCGCTTCAGGCCCAGTGCATCCAGGGCGTCCCTGCAGGTGGGCAGAGAGCTGGTTGCGATCTGCCCATCCTGGCAGATGGAGGGCCTCTCCCGGCGGGAGCAAACCCTGCTCGGCTTGCTGTGGGACCCTTCGTAGCTCTGCTCCCCATGTGGGAGGGAAGACCCCTCTCATCTCCCAGAGACGCAGCCCCGATCACCCTCAAAGCCTCCTGTGTGTGGACACCAACGTGGCGCTCGAGAAAGGGACGGCCTGTTTGGGTAACCCTGACCTGGGGCATCTTGGGGAGATGTCTGGGGCAGGCTGCCAGCATTCCCTTTGCATTCTGGTCATTCCAACAGCCTCCTCGGAGCCTGGTGCAAACACTAAGGCCATCCGTTGCTTCCCCATTCACCCGACACAGCTGAGAACCTCACCTGGCTGGCACACTCCGGGTCCCAGAGATTCAAATTTTGCCAAGGACGGGGCTGTCCACACAAGGACCAAAGATCAGACTCTCGTCTAGAGCAGACTCGGACAAGTAAGGTGTTGAGTGCAGAGCCAAGGGGCAAACACGGAAGAGAGACCCCACAAAAGCCTGATTATGAGGGCCATGTCATCAGAAGCTTCTCCTGTGTACTAAAAGAGCCTGAGAGTCTGCAGGACACGGTTTGTTGTTCAGTTCCTCAGTCGTGTCAGTGACCCCATGGACTGCAGTACGCTAAGCTCCTCTGTTCTCCACTATCTCCCAGAGTTTGCTTAAATTCCTGTCTACGGAGTTGGTGATGGTTCCTAACCATGTCCTCCTCTGCCGCTCCCTTCTCCTTTTGCCATCAATCTTTCCCAGCATCAGGGTCTTCTCCAACGAGGACACGGGGATGGCCCTAATAGCAGGGAGAACTTAGGGAGCTGATGGACAGAGACGGCCAGGGGCCCATTTGCGGTGGAGGCGTGGAGACGACCCAGGCTACCTGAGTCCCCAGACACCAGCGCTTGACAACCAGCTCCCCTCCTCTGCCTGAACTGCGCGGTGGGAAATGCTTTCCTGAGAGCAGGTCTGGAAAACAGGGCTGGTAAAGGCTCCGAGAATGAAAGCCTTGCCCGGGTCACCTGGGATCTGATGAACATCCCTTGACCCAGACCTGGAGTCCGGGACCCCTGACTGCCGCCCCAAGACCCCAACCCCTCAAGCCTGGATTCCCGACACCCGCCCGAGACGCCGACGCCGCAGGCTGGCCCCCCCCTCCTCCCGCCCCGGGCCCCGCAGGCCGAGCCCCCCCGCTCCCGCCCCGGGCCCCGCAGGCCGGCGGCCGGGAACGCGCCTCTCACCCCTCGGTGTACTCGGCCTGCAGCAGCCCCAGGTAGGCCTCCCACTTGTTGCCGACGATCTTGCCGCACGTGAAGCAGCGCACGGGGATGATCATGGCGGCGGCGCGGGGGCCAGAAGCTTCACGGCCCGGCGGCCCGACGCCCGCATCTCCCGGCGCTTCCGCCCGGGCGCACCCATGGCGCGGGGGTGCCGGCCCGGCCCGACCCTCGCCCCGCGGCCGTTCGGCGCCGCCCGCATCCGCCTCCCACAGAGACGGCGCCTCCTCCGCGCGGGCCCGGAGTCCGGGGTCCGGGGCCCGGAGTCCGGAGTCCAGGTCCGGGGTCCGTGGTGGGGGGAGGGGGTGTGGGGCGGGTCCGCGGCAGAAGCCACCCGCCCGCGCTTTGGTACGTCCCGGCCTACGGCGTCCGCGCGGAGCCGCAAGGGCCCGGCGGCGGCGTTCGCGTTCCTCGTGCCCGGCTGACTGACGTCGCGCGGCGGGCGCTAGGCAGGTACAGCGCCCCCGCCGGGACGCGGGCGGAGTGCTGCAGGGCACGCTGCACGCTGCCCGCTGCCCGCGCCCGAGCCGGACCCGCGCGAATTGGGGCCCCGAGTGCAGAGCCGCGTCTCAGCAACAAGTTGCGAGCGGGGTCTGGGGCGCGGAGAGTGGCCAAGAGGGGCCAGGCAGGGGCGGCCTCTCCGCCTGGAGCCGCTGCCCGCGGGCACTCGGGGGTCTGCGCAGAGTCCGAGGGACCCTCGAGGTCGCCGCCTGGCCGGGTCGCCCGCACAGTAACGGTCCCGGCCCGGTAGCTGCCCGTATCCCTGGCGGCGGGCGGGCGCGGGGCGACCCAGCCAGTGGGGGACTCTGGCCAGCGCCGCGGTCAGCTTGGCCCCCCTCCTGCTTCTTCCTGGGGGAGGCGCTGGCGGCCCAGGCCCCAGCCCGCGCTCGGCCGAGGCGGGCGCCTGTGACCCGGGAGCGCCGGCTCTGAGGGTCGGGACGGCGCTCGGGGTGTCTTTTGAGCTGAGACTTGAAGAGGGAGCCGGGCAGACGCCGGCGAAGGGACCCCGGGCTGAGGCCGGAGGCCGTTCCTGCGGGACAGAAGCTGTGGGAGCTGGAGGCGGTGGGGTTTAAAGGGAGCGGGGGGTGGGTGGGGGGGCTGTGTTTCCGGAAGTGGCGAGAGTTGAGCCCCCTGATCCTGTGACTGGGGGCTGGGGGAGGGCCGTGCGCACTGAGAAGCAAGGAAGGCTCCCTGGAGGAGGCGGGCTTTGGGCTGAGGAGGGTGGCCTAGGCACGGTGGCGCCTGTGATCCAGGCACCTAGGCAGGGTCTCCTCAGGTTTGCTGGCCTGGGGCGTGAGAGTCTCTGGTTGGGGCAGGTGGGCCCGTGTTGGGTCCCAGGTGTCAGCTCAGAGTCCTCCTGGGGTGGGTGGTGGACTCTGGCTGTAGGCGAGGGGCAGGGAGGTGGAGGTCCTGGGGTCCTTGGGAGGCTGGCCAGCGCTTCTGCCAGTCTGGAGTTTGGCCCTGGCCGCCTGCCCCAGTGGTGTTCGCTGTCCCGCACCCTGGCACGTGCGGAGCCACGAGCAGAAGCCACTTCCCTGCCCTGCCTGCCCCCCCTTCCCAGGCTGACTGGACGCACATCCTGTCCCCGGCTGGGATGGGGCCTTGAGTCACAGCGGCCTGGGGTGGACCCAGGCTCGGGTGTAGAGGCGGCTGCGTCTGCAGAGGTGAGGGGGACAGGCGGGGTCTGGGGTGCCAGGCGGGGGGCTCTTCTGGAGCAGGGGTGCGTGCGCGTGGGCTTCCTGGGGGAGGGGCCCCTGGTCCACCGCACCCCGCTCTGGCCCAGCGGTTGTTTACTCCCAGAGACTGAGGGGCCAGAGAGCCAAGTTGACATTCCTGGAATTCTGAGAACTGCATGTGGATTTAGCGGGGGACTCCTCCCTGCAGCTCCCTGGTTTCCCAGGAGGGGCTTGCTGAGCAGCGTGGTGGCACTGGCCACCAGCACATATGTGCTCAGAGGCCCCTTGGGGCACTTGGCCTCCATGCCCACTCCGCCCTGGCTCAGGCCTGGCCAGGCTGGACCTGAGGACCCTGGGGGGCCTCACCTCAGCCTTCTCCCCCGCTGGGCCTTCTCCGTCCCCTGTGGGTGCTGAGGGGGCAGGCTGGGCGTAGTCCAGCTGTCCTCAGGGTGGGCAGGGGCAGAGAGCGACCCAGAGGCCTGGCGCACTGGTCGGGGCGTGGAGGGGTGGGACAGGCCTGTGACGGGGGCCCTGGGGGTGAGCGCAGATGTGGCCCAGACCCCGGGCAGGGAGAGTGAGGCGCTGGGTTTCCGAGGAGGCGGGGTCCTTTCCCCAGAGGCAGGGGCACAGGGCGGGAGGGTGGTGCTCACATGTGGTCTGGAACCTGTGCTCCCTGCTTCCTGCCAGAGGAGGGTCACTTCAGGGCAGGCGGGGGACAAGGGGAAACCCATGATGCAAACTTCAGCTGCTGAGACCCTGTGGCCTGGGTGTTGTTCTGGAAATGCCACCTGGGAGACGGAGCTGCCCGGGAGGCAGCTGACCCTGCGTCCCATCCTGGACCACAGCCTTGGCCTCCCCTTCTATGAGGTGGGGAGACTGGAGGCCGTCCAGCTGGAGGGGCGGGGGTCCCAGCTCAGCCCTGAGCATCCGAGCTCTGGCTGCTCTGGGTAGGCTGTGCTCACACGTGGGGGGCGGTGTGGTGAGTGGGGTGCGTGGATACCTTGTTGGGGTTTGATGGGGTATTCGCCCACCTGCTGCACCCGCAGTGACCCTCTGGGCCCCAGGGACTGGGGTACCAGGTGGTGTTTTCAGGCCAGATGTGCAACCTAGTGACCGTGGACTGGCTGGGCCCTTGAGGATGGCCCGCTCGGCCATGCATGGGGCTCCCTGTAGGCACTGGTGTGTAGGGGGCCTGCTGGGCTGGAGTGTCAGTGCCCAGGTGGGGAAGGGGGCTGCCAGGCCCCAGGGTGGTGGGAGGGTCCTGAGCTCGGGGTTGGCCTCATGGGCCTGGGGAAGTGCTGGAGGCCCCTGGGTGGCCTCTTCCACGGGGACCCCTTCCCTGGAGGCAGTGTCTTCCAGCCCAGGGGGAGGAGAGCCTGTGGGCCTGGGTGCTTGCACGCCCCTCCCCCGGGGCCGGGGGCTGAAGCGGCAGCAGGAAGGCCGGCTCTGCAGGCCTGTTTGTGTTGGCGGGGCCTCCTGGCTCCTCGCAGCCGCCTCGGAGCCGGCAACCTGGGGGCCCGCGCTGGGCGGCTGCTCGGCTCTGCACCCTGAGCTGTGAACGCGCTTGCGGGCTCCGCTGGGGCCCGTCCACCCCAGGCCTCCGGGCCAGCACTTTCGGTGTTCGGGAAGGTCCTTCTCTGAGTTGGGCCTCCGTCTGGCCAGGTAGGTGCCCACCCTTCCGGGTTTCCTCCTACCCCCAGTTCCGGGCCCCAGAGGCCCAGCCCAGGGCTGGCAGGCTGGGCTAGGGCTGTCTTGGGCTTCTTGTGTCTGCCCCATCCCAATTGCCTGGTCTGCGTGTTATTCTGGGCACCATGGCCTGTGGGGTCCTGCGCACAGAGACGGCCCAGAGCAAGCCCGGGGGAGGCAGGAGGCTTTTTGGAGGGGGAGGCCGGGCTGGGTGAGGTGCTGGGGCAGCCGGAGTCCTGTCCAGTCCTGTCTGGCCCCGCAGCCGCCCCCCGCCCCCCTGACTGCAGGCTTGAGTCTGGGCTGCCCGGGATGAGGGTGGGGCCCTGGATTCACGGAGGGGCATGGCGGTCGCCTGTGGAGGGTCCCAGGGCTGCCCTGGGTGGGGGTCTAGGGGGGCCGGCGGCTGGGAGGGGTGCGGGTGGAGTTGCCCCCCAGGGTCTGGCTGGGAGGCCACCTGCTGAGCCCAGGTTTGGGGGGTGCGGCTGTGAAGGCGGCCTCAGGCCTGGGAGTGGGGGGCAGGGGGCATGGGTTTCAGTGTCTGCAGCGTTGCTGTGAGCTCCTGGGAGGGGCTTATCAGAGAACACGGTGGGGGGCCCCCCTCGTGCCCCTGCCCTCCGTACTTCTGGGCCTGAACCCCTCCTTGGACGCGTCCTCCCCGGGCGCGGGGGCACAGGGGTCGCTGAGGCGGGGGTGGGGTCCCAGGCCTGGTCTGGGTGCCTCCTTTCTCAGCGGTGGGTGCTGGCCACCCCGAGTGAGGGGACGGGTCTCAGGTTGCCAGGCTTCCACCCGCTCGGTGGCTTCCTGTCTGCCGCAGGTGTGGGACATGCAGCAGAGGGTGGCCCGGGAGGGAGTGGATGTGGGGGTGGGCAGGGGCAGGGGTCGCTTGAGTGGACAGGGGGGTGGGAGGCGCATGAGCCTCTGCTGTCTGCTGCCAGCTGCTGGAAAGACCACCAGCCCCTCCCCCCCCGCCCCCGCCGGGCTGCAGGGAGCCCCTGTCCGAGGGGTCAGGCATTGGGGGGCGGAGTGTGACCCTGGCCCTCCTCCCCTGCAATCCCTGGCTGGTAATGGTGACCGAGTCCCCTGCTCCATGTGAGTCCATTAAGGGCAGATTAATGGGCCTCGTGATTCATTGCTGGCTGGCTCCGCGGGGAGGCTGGGGGCTCAGGGCATCCGTCTCTGGGAAGCGGGAGGGCGCGGGGTGCAGGGCCCTGGGGGACGTGGACCCTCAGGCGGGGCTCCGGGCTGCAGGGCCGCTGGGGGCTGGATGGCCTTCAGTCTGCTGACCACGTGTATTCCCCGTGCATGTACCCACATGGGCACGCTTGTGCCTCCAGGCACCTCAGAGGGTGGGGAGGCAGCTCCGGGGCCAGGCCGTGAGTCTGAGCACACCACCCCCTGCCCCCAGCTGGCCCTCTGTCCCCGCAGGGACCCCGCCCTGGGTGCAGAGACCCCGTGGAGGCTGGAATGAGGCGCAGCGCGGCCTCCACTCTGCCTGTCTTCCCTCCATAGGCTGCGGCTTTGGCCTTGGTGACTGCTCGCCTGCTGGCTGCCTGGCCCTCAGGGCCATCGGGCACTGCCCACCTTCTTCCCCGGCAAGCCAGGTAGGGCAGGCGGGGCGGCTCCACCACGCCTGGCCCAAGGGCCTCGCTGGCGGAGGCTCTCCTATTCCTTGGACAGACCAGGACTAAGCCAGCCCGGTGTGACCCTGTTGGCATGTGTCGCTGGGGTCCCGCTGCTGGGGGAACTGCTGGACATTGGGGACGGGGTCCAGGGGCTGGCGGCAACCTTGTGCTCACATCTGCGTTCCCGCTGGCCCCGGCATCCTTGGTTGTCTCCTGGGTGAATCTCAGTTCAGGCTCAGAGGCTCACCAGGGTGGAGGGTGGACCGGAGCAGGGTTTTAGAAACTGGACAGGGTTTTCAGGAGTCCTGGGGCGTTGGCATGGTGTTGGCTGAGTGAGGCAGGGGAGAGGGCACGCTGGGTGCTGGGCCCCGTGCGGGAGCCAGCCATCCTTGCAGTGGGCTGAGGGGTGGCGGGGAGGCTTCAGCCCGCCTGCTGTCAGGGCCTGAGGGGCTGTCCCTGGCTCGGGCGTGTGGGCTGGCAGAGTTGGGGCAAGGGGGAGGTGGCCAGAGGCTGCTGGGGGCCCCCAGGATCTCCAGGGGTCACCACTGCCACTTGCTGCCTCTGCGGAGCTGCGGCCAGCAGTCTCTGCAGAGCCTGCGTGGGCACCTTCCACAGCTCGCGTCGCCATTGGGCCCTGGTCGGCGGTGTGTCCCTTCTCGGGCACAGCAGGGCTCAGGCTCAGCCTCTTCAGTCTGACTTTGTCGCCTACCCCCCCAACTTTTTCTCCCTTCCCCCTCCCCTCCCCCGTGCCTTCCTTCCCTCTGAGTTCTGCTGACCTTGGGCGAGTCCTTCCCTCTTTTGACTTCAGCTTCCTGGACCATCTGTCCAGGGTGGATGGTGCTGCCCTGGGTGGCCTTGGTGACCGGGTAGACCCAGTCTAGCACGGGGGGCTTCCCTGCCTGTGGCACCATCCTCCCTGGGGCTGGGCCCCCTGATGAACCGAGGGGAGGAGGGGGGCTGCAGGTGGGAGGGGAGGGGGCATCTGGGCCTCGGGCGGGGGTCTTCCCTCCACACCCAGGGCGTCCACCAGTGGGGTGGGCTGTGGGGGCGCAGCGGAGGGGCGTCTGTCCCGCCTGCCCGCAGCAGCGCAGGCGCAAAGCCTCTGTGCAAGGGGCTTCGGAGTGCGAGTGTGCTGCCGCGAGGGGCCGGTGCAACGTGACGGTCAGGGCACCTTGGTCAGAGATTACGGAGACTCTCAAGACAGTGGCAGCAGCGTGTTCCACCCGCGAGGGGTCCTGTGTGACTGCACGTTGCACATGCCCAGAAGACAGGACCAGGGCAGGGGCAGAGGGGTCCCGTGGGCTCGGGACCTGGAGTCTCTGGCCTGCCTTGGGCCCAGTGATGACTCCTGCGCCCCTGTGTCTGGCCTCCTTAGTCTGAACACCTCCGCTCCTGCCTGGCAGGGTGACCACCCTCCCAGCGCCCCGGGGGCCCCAGAGCGCCCTCCCGGCTTCTTCTCCTGCCCCGGCCCCTCCCAGAGGCTTGTCTTTCCAGTCGCCCCTCTCTCTGCTCTCCTGGGACCGCCCCCGGCTTGGGTCCCCAGGCTGACCCAGGGCCCCGCGCAGCCCTCGCTGGCCCGGGGTAGGTGGGCCTCTTGTGCACCCTGGGTGTGTTCGGGCTGCGCCCCCTGCGCTGCCTCGTTCTGGGCGGAGGACCGGAGTTGCCCCCCGTCGTCCCCAGACAGCAAGTGGGTCACCCCTTTTCTGCAAAGCGCTTTGCATTTCGCATGCTGTCGGAGGCCGCCGAGCCCGGCCGCCAGCGGGGTCTCGGCGCGCTGCGGCTTCCGGGCATGGCCGGGGCGTCGCGCCGGGGCTGGGAGCTGCCGGGCCCCGCGCCCCCAGCCCCCTCCGGCGCTCTGCGGGAGGGCGGGGTTCGGGCGGAGGAGCGGCGGGCGGGACGCGCCGGGGGCGGGGTCCGCGCGGGGCGGGCCGGGGGCGGGCCGGGGCTGCGATTGGCCGGCGCCGGGCGGGGCTGCCGGAGCTGCGGGGCTGGGTCCGCGCGGGCAGGGCCGGCCGGGCTGCGGCGCGCGGGCAGGTGTCCGCGGCCCGCCGCGGGTCCGAGAGGAGCGGCGCGCCGGGTGTCCCCGCGGGCCGGGGCGGGGAGCCCGGCGGCCCCGCGCGATGCGCCGCTCGAGTACGGACGAGTCCACGTACCGGCGCAGCCCGTCGCCGCCGGGCAAGGAGCCGGGCTTCGCGCACGGCGGCCCCTTCTTCGGCCTGCACGCCAGCCCCGGCCCCAAGGCGGCCCAGGCTCGCTACACGTCGCCCAAGGGCAACAAGTACGTGGTCTTCTATCTGGACCTGTCCTTCATCTTCCTCCTAGAGCTGAAGCGCTGCAGCATGGCGCGCGGTTGCCTGCAGGGCGTCAAGTACCTCATGTTTGCCTTCAACCTGCTCTTCTGGGTGAGTGATGGCGGGCCCGGGTCTCCGCTTCCGCTGGGGGCGGGAGGGGGGAGGGGACACTCGGGACGCTGGCTGGGGGTGTGCCTGGGGTCGCTGGGGCCAGGGCGGCGCGGCTCCTGGGGGTTCCGGTACTGCTGGGGTCCACCGAGTCTGCACCCTGGGCGGCCACCCTGCGTCCCCACCGCTCTGTCTCCTGCTGAGACCGGACGTGTCCCGCCCCTGCCGCGGGGTGGCGTGGGGCCCTGGCTCCTTCCCCTCCGCCGCGCCCTCGCTCTTCGTGGGCACAGCCTCCCCAGCAGACCGGCCTTACTGGCTCCAGGGAGCGCACTTGCAGAGGGGCTGGGGGGCGGCGGCTGGGGATGGGAGGGTGAGCCCTCTGCTGGACCGGCTCCTGGGCGGGACAGGGGCTGGGGGCCAGCGGGAGAACTGTCGGGCCCCTCTCCAGCCAGGCGGGGCGCTTCTCTAACTTTATCTGAGGTGGCTGGGTTTGCTCAGATGAGGTGCCTGTGTCCAGGGTTAGAGCTGTTGGTGCTCTGGGGGGCCCCCTCCCTTGAAAAAGCCAAACACTGGAGGACAGAGTTGCCGTCCAGACCCAGGTGGGGGGCTGGGCGCGCCTGCGGGGGTGCCACAGTTGCACGGGGAGCAAACCCGGCCGGGCCTGGGGCCCACCATCCCGGCTGCGGGGCCTGTGGAGAGATGATGCCAAGGTCACGGCCGCTCCATTGTTAATTCCCCATGCTGCTCTCCTTCCACGGTGGGAGCGTGGGGGCGTGGCTGTCCCTCCTGCGGGGGCTCTGGACCCCAGAAGGAGGCCGCCGACTGTAACTCGTTCGCCTGAGCTCCACTTACCGCTAAAGGCTCAGAAAGCACCACCTTGCTGCACCTCCCGTCTCTCCTGGGCTCTGGCCTAAGAAGTGGGTTTCTGGGAAGGGTGGGAGGTTCCTGCTCCAGTTGCCCACCTCCCCAGGCGTCACTTGAAGGGTCATACTCTGCAATGGGCTCCTGGGAGGGGCTGGACCCGGGCTGGAGCTGAGAAGCTCCCAGAGGCCAGGAGTGAGCAGCAGAGGTGGCTGAGGCTGAGCTCTGCCCAGGTGCATGGGGTGCGACCTTCTCCTCCTTGGGGGGCACTGGCCAGGAGCAGGGCACTGGCCAGAAGCGGGGGACACTGGCCAGGAGTGGGGGACACTGGTCAGGAGCGGGGCACTGGCCAGGAGCGGGGGACACTGGCCAGGAGCGGCAGGCACTGGTGTGGTGAGTGGTGAGCCGCTGGCAGGGTCCGTCTGCCCCGGGCAGTGTGACGGGAGAGGGCTGCAGGTGGCTGTATGACTGGTGAGCAGGAAGGGTGGCGGACGGATGGGGGGTGGGCAGTGGCAGGGGGAGGTCCCGGGGGGGTGGAAGGACCTGCTTCTCCCCCCCTTCCAGCCCCCTTGGAGACGGGGGTATCTGCTTGTCTGGAGAAGGAGAGGGGGCCCTCGAGGGGCCTGTGCCTGGGGGGCAGCCCCCGAATGGCCCGGCGGAGCTGTCTCTGCCCTGTGAACCCCAAAGGCACCTCCACACCAGCTGCAGGGTGGACACGCTCCACTGATGCCTGCCGTGGATGCTGTCCTCTGCTCCGGGGACCCTCTCCGGAGCTAGAAAATCCAATCGCTTTATTATCCAATTACACTTCGCGGCCAAGCGCCCTGGGCCTGGGGACTGGCTTGGCCCCTCCACACCACACCTTGCTGTCCTGCGGCCTCGGAGGTCTGGGATCGGAGGGGAGACCCCCGGGAAACACGCTGAGGCCAGGGGTGATGAGTGTGGCCGGGGGCTGGCTAGACCCCCACCCTGTCGGCCCCTTGTGCTGCTGACACGGCTGCAGGGGGTGGGCCGGAGCCCCCCTTTCTCGGGACCAGCACCGTTGCTCTCTGGGGGTGCTGAGCCCCCACTGGAGGTATTTTTGCCCCTGCTGCTTCCCACTCGGGAGAAGTCCCACTCCGGAGAAGCTGAGGGGAGGTGGAATGCCACTTGCAGGTCAATGTGCAGTGACCCCTCCCGCCCCGTGGCTCCCTCCTGCCCACAGCCCGGCAGGGCACACTTGTCTTTGAGTCACCCCGGAGCCCCCTTCTCCACTGCAGACCCCGCCGGGCCCACCCCGCACACCGGGCACTCTCCTGGGCCTAAGCCAGCCTCTCCAGCAGTGCCCTCTGCCCCTCCGTCCCTCCCTGGGGTCCCTGGCTGAGGGTGGGCAGGGGGCTGGCCCTGGAGGTCAGTGTGCTCGGCTGGATGGACTTTCCCTGGGGGCTCCTGGATGGGGTCCGGAAGGGCCGGGCTGGGGCCTCCAGCCTCAGGTCCTTGTGTGGATCTGCTGGGTCCCGTGTGGCCTGTGGGTCAAGAGCGTGGCTCAGGCGTTGATGGTATCCCTGGGACTTGCGAAGGGGCGCCCTGAGACGGAGCCTGGAAGGCCCTGGCGGGCTACAGGGGGCACCGGGGAGGCGTGAGGCCCAGGTGCCGGCCGACCCCCAGACTCTCTGCCCACCCAGGGCCGCCGGGCCCTCCCGGGGAGGCACAGCCGCTCTGGGGACACCACTGCCTTCCAGGGGCACCGCTGCCTTCCAGGTGTGCAGGCGGTGGGCAGCCTAGGGCTAGGGTCCCCGAGTCAGGGCTGTCCCCTGGGGAGGAGGGCTGTGTGCGGGGCTCAGGCGGTGGTGGTGGGGCTGAGCAGCTCCTGGGCACTCTCCCTGCCCCTCCCCAGCTCTGGGTGTGTGCTCATGGCTCCCCAGGACAGTTTCTGCAGCCCTAGGGGTGATCTTGGCGGTGGCGGTAGTCCTGAGTGGGGGCAGGACTGATTCTGAAAGGCGAAGGTGCTCCTGTGACTGGCTGGGCCTCAGCCTGCAGCCCGGCTACTCCCGGGTGTGGTCAGCTTCGCTGCGGTCCCCCAGCCCCGTCCAGGAAGGAGCGCTCCCTGTCCCGCCTCCCCCGCAACGTGGGCCGGGCCCACCTGTGGGGCTCCGGTGGGAGCCATGCCTGCTCCGTCGTCTGCTGCCCGGGCTTCCCCGCTCTGTGGATCCTGCGTCCCCCACCAGCCCGGGGGTGCTTGGTCTTCCCCTCTGACCAGCGGGAGACTGAGGCCTGGCCCAGGTGTCCTGGGGCGCTGGAAGAGGGGCCCAAGGGCCCAAGACCTGGGACCACCTCCCCCAGCGCCCCTGCCACCAGGGAAACAGGCAGGCTGAGGGGCCCTGCTGGAGGTCATGGGGCAGGGTGGGGGTCTGTGGACCTCAGACCCCGTGACTGCTCTCGGCTCAGGCCTTCTTGGGGGGCTGGGGGCAGCTGTGTGTCCTGGTTCCGCTTTCCTCCTGCAGCAGGGAGGGGGCGGGGCGGTGGGGGTCCTGCTGCTGGCGACCACAAGCCAGGGTGGGTGGGCAGCGAGTGTGGGAAGTCGGGCTCCTTGGCCATCCCAGTCAGGTCAGGGGTCAGGATGCCACAGGATGGCTGTCCGGCATGAGGCCCGTCCCTGGGACCAGCAGCTGGAAGACAGGCCTCTGGGGCCCAGGGTTGGTCCCCTGTGGGGGCAGCGGTGGGTTTCCCTATCCCAGCCCCACCGGCACGCAAGCCCCGTGATCAGGGACTGGGTGGCTTCTCACGTGGGTTGGGGGTGGCAGCAGTTAGTCAGGGGGCCCTGGGAGCTCTGTTTGGGGCAGAGAGTGTGGTTTCAGCCCCTAAGGGGGCCGGGGAGCAGTGGAGAGGCCCCAGGGTCTGTGTGGGTGGAAGGGGTGCAGCCCTAGGTCCCTGCTGACGTCCGGCCCGTCTGCTCCCCAGCTGCCCCAGAAGGGCAGCCCCCTCCTCTCGGACACCAGCCTCAGGAGGGTTGGTGGGCTGGAGCCGGCCCGTCTCAGAACCTGGAGGGACGTGGGGCTTTCTGGAGCCTAAGGAAAACAGTTACAGTCAGTTGCACAGATTCTTTGTTTTGGCTGCGTGGCATGTGGGCTCCTAGCTCCCGGGCTGGACCAGGGAGTGTGCCCACTCCACTGCAAGTGCAGAGTCTTCCCCGCTGCACCACCAGGGCAGCCCCTCCATTGCACAGACTTTCTGCTCCCCACCAGGGTGGTGCACGAGCCCTGGCATTCGGGCCCCCAGCCCCCGCCCTGGGCACCTGCAGACCTGCTTTCTAGCCCGGGGACAAGTTTTTCCATCCGTGAACTTCACAGGGATGGGCTCTTCCCTTCCCCTGGGGCTGTTCTTGGCTGGGAGGGGGGTGTCACACCCGCCCCCGTGCCCGGCCCCACCCCCGAGATGGTGCCAGCTGCCTGGTGAGGGGCTTCTGACACAGGCTTGGCCCCTGTGGGCACCAGGCCCTCCATCATGTTCCAAGGATTGGGCCAGCTGCCCGGCCATCTGCCACGCCGAGCCACGTGACTGGAGGGCTGGCGCCCCCTGTGGGCCTCACCAAGGGGCCCCACCTGCCTAGCCCTAGGCCAGTCCCCAAAAATATGGACAAGAAGACAGATGGCAGGAGGTGGGGAGCGCGTGCCAGGCTGGGCACAGGGGGCAGCGTGTGCGCTCTGAGTGTGAGAGGGAGACAAGGAGGCCCCGGCGACTGCGGGGCTGGCATGGGGGACCCCGGGGGGCTGCCGTGCGGGGCCTGCTCCTGGGCCCCAGCGGGGCTGGGGAGGGGCAGGGAGGGCATCAGTGGCGTGGGGTGGAGCCCCGTGCCCACTGCTGCCCGCGGCCCTGTCCTGGGAGGGACCCGGGCCCTTCTGTGTTTGCTTCTCCATCTGGGTCTCACAGGGCCCGTTTTCCCCGTACTTGGAGGCTGTAATTTTCCTGCCAAAATGTTTTAAAAGCTGCCTACGCAGAAGCAGCTTCACAATTACAGGTAATTTTCTTACCCATGTGCCTGCATCGCGTTCGCGCTGTTGTTGGTGACTGGTCTGTGCCTGAGTGTGGAGGGCCGGGTGACACGTCTGGGTGTCGTTGTGGGCTGGGTCCACGTCACGGCATGTGAGGCCGCCCTGGGTGACGCCCCTCCGGGTGGGCCCAGGCCCTGCAGGACGCTCCCCCTAGATGCCCTCCCATGACCTTCCCTGCGTCCCCGTGGGGCCAGGGGCTCGGAGGCGCTCGTCCTGTGGAATGGAGCCGTCCACACTGACCTCGAGGGTGGGGCCAGCTGGCTGCCTGTTGGGTTTTAGAGGACAGTGCTCCCCTCTGCTCAGAGGCAGCCCCGCATGCCCACCAGCGGCGGCCTAGGGCTGAGCCCCTGGAATGGGAAAGGGTGCTGCGCAGTCAGCGGGGACAAGCAGGCGTGGGACCAGGGTGCCCGCTTCAGCTTCCTCCAGGGGGGCAGCCCCCATCCCTGACCTGAGTCCCCCCTCTGCTGAGACGCTGGGCAGAGGCCAGGGGAGCCTGTCCATGTGTGTGGTTCGCACGGGCGCCCCAGGAGAGCCCGGGGACCTGGGGTGGCCCTGGGCGCCCATTTCCTGCCCATTGGCTGATGGAGGGCTGTGACCCGCGCCTGTCCTGGCCTCTTCAGGGTCCCCGGATGGTGCCCCCGGGCAGGGGCGGGTGCCCTGCTCCCTCAGGGCGGCCTTGCCTGCGGTCAGCACCGTGGACAGCTCTGTCCCTGTGCCTGGCGGGGACCAGCCACGTGGGGGTCATCCTGCTCCCACAGGTGGGGCACACAGGCGTGTAGACGTCTCCTTATGGGGACACACTCACATGTGCACACGTCTCATTATGGGAATACACACACACTCGCATACGTCTCCTTATGGGTACCCACACTTACGTCTCATTATGGGGACACACACGTCTCCTTAGAGCCAGCAGACCCTGCCCAGCCTGGACACACACAGACACACACTTCCTTATGGTCAACAGACCCCGCCAGCCTTGGGTTCGAGCTCCCGTTTCATCTTGGGGTGTCCCCGAGGGTTCAGAGTCCCAGCCGGGCTGCGGCACCCCCTCGTGGCCATGCTGGCCCGCCCCCGACCCCCAGGGCCAGCCATCTCCCTGGATTCATCACCGCCTGGCCTCCCCTGCCTCTTCCTCCTGTTTGAATCGATTTTTTAAGGAGCAGTTATGAAGTTCAGTAAAAGCTGCAGTGGTCAGGGGAGCAGGCCAGGGAGCGGTCTGGTGTGGGTTCGGGGGCGGCCCCTCCAGGGGGACGGCTGGGGCCGATGATGCGTGGGGAGACCCGGCACGGGCGACAGGCCGGGCAGTCAGTGGGCACCTGGTGGGCTCCTCACCGTGTCCCCCTCTGCATCCCGGCCCAGCTGGGCGGCTGCGGCATCCTCGGCGTGGGCATCTGGCTGGCGGCCACGCAGGGCAACTTCGCCACCCTGTCCTCCTCCTTCCCATCGCTGTCGGCCGCCAACCTGCTCATCGTCACTGGCACCTTCGTGATGGCCATCGGCTTTGTGGGCTGCATCGGGGCCATCAAGGAGAACAGATGCCTTCTGCTCACCGTGAGTCCAGTGGGGGAGCAGGCCGGGCGGGGGGCGGTCCTGATGGACGCACATGTACACGCACCCCCACACGTGTGCCAGGCAGAGCCCCTTCGACTGGTACTGGGCCTGTTTTCCCCTCTCCCCCAGGACCCCCTCCCAGCTCCTGTCCCAGCCCTCTCGGCCCCCCAGGACCCTGTGCAGGGCGGGTGGGCCGCGCAGCTGAGGCTGGTGGTCTGGCCCGCAGTTCTTCGTGGCGCTGCTGCTGGTGTTCCTGCTCGAGGCCTGCATCACCATCCTCTTCTTCGCCTACACTGACAAGGTACAGCTGCCCCGCGGCGGGCCTGGGGCTGCACCCTCCCACCGAGGAGGGGACAGTAGGGGCTGAGAACTGACCCCAGGGACCCCAGGTTTGCGTGGACAGATGCCGGGCCTGGCCCGGCTCTGGCCGTAACCACAGGTCCTGGAGGCCAGGCCTGGGGGAGGCGCCAGGAAGTCTGAGCTCACAGATGGCCGCGTCTTCAGCTGCGTGTCAGCTCAATGGGGACGCCTCCCGCCCCCGCCGCTGCTTAATGGCACACGTGAGGGTGCATTTACGGGCTTATCCTCTGGTCTTACCCCAACACTGTTATTTTTTATTCATCTGGTTTAGCTCTGGTGGCTGGAGCTTTCTGTGGCTCCCACATCCCTTACCTGCTCCTCTGGCACCTCCTTCTCTGGTGCTAGGAGACACCCCCCAGGTCCATCTTGGGGGGGCCCCTGCCCCAGCCCTGGAATCGGCCATTTCTCCAGGGAGCCTGGTTCCTTTATGGAGAACGAATGGTCTTAGGAGCCAAGAGCTGGGCCTTGTAGGCCAGACACACGGAGCCGTGGGTCCTGGTGGGCGTGTGCAGACGCTGCCCTGGGTGTTCGGTGCCCGTCTGTCTCCTTCTGCAAGTTAACCGCCAGAAGCTCGTGCTCAGCAGGAGAGGGACAGGGAGACCTCGGGGCGCCAGAGCCTGGCGGCGCCTTCTGGGAGGGGTGACTGCGGGGAGGAGGAGGGCGGGAACCAGGGGCCGGCGCAGGCGCGGGGCCGGCCGACGCGGGTGGAGCTGGCCGCAGGGTGCCCCTGCCGTCCTGCAGATCGACAAGTACGCCCAGCAGGACCTGAAGAAGGGCCTGCACCTGTACGGCACCCCGGGCAACGTGGGCCTCACCAACGCCTGGAGCATCATCCAGACCGACGTGAGGCGTGGTGTGGTGGGGGCGGGGCCCGGGGGGCGTGGCGGGACCCGGGCGGGGTCCCTTTCGAGCAGAGTCCCATTCCGCCTCTCCTGCAGTTCCGCTGCTGCGGGGTCTCCAATTACACCGACTGGTTTGAGGTCTACAATGCAACGCGCGTGCCCGACTCCTGCTGCCTGGAGTTCAGCGAGAGCTGCGGGCTGCACGCGCCTGGCACCTGGTGGAAAGCGGTGAGTCTGCCCTCCGGCTGGCCGCGGCCCGGGGCCATGGGGGCGGAGGGCCGACCTCGCCGCCCCCGTGACGCCGACTCTTACCCCAGCCGTGTTACGAGACCGTGAAGATGTGGCTCCAGGAGAACCTGCTGGCCGTGGGCGTCTTCGGGCTGTGCACGGCCCTGGTGCAGGTAGGAGGGACCCCACCCCAGCTCTGAGCCTAAAGAACGGGGCAGTGGGGAGTCTGAATCCCCGGCAGAGGTGCAGGGGGCTTCCCAGGGGATTGTCAGGGACAGCGTCCACGGGGAGGTGACCTGTGACGCCTAAGGGACAGACTCCTGAGCGGAGGGTCTGGTCTCCTCGGGGACGAAAGCACAGCCAGGACGCGTCTGCAGAGAGCTGTGCGCCAGCTGTGTTCCCACACCCCTGCCCCGGGGCTGTGTGTGGGGGGTGGTCACAGGACTGCCCGGTACAGAGCGAAGGTGGGCAGTGCAGACCCTGGTGAGGGGCCAGCCAGCCAGCCCCTGCTCCCCAACCTTCGTGCAAGACCTGAGTGCCAGCCCCCGGGGGAGCACAAGCAGTATCAGGGCAGCCCATCTCTGGGGTGCAAGCAGGGGTCACAGCCAGACACTCCCAGAGGGGTGATCGCAGTACGATAGAGGGGTGGAGAGCAACTGCTGGGGGCCCAGCCTGGAACCTCTGGGCCCTGAGACCAGCCAAGCCCAGGGTGGCCAAACCCACCCCAAGGGGACAGCGGATCCGGGTCTGGGTCCAGCCCACGGGGTGCCTCTAGGCCTGTGCAGGGCACGCAGTGCTGGAGGCTTCCCCAGGTATGGGAGTTCCAGCCCACCTGGGACGCTGCGGGTGCGGTGACGGCACTGGCCGCTGGCCGTGGTCCTGAGTGGCCCTGCCCAGCCCATGCTGTCCCCGCAGATCCTGGGCCTGACCTTCGCCATGACCATGTACTGCCAGGTGGTGAAGGCGGACACCTACTGTGCGTAGCTGCCTGCCACCCCGCTTCGCTGCCAAAGGACATCGCCCACCCGGGAGACAGCTGTGCCCCCGTCTGCCTCTCTTGCTGCAGGACCTTTCACCAGCCTCAGGAGTGCCGTGCCCGAGTGGGCAGCCAACGACCAGCCACACATACCCCCGGGGCTGGGGTCTGCAGGGGCTTCTGGCGCTTTTCTTGTCCAAGTGTTCTCCAGGGCAGTGTTCCCCACCAGCCCTGTCTGGAGCAGGGGGTGGGAGGTAAGGGGCGCCCCGCTGGCCCTGGTGCTGGAGACGGGCCGCAGGCTGCTCCCCCACACCCCACAGCAGGGCCGTGGCGGGCTCCGGGCACGTCTAATAAAGTGTGGGCAGCAGCCCCCGACGTGTCTTTCAGTGCCCTGACCCATGGGTCCTGCACCCACTCCCACAGTCTGGTACTTGGAGTGGGGCTCCCAGATGGGCGCAGTCCCTCCCGCCCCCTGCCTGCACGGGTTGGCAAGGAAGCCCAGTAGGTGGGCTCCAAGCTGCAGCAGAGAGGGGCCCTGAGTCTTGCTGACCCACCCACGGCCGGTGCTGTGGGCACCCCATCTCCATGCCCTGCTCCTGACATGGGGGTGCTCCCCCAGCCTCAGGGCTGCCTCCTCCCCCAGGGGTGTCCTCCTGAAAGATGGTCAGCCCCATCTTTGCCATTCTTTCTGTTCACATCTTGTTCCTGGAAGCTTCATCCCTAAGTGTCACTCATGGGTTTTGTGAATAAAGTCGGGATGGAAGCAGCTGTCACAGGGCCCAGACTGGGGAAACGGGTGAAGTGCCTAGAAGCACTCCTGGGCATGGAGGCCAGGGGGGACCCCTCCTGGGCACCCAACCCTCCCCCCGGCTGAGGCAGGCTGCTGGGCGTCCAGCCCCTCCCCTGGTGCCCACAGGCCCACCCTGCCGGCCACCCCCTCATGTCCCTTTGGTGCAGCATACCTTCCCTGAGGACCCCTGGGCGGCCACTGACCACCGCACAGCTCAGACCACCAGGGTACCCGGCCCCTCCTGGCTCCCGGCCGCCCGCCCCCGTCCTATCCCATCCCTGTGTCCCCCCTGTCCTCCGTGGAAGCCCCCAGAACACCAGAGATGGTCAGAAGTAACCGCAGATACACACCCAGAACATCTCTAGGCACCACAAGAAACCAGTGGGAGTGAGAACAGTCCGGCCAAACCGTCCCCCAGCCCCGCCGGCGCCCTCTGCCCTGTTGCCGCGGCCCCACTCGTGCCTCTGTCCACCTCTGCCTGAGGCCCCTGCTTGGCGGGCTCTGCCATCCTGTGTCTCATGGAGGACTTGCAGGTCCATGACTGTTTCCCCTCTGCTCCACGGGGCACGTAGGGCCCTTGTCTCCAGGTCCACCCTGCCTGCAGCCGTGTGTGGGCCCCCTCTCCCCTGTGGATGCCCCCAAGGGTCCGGGCCCAGGACCCCCTTCCCAGCTCCCCGTGCCCTTTGCTGGTTCCCCACATCCTCCAACCCAGACCGAGGAGCCTTCTGCTTGGCATCGGATCACCCCCTGGCTCCAGATCGACAAGTGCTGACCACACGGACCCTGTGGCGAGTCTGCTCCTCCTGGCCCAGCCCTCACCCTCCCAGCCAGAGCCTACAGCCTGCCCTGGGGGCCCTGGCAGGTGGGGGCGTTAGACCCACCGTCCCAAGAGCCTGCCTGCACCTACTGACCTAAAGCAGTGGGGTGCCCGGGCGGGCGGCCCCCCAGCCAGCCTGGAATCTTCTGTGTGGCCCACACTGTAAGCTGCTGGGCTCTTCCTCAGGACAGCTTGTGAGGGTCCAGCTGGGTCACGACCCCGAGGATGGGACCCACCCTCAGAAGCCCCCCAGCCCGGCCCCCCCGAGCTGCGCCCGCGCTCATGGCCAGCAGAGCCATCACCAAGGGAGCCCCCTGTGTGGAGCCGGTCAGCTCCCCAACGGCAGGGCCGGGGCAGCTGTCCTTTGACTCCCAGCAACAGCGGCTCTTCCCATCGCGCCCTCCTTGTAGAACAGCCACAGCCGGCGGGCAGCAGCCCACAGTGAGCTCAGTGACCACAGCCCATGCCCTGCTCTGGGGGGCCTGCCTCTCTGAGCCTCGGTTTCTGCCGCGCCTCTGCCATATGGTGCCCACCAGGCTCCTGGGCGGGAGGCCGGTCCCTTTGCACGGCCCTGGGGTGATGCCTGCCGGAGCGTCCACAAGGAGAGGCGCCTGGGGTTGCCTTGGAGCCTCTGAGCCCTCAGGGACTGCAGGCCACCGCCGCCTGTGCGGTGGGGCTGTGGGCCCTGCCTCAACAGCCAGCGGAGGGTCTGCATCCTTAGCTTCCCCCTGGCCCTGTTAGGACCCCCCCACCCCAGGTTACTGCCCTGAGGGGCCTGGGTCCCCAGCCTGCTTGGTCCCCGCAGAGGCCGCAGCACACACAGCTCCGGAAATAGAAAAGAGTCTGTATTTCGCACATCAGTCCCTCTGTCTCTTGGAAAAGGGCACGCTGGCTGCACGCAGGCCCGGCCTACAGCAGGTCGTAGAAGTAGTCGAGGCCCTGGCCGAGCTCCCAGATGGACAGCCCCACACCCAGCTCCTGGGCCAGCTCCAGCCGCACCTGCAAGGACTGAGGCGGAGGGAGTATCGGCTCGGCTGCGCCGGCCCTGAGGCCCAACTGCCCACTGCCACTCGCCAAGGGCCGCCCCCACCCGCAGCCCCAGCCCTGCACGCACCTTCAGCGTCGGATAGAAAACGACGTGCCTCCCGCCACGGCTTCTGCAAGAGAGCAGACCCTAGGTCCGCCGCAGCCTCGGCTCCTCCTGGCCCCGCCCTGCCAGCCCAGGGCGCAGCTCTGTGCCCCTCCTAGGCCGGGCGGGCCTCAGGGCGGAGGCTGGGCCCGCGCCCACGGGACCCCGCCCAGGCCCTCCCCGACACTCACTTCCTGTACTCGAAGAAGTGCTCCGCGGCCTGGCTGTCCCACTCCACATGAGGCCGGTGGTCCTTCAGTGTCTGGACGTACCTGGGGGAGACGGGCTGTGGGAGGGCGGCCCCACCCCGCCCACCCGGATGGGTGGGGGCGGCCTTCGCCATCACAGCAGGTCAAGGCTAACCGGGCCAGCGTGTTGACCCCCAGTGGTCCGTGGAATGCCAGCAACACCAGGTGGGGTGGGAGGGCCACGTGGGGTGGCCTGGGCACAATGAATGCCAGGAAGCAGGACCACAGGGCAGGTTCTCAAATGCCCGGGCTGGGGCTGTGGTGGGGGGGAACAAGGGTCCCGACAGGCTGCTGAGATGTGGGGGCCAGGACCCCGCCCTGACCTGACAGCACCATGGGCAGAACGAGGTTCCACAATGTGGGTGCAGCACCAGCTGGGAGGCAGATGGTCCTCCTGGGCCCTGCCCGCTGGGGACATACGAGCAAGCCCTGGGGGCAGCCTCAGCTCCGCATGCCCTCGCCCCCTTCCCAGGGAAACACCGATGTCCGGGCCCTCTGGGGACCCAGGCTGTCCTCCCTGCCTCCCCGCTGTGGACGCAGCTGCCCCAGGCCTGCGGTGGGCCCGCCTCACTGCCAAAAGGCACTGGTTTCAAACCCGCCCCCAACACACACGGAAGACGAGCTGGTTTCCAGGGTGCCGCGTGGCTGGGACAGTGGGGCCAGCAGCCGGCGCTCAGACAGGCTGAGGGGGGAGGTGCGGCCAGCCCGCCCCCGAGCCCAGGGGGGCGTTGTGTGCTTTGGGCTGGACCACTGATGCCAGTGGGGTGCTGGGGGGCAGGGCTGGACAGAGCAGTGGGGACTCCACACGGGATCTGGGCCAGGACCCACGATCCCCCCACACCAGCTCCAGTTGTCCAAAATGATGGCATCATCCTTAACCACAGCCATGCTCCTGGAATCATAAGGATCACTTGCCGCTTTGGAGCCGTCTGCCCTGAAGCTAAGGTGATCTGGGACGAGGGGTGGGGTGGACGTTTCGAACCCCCGAGTCCTGTCCTGGGTCGGGCAGATGCTGCTCAGCAGCTGGCTCCAGGCCCTGGGGTATGGGGAGCCCTGGCCACGCACTCCTCACAGGGGGCTGCCTGCTGGAGCAGGTGGGCTGTGGGGGCAGCTAAGGCTGCTCTCTGCTGGGGTCAGTTCCTCATCCCAGAGGCTAAAGCCGGGCAGTGCCAGGGCTGGGGCCACTCAGGACCCCACGCTCACTGGGGTGGGAGGTGGGGGGGCCAGGGAGTGAGCGCCCTGGGTGGGGACAGCTGAGCAGACAGCTGCGGAGTGAGAGCAGGACCACAGGGGCGGCCCAGGCGGAGGGGCTGCGGTGGGCGGCAGGGGTGAATGAGGGAAAGGCACAGATGGGGCCGCGTGGTCCCTGAGCTAAAACGGAAGGCCTCGGCCATCGGACACCTGAGAAACATCCCGCCAAGGCAAGTCACAGATGGACCCCACCCCAGGTCAGTGGCCTCGGGGACCGCTGAGACGTTGCGGAAACAGGAGGTGGCCGCACAGCCTGACGAGGTTCTGAACGTTGCCGAGTCAGGCGCTTTGCCACAGCGGACCTTAAAACGTGTGAATGACACCTCCCCACTCAAAAAAGTTGTCAGCCTTCGGGATGAAGGCTTCAGGGAACAGCAAAGAGAATCATCGACGAAGACACAGCAGACAGGTCGGCGGAGGATTCAGGGCCCAGAGACGAGCTGCATGGCCCCCCCGCTCTGGGCGGGTGAGCAGAGAGCAGGCGGAAGGGGACCGTCAGGGCGACAGGGAAACCAGCCTGGGGTGGGCATCCCACCTCCCACTGGGGCCTGGGCACCCTGCGCTCTCTGTTGTGGCCCCTGCAGGACTGAGAGGGCCCCTGGGGGAGACACAGCTGGTGCTGCACCCACACAGGGCCCGCCCCGGAGGGCGCCGACCGAGCTGCTGAGGACCTGGCTGGGCACATGGAAGGCGCAGGGTCCTCTGCTGCAGGCCATGGGGAGCCCGGTGGGCACCGCCACAGGCGACGCGAGGAGGCACCCCTTCCCCCATCTCAGCTCCCAGGACCTACAGGCAGTTTACACGGAAGACCTCACGTCACCCACAGGCAGCAGGACCCCCGCGGGACCCCTGGAGCTTCCCCCAGGGGAGAGCCAGCAAGGACGGCGATGAGCGGTCAAGGTGCACAGGGAGGCCCCGGGCACAGAGTGAGGGCAGGAGGCTCGGGAGGCCAGGGGGGACCGCGAGGCCCGGGGGGGGACTGCGAGGCCCAGGGGGGACCACGAGGCCCGGGGGGGGACCGCGAGGCCCAGGGGGGAGAGCCGGGAGCCCAGGGGGGACCGCGAGGCCCAGGGGGGGACCACGAGGCCCAGGGGCCAGTGGAGGCTAGGGTCTCAGTGGAGCACACGGCGCAGGGATGGGCCAGACCCAGAGCCGGGAGCCAGAGGGGACCACGAGGCCCAGGGGCCAGTGGAGGCGAGGGTCTCAGTGGAGCGCACGGCGCAGGGACGGGCCAGACCCAGAGCCGTGGGAGCCGCCAGCGCCGTCCAAGGCGGCGCGAGACCCGGGCAGGAGGGCCGCACAGGCAGCCTCTTCAAGCCCTGTGGCCTCGACCCTGCGCCCCCTGGCCCATGAGTGGTGAGGGAGTGCTGCCGGGCACAGCCCAGCCCTGGGCCCGGCTGGCTGCTCTGCCGGGGCCGACTCTCGGAGGTCCCGGCGGCCCCTGAGCAGCGGCAGCAAGCCCAGTCTGGATGCTGCAGGGGCGTGCGGGCCCACTTGGCCTGGGGGCCTTCAGGGGGCTGGCCGGGCACCCTGAGCAGCAGGGCAGCGCGGCAGCCTCCCAGAACGGGGGTCAACAACCACGGCGACCCCTGGATCAGCACTCAGGTCTGTGGGGGTTGTGAGTCTGCAGGTGGGGCGCCCGGCCTCCCAAGGCTGTTTCACGGCCACCGCGACTCTCAAGGTCAGGGAGCGGTGAGGCCGTGGGGCGATGGGGCCTGCTAGTCACAGGGCTGGAGAGCAGAGACAGTGGCCAGCGCATCCAGAGAGTGCAGACCGCCTCCCCGCCGAGGCAGCGGGGGCCACGAGACCCCTCCCACTCCCCGGCGGGCAGAGCCGGCCTCCCGCCCCTGCTGGAGGCCCTGGTTGTGTGAGGAGCAGATGGGAAGGCGCTGATCCCCCGCTGTCCCTGGAGGGGCCGGGGACGCTTGCCACACACGGCCAGGTCAGCGCCGGGGAGGCTGAGTGGCTCGGGACAGGCCAGCCTGGGCTGCTGTCAGGAGGGCAGCAGGGCGCCATGGCCCCAGGCTCACTGCCCCCACACCTGCTGGTCACCCACTCAGGGCTCCCGGGGGTGTCCAGTGAGGGGCGCGTCCTGGTGGGCTGTGACTCCGGGGCCCTGGGCCTGTGAATACACCCACTCCCTGCGGAGGCAGCCTGACCCTCCCACCCCCCACAGACAGGCCTCCATCTGGGGCCTCGCTGAACTCTCCCATCTGGCACCCCAGACGCGCCTGAGGGGGCCTACTCCCTGCCCTGCAGAGGCTCTGCCCCTGTTCCCAGAGCCCCCAGGCCCGAGGATGCGGGGGATGGTCTGGAAGGAATCGGCTGTGGGCAGAGGGCATCAGGGCAACCTGGGCCAGCCCCTGCCCAAGGTTCCCCCAGGGCAGAGGCAGTAGACGCCCCAGGGCCCTGGGGAGGAGGTGCCAGCGGGCGCGGTCACCAGGCCGAGGGAGGGGCTCTAGGATGGGCTCTGCTGGGCCTCCAGCGGCCGAGGGGGGAGGAGCTGAGCCTCCGGCCTGGTCTCCCTGACCGTCCACCCTGCTGAGCCACGGGATGGCTGAGCTTGGGAGGAGGGGCCTTGGCGAGATTTCCCAGCAGCCCCCCTGCCCATGGCCCCTCAGAGACCCACATAACCCCTCAGAACAGCGGTCACCCCACCTCAGCCTCCTTCAGCCTCTCCCCAGTGTAAGTGCCCTGGGCAGGACCCGAGTGGGCCCCCGGAGGTCAAGGGAAGCGGGCAGCGCCCTCTGGGGTCCGCGCCCTCTGGGGTGCTCCCTGGCACGCCCCTGGGCCCAGGAACCCTCTGCCCGCCCCCATAGGCCGCCCTCCCTGTTCTGCCTCCGGGCACGGTGGGGGACCCCTCAGCTGGGTGACCTCAGCAAGCCCAGGGCAGAGCCTTCCTGTCCAGCTTCCCCCGACAGCGCTCCCCAAGCAGGTGGAGGCCCTCCCGGGCCTCAGCCCAGACGACCCCGGGGACTCGCCGAGGAAACAGGTGTGGCACCCCACCGGGTGGACGACTGCCGGACAGCCTCCCGGAACTCCCAAGGCCAGCCAAGGGCCAACCCAGCGGCCTGTCCCTCCGCAGGGCAGCCCTGAGGGAGCACAGCACAGGCGGGACGAGGCCAGCAGGCGAGTGGCCGGTGCTCAGGCACTGGGCCGCGTGCTGTGTCCCCACAGCCAGCGGGCCTGCAGGTGACCCTGCCCACGGAGGGCAGCAGTGGGCACACACACTTGGATCACTGGCCTCAGGACCGTCCCTGCTCACGGGACAGCTCACAGCGTTCAGGGGTCGCAGCAGCTCACAGCGTGAGGAAGGGGGCCGAGAGCACGCAGCTGGGTGAATGCACGAGTGGCCCGAGCAGAGGCCCCCAGAGAGCCGCTCGGCGACACGGAGGGGATGGGGCTGGTCTGCCCGGCAGCCTCCACACACACACTTGGCGTCCCAGACAAAACCCCAGACGAGAGCTACCGAGATACGCGGGAGGGTGAGACCCCGAGTAGGACGCGACCAGGAAACGGTGTGCGGGCTTGGAGACAGCGAGAAATACTGAGCCAGAGAAAACAGAGACAGAGCCCCCCAAGACAAAGTGAGGGTCACCGGGCAGGGGCAAAAAAGACCGCCTGACACACGAGTGTCGTGGGCCTGGAAAGGGAGGAGAGAAAAGGAGAGCTGAGAAGCTGGCTACCATCTTCCCAAACACGATAAAAAGGGTAAGCCCCAAGGTTTAAAAAGCGCAATGAAAGCCAAGTGCAAAGAACGTGAACAAATCTCCGTGAAGGCGCGTGGTTGTCACAGTGCAGTGGGGCTGGGTGGGGACCAGTGTGGAGACCATGTGGGGGTGAGCAGGTCATGGGATGAAGCGCCCAGGCTGTCCACGCAGCAGCAGCTTCAGAGCCCAGCACAGACAGCTGACACCGAGCAGGAGCGCGGCCGCGCGGCCGGGAACACCAAGGGCTCCTCCAGGCCGCAGCAGAGAGCGCAGGGGTGGCGGGCCGCCTGTGCCGTGTCAGGGACACTCCTGCTGACACAGGGCCAGAGGGGGAGCCGGGATGGCGCCCCGCGGACGGCCGGCCTGAGATCAGACCCTGCGCAGCCTCCCCGCCACGGCCCCCCGCCTCCCGGAACGGCCGCGGCTCACCTGGCCCCGACGATGGGCTCGCGGGCGCCCTTGGAAGCCGAGTGGTCCATGCCGTAGAAGTTGAGCCCCAGCAGGATCTTGCCCCGCCACCTGGACTCGGGGTCCAGGGCCTGGACGCAGGCTCGCACCCAGGGCAGCGGTGCGTTGGGGCCGGCCCTGCGGGGTCGGGCAGGAGCGGGCTTCAGCGCCGGGCCGAGGCCTCGGGCGCCCGGGTCGCAGCAGGAGTCCACGCACACCGTGGCAAGGACAGCAGCAGACAGACGGCCACGCGGACCCGGGCCGGGTGTCTGCTTCATCCGGGACCCTCAGGTGGCGGAGCGCTCAGTGGAGGCCCGGGGCAGCAGCATGACCCCCGACACAGGAGCACCGTGTCCCGGGCGTGGAGGTGGGCCCAGCACCCGGCATAGGGCAGCCAGGGCTGGGAGGCGTGGATGGACACCCTGGGATGGCATTCCCATGGGGTGGCCAGCTGCCCTAAGTCACCCCAAAGCAAGAAGGTTTCCCGACACAAAGCCAACTGTGGGCTTTGGGAGAAGAGACTGGGCCCTTCGTGATTCTGGAGCTGAGAGCTGACCAAGGGTCACAGCCTGAGCAGGCTGGTGGGACGTGGACCTCGCCCAGGCATCCCATGTAGAGGCCCGCCGGGGGCTGGGCACCCGTGTGCCGAGCCAGAGCACGGGGCCCCAAGCGCCCCACTCACGGCTGTGCTGTGGAATAGTCGTAGGTCATGAGGCTGAAGCCGTCCAGCACGGGTGCCAGCTGCTCAAACTCTGCGTTCGTGAACATGCCCAGCTTGTTGGTCCTGCAAAGAGATGATGTGGTTACCATGCCCACCTCGTGGTCACAAGCCTCTCCCCAGCTGACCTGTGCTCAGCGGAGGACGAGGCATGCTGGCACGGGGCTCCCAGCTCAGGCCCCTTCTGCCCCTGCTCCAGGAAGACACCTTGGTTCCTTTCCCAGAGGGGGGCAGTGCTCGGGGGCATGAGGTGGCCCGCAGCTGGGTCAGGGCTCCAGCGGAGATCCCCACCTCCTGCCCAGGCCCCAGAAGCCTCTCTCAGGTGAGCAGGGGCAGCGCAGGCCCGCCTGCTTCTGCTCAGCCTCAGGCACGGCGCCCTGCCTCTGGGGGCCTCAGGTCTGGGCGGGTGGGACACAGCCGACGGCCAGCCCGCCTGCCGCCTGTCCCTGGGTGGGGCACAGGGGACTCTGCGTCCCCCACTGTGGGCGGGGAGGACAACCCGTCTTCTCAGCCAGTGCCTTCAATCCCTGGGCAGGGGCAGCCCACCACGTGGACCCCAGCCTCAGCCACTAGTTCCACGGAATCCAGGCGACCCTAAGACATCCCATCACCAGGCTGCCCCAAGCCCGATGAGCAAAGGCCCCTACCCCCAGCCTCTGGCTTCAGAGGGAGGGGCCTGGAGGCCTGGCCCAGGCCTCCCAGAGACATCAGGCTCCTGGGGACTGTGGCTAGCAGCCCCAGAGCCCCGGGGGGCACAGGCGAGAACCCCTGACAGGCACTGGCTGTAGCCAGGAGCATGGGACGCAGATGGGAACCAGACGCGTCCACTGGGCAGTGATGGCCACAGGCTGGGGCCATGCTCCAGACCACCCTGCTCAGCCAGGAGACGCCAGGCAGCGTGGACCCCACACCGGCCCCCAGCATTTTCAGGCCACGCTCCCCGCTCCATCCCGGCCCTGACAACCAGCTGACACCGTGAAGCCGCAAACCCCAGGGCAAAACGCAGCCTACTGGGCTGGACACCCCAGCCCCATCCCGGACCAGTCCTCTCCAGGTCGAGCACCCCCAGGACCAGCGCAGACCACGCACCTCCCTGGCCTTGCCACTGAGCGCAGGCGGGGCGTCACCCGGCCCACAGACACTGCCCACAGAGCTGTCTCCATGGTGGCCCAGCAGGAAGAGGGTGGGCCTGCTGCCTGCTCCCACCACTGCCCGCTGTGGGCCCGCCCCAGGGCCTCCGGCTGCAGCCGCCCTACGTGGTCAGAGCAGAGCCACGCCTGCAGGTCTGGCCATCCCCACCCGTCAGCAAGGGCCCCGCCCTCCAGCTGGACCTCTGCGCCTGCACCCACGTGGTGTCCAGGGGTGACCCCGGCCCACGGCCCCGCTGAACCGCCACAGTTTGGCCCCAGGCCACCCCTGGAGCTCAGGAAACGTTAACAGGGCTCAGCCTGGGCAGGGGTGTCCCTCCCGGGGAAGGACCCCAACCCACCCCCTTCCTGTGGTGACCCTAAACCCCAGGGGCAGCTGGAGGACAGCTGGGTGCAGCACCCATCAAGGGGGACACCTGCCCATGAGGGTGCGAGCTCGCTGCGGGGAAGGTCCTAGGAAGGAAGTCGGTCCACCGTGCCTGAGGTCAGCTCCTTCTCGGGGTCCGAGAGCTCGATTCTCAGAAGAAACAGCCTGAGGGGCTGAGGCGAAGACTGACTCAGGGCACTTCTAGAGCAAGGATGACGCAAAGCTCTAATTAAACCTGTTGACTGGCGCTGGACCATCAGTCGGGGCCACGCTGTGACATCAAGAGCAGGGCTCAAGGTCAGGATGGCCACCCGTGCCAACAGACCCCAAATTGGGGGGGTGGGGCACAGGCCATGGCAGCAAAAGGCTGCCTGCCACGCAGACACCCTCCTGGGTGGCTGTTCCCACGGGCAGCAGTGCCGCCTCTGTGAAGAGACTGACGCGGCAGAAAGGCCAGGAAGTTTGTTTACAGCTCACTAGTTCCTCCGCTGGGCTGCTGTCCAGAAGTGTGGGTGGAGAAGGACAAAGCCAATGAGACAAACCCTGGCCACCGGGGCCTCTGGAGGAAGGGATGCTTGCTCACCAGCACGAGGGTGCAGCTGGACTGTGCCCCTAAGATGTGGCCAGGGTCAGCAGAGGCAGCCGTGCCCAGGACCCCGCCGTCAGCCTGGGCCACACAGGCCGCGGCCCCCGCCCCCGGCCTCCCTCTCACTGCCCCCCAAGGGCACGTCCTCCCCGGTCACTGCCGGGGGAGGGGCCCAGGCTCACTCCATCCACTCCCCGCCTGGGGCCCAGGAGCTCAGGTCAGAGGCCTGGGCAGAGAGGGTGCTGGCTGGAAAGCTGCTCCCCACCCCGTCCCGAGCCCAGTGCCCTCGGAGGCCAGGCCTAGGGGTCGGCCCGCCCAGGGGTGTCAGGCCCGCTCACCCTCCCTCACACCCTCCAGCACACGGGGGTCTGCCCTGCACACCTGTCAGCATGAGGGGCCTGCAAGGGGGCCAGTCCCGCCCACAACCCGGGCCCTCCCTGGGCTGGAGGAGCTCCACTGATGGCCCCGACGGCCAATCACAAACGTCAACTGGGACTCTGCCTGTCCCGACCCACCCCAACCGACAGACACTAGAGATCCTGGAAACAGATGCTGCACCTGCAGCTGAGCCCGCGGACCACGCATGCGTCCACTGCGCTGGCCCTCCAGACCAGGGCCCCCACCCCAGGAGGACCACTGGCCCCTCACACACGTGTGTTCTACTCAGAAGCACGGGAGGTGACACCCGGGGCCGAGGCCCTCCTGTGGGCCGGGGGCGTCAGGCACAGGAGGGCAGCCGCCTGGGGCTGTTGGGGTGGCCTCTTCTGTGTGAGGCCAGACAGTAGGGTCCAAAGGCCACCCACCCCATCCCGCTCACTGGCCCAAGCTCTGCAGTGAGCCGGTGACTGGCCCCTCAGGTCCCCACCCAGGCCTCCTCTGTGCCGGGCGTGGGCTGGATGGTGGTCAGGCCACAGTGCTGACAGCCGGCACCGGGTCCAGCTCCCTGCCACGGGGCCGGGGTGGCAGGAAGCGACCAGGCTGAGCAGCAGGAGGCCTGGCCTGAGGCAGTCCGGGCCCTGAGCTACGGACCTGCGAGGACGTGCCAAGACCACTGAGGCATCCCACGTGCTGATGGGGTCCCCCCCCCTACACGGGCAGTGGCCATCGTGGCTGGGCCGGGTGGGGGCCAGAAAGGGCCTCCCGGACGAGCAGGCACAGCACTTACCCCGGGGTGACGGCGGGCGGGATCACCAGGAAAGCCAGCAGCCGGGCCTGGTGCAGCGCCTCAGCCATGTGGGTGAGCAGGTGAACGAGGCCCCTGCAGAGGAGCGGAGGACGGGTCACCCTCCACCCAACCTGGCCTGCACGGCTCCCGACCCCCGAACCACAGGGGGTGCAGCGCCCGTCACCTCTGGACCCTCCTAGATAGCAGCCAGGCTGAGATGAGGAAGGAGCCCGTGACCCTGGGGTGCTGCGGGCAGGGGTGCCCCACACCCAGGGCGTGGGGGCAGCTCCACTGATGGGGCCTTGTGCTGGGGCCCTGACCTCCCGCCCAGGGAGGTAGCCTCGACTGCCTGCCCCCTCATGCAGTCACCCCCACCCCAAGCAGTCACCGACACACAGCTCCGCCTTCCTCAACCTCAGGAGGGCGGTAAGGACAGTCAGCGGTGACTGCTCCACCAGGCGTGCCTGCACCCAAGGAGAAGCATCTCCACAGGCAGCAGGCTGCCAGGTGAGGCGCAGAAAGGCAGACAGCCCACGGCTCCTCTGGTCACGAAGGGTGCGGGACGTGGCGGCATCTCAGGTCTGGTGGGCAGCGTCCCTGGGGAACGGCTGTCTGGAGCGCCAGCCCCGGGGCCGCTGGCCGCACATGGACTGCAGAGCGGCTGGTTCAGCCCCCCAAGGGCCGCCCTGCCGGGAGGGCAGGTCTTGGGCCAACTCCGTGCTGGGTCCACTCTGGCCTGGCCCCACACTGCCTGGGAGGCTGTGGGCCCAGTGACCGACCCAGGTCCTCCCCCAGAGCCCTCAGGAGCCACCTCGGTCTGCAGCAAGGTGGTGAGTGCCTCGCACAGCGTGGGCAAGTGAGGGGGCCATCACCCTCAGCCCCTCTCAGCTCGAGCCAGTCTGCACAACGCATGGAGGCGCGGGGCACAGCTGCGGCCCACCCTGCGGAGGCGGGCACGGGGTGGCCTCTCAGTCTCGCGGGGCCCACCCTCAGCGGGGGGGACCCCAGGGCCAAGGAGACACCACTCCGGCTGTGGCTGTGGGCTCAGGGATGCCCCCGGGAACACACGGGCTGCAGAACCCAGGTCGGCCCCTCCCTGAGGCCAGGAGCTGGCACACCGTCTGTGCCCTTGGCACCCATCACCATCAGTGCCTGCTCGGCTTTGGGGACCACCCAGGGGGCTGAGTCTCCGAGAAGAGGAGGTGCTCTTGTGGCCCAGGGGCAGCGCCTGCCTGGCGGGCTCTGCTGGAATGAAGTCCCCAGGGCTTCAGGGGGCCGCCCGCCCACTGGCCTGCCGGCATGAACGCAGGAAACAGGCTTCTTGCCACAGCCAGGAAGCCCCCACTCGCTCCTCCACAGGAGGCTGTCCTGGGAGGGGCCTGGGGACCTGCTGCCCAGGGCTGGGACAAGGTGCATCGCCTTCATCACACACCCAGGGAGCCGGGTCCAAAGCCATCTGCCGGGCTGGCTGGCCCACACCCTGCCCCTGCCCCGCCGGGAGCCCCGGCTCGTCCTGCTGCGGGCCTGCTGTGCACACCCTACTGAGCCACCCGGAAGAGGCCACCTCCCCCTGCCCCCCTCAGGCGTCCTCAGCAGGACCGCCACGCAGCAGGGACTGAGGCAGAGCCCGGGGACGCAGGGGTCAGCTCTCAGCCAAAAGCCACCAGAGGGACCGCCAGAGTGCAGGGGGTGTCGCTCCCGACACGGGGCCCCCGTCCTCCACCCGTCCTCCTCCTCAACTCCGGCCTCGGGCGCCCCCAGGGTGCAAGTGCACACGGGGGAGCCTTCCAGAAGCACCCACAGTGGGGGAATGTGGTCTGAGCACAGAGAAGCAAGAACCACAGCCGGCTGGCATCTGGGCTGCCCCCACCCCCAGGCAGAGCCCGGCAGGCCAGGCTCCAGGCATGGCATCCTGTGCCTTGGGTGGGAGTCCTGGACCCCCGCACGGCCCCTCGAGAAAACCCTCCTGCTGCACTAGGAGGCCTGAGGATGCTGCCTCCGGGCAGGCGGAGAGCAGCCCGCAGCTGCGGGAGGGATGGGGGGAGCCCTGCCCGTGGCCCCCAAGCCGGCTGAGGCAGGGCCGAGGATGGATGGCAGGTCCTTCTCCCAGAGAAGCCCATGGCTGTCTGCCGCAGGCGCCCCGGTCCTGCTGGGCCGCCTCCTCGCCAAGCCCCCTGAAGGCCCTATCGGGCCAGCCCCTTCGGTGCTCGGCTGGCCACCTGCCCGCAGCCACTTCCAGGCTTCCTGGAGCTGCTCTCTGACCTTCTCGGGGTGCTGCCCCGGCCCCGGCACGGGCTGTGGGAAGACGGCCCTCCCCCCAAACAAGGTCCCTCCACGTCCGGCCTCAGACTCTTCCCGACCCCCCCGGCCGGGAAGGACCTGGTGCACGCCCCGCGCCCCGCACGCCACCAAGGCCCACTCACACGTGCTTTTGGACCAGCAGCTGGTTCCAGACCTCCACCACCAGGCCGTCAAAGTGCTGGCCCTGGAAGGACAGGGGCAGGTGGGCAGGGCTCCAGGAGGAGGAGCTCCTGCCTGTGGCAGGCAGAGCCAGCCCTGGCTTCCCCCTCCCGACTGCGGGCCCAGGCAGAGAAGCTGCAGCTCTTGGTCCCGGCTACTCGCGTGCCTCCCCAAATACCCCCTGGGGCCCCGAAGGGCTCTCCCTGCCCTGGAGCCTGGCACCGGCCTGGGTGATGCGTCCCCCGGGAGGGCAGCCCCTGCACCTGAGACGCATGTGGTCAGGAGGGAGCCCCGGGCATCACCTTGGCCACCTGGACGACGGTCCTGCTGAGCTCCTCAATCTCATCCTCGCTGTCCAGGACGCTCTGAAAGTCCTCGTACGTCCAGTCCTCGAACCGGAGACGGGGCACTGGGGGCAGACGCACAGACTGTGACCCTCCTTGCCGGCCTGTGGCCTCCAGAGCAGAATGACCACCACCAGTAGCCGGGTGGGCCCCCCGCTGCCACATGGCCTGGGGAGGGAGGGGCACGGGCGGTGCGGGGGACGCAGACGTTGACCCTTTCCTCTCTTTACCCACCAAGTCCCTGAATGCCCAGACCCCAGCTTGTCCGGCTCCTTGTTGCCCGGCTCTCACTGGACCATCCTCCACCAGCTCCCCGTGAAACGAACTGCAGGTCCTCTCCCAGCCCCGGCCGCCCCCCAGGCCCCAGTGTACTTGGCAACGTGTCCCTCCCTCACCGGCCGTGAGCTCTAGAATGGGCAGGGCAGGTTGAGCGTCACCCCTGGGCACGGCCCCCAGGAGAGCTCCATGAACCCTCAAGGGTGAATGGAGAGATGGGAGGGCAAGGCCACAGGGGAAGGGGCTGGCCTTGCTGGACTGAGCAAGGTGGGCAGCAGGGCCACTGGGGTCCGGCTGGACCGAGGCCATGAATGCTGGGCTGGGCGGCCTCGTTTCTGATCTGTCAGAAGAGGAACCAACACACTAGGTAGCGTGAGCAGGCAGGTGTGAAGACCCTGGGTCCCTCCCCTACCCAGCGCGCTCCAGGACCTCCACCTGCTGGGGTGGGGCCTAAGGGCCCACAGCCCTGACCCCCCGGGCCCACTGGACTCACCTATGCGCAGGCCCTTGGCTTGTTTCCTGACTGCCCGCACCCACCCTGTGGGACATGGAGAGGACGGTCAGCGTGGGGGTACAGCCCCCTCTCCTGCCCCCCGACCTGACCTCCCCCAGGAGGAGGGCCTGTGGGCCCAGCGCAGGAGCACAGAAGGGAGGCGGCTGGAGAGTCTGGGGTCCTGCGCCTCCCCCACCCCCACAGAGCAGCCAGGGCTGGGAGCAAGTGGCCGCACCAGGGCCACCACCCCAAGGGGCCTGGCCCTTCTCTCAGAGTTGAGGGCACCAGAGAGCAAGAGCTGACGCTGCCCAGCTGTCCTCTGACCCGCGGGCCCCCCAGAGTCAGGGAACCCCGCTCTGGCCAACACGTCCTCTCTCTGAAAACAAAGGGGGAAACACCCGAGTAAACTCAGGTACAAACATGGCTGTCAGGACAGCCAGACCCTCGCCTCCTCCCAGGCACTGTCCTGGATGCCTCCCCCATAGATCCTCCCCGGGACGCCATGTACAAACTGCTGAGGGAAAACAGGGATGCAGCTGAATGCCAGGCAGGCATGACACTCAAGTACACTCACATGCAGACTCGCTTGTCTTTACACACACACACACACACACTCACATTCACTCTCCCAGACCCCCAGGACGGGCACAGACAAGCGATGGTGTCAGCACCTTGGTCTACGTCGTCCAGGCCCGTGACCTCGAACATCTCGCGGCCATGCCTCCTCAGCTGCAGCCACACGGGGGCGACATGGGTGAACTTGCCCCCGAAGATCTTGGCGACATCGTAGCCGTGTCGGTTCCACTGGCAGAGGAGAGAACGAGTGAGCCTGCTGGCAGCGGGGGCCAGAGGGCACGACCACCTCCAGAGGGGGCTCTGCAGGGCCGCCCGCCTCGTGCGCAGCAGGACTCTGCCATGACCCTGGTCCCTCTGCTGGGAGGCATCACTTCCACCGCTCCCTCAGTGAGAGTGCCAGGGGAGGTGAGGATGCAGACCCGAGCAGCCACCCTGCCCTCAGGGTCTGCCATCCACCCCCGGCCCGGCCTACCGGCGTGACGTAGCCCAAGACGTCCCCGGCGAAGTGCTTCTTGTGGGCCTTGGCCAAGCAGTAGCTGCGGTGTTCAAGGACGACGTCCTCGGCCCTGAGGTCCGTCACCACCAGACCCCGCTCCTGGGCGGGCTTGCCCGAAACCTGAGTCTGAGATGGGAAGGCAGGGAGGACGCGGTCAGGGCGTGTCCCCAGGCTGAGCCCCAGGGCAGCAGCGTCCTCTCAGTCAGCAGGGACCCTGTCCCAGGACCAGCGGTGCTGACCGAAGCCCTCAGGGGAAGGCCATCAGGTGGGGTGGACAGTCCCTGAACACTCACCCTGCCTCCCTGGGCCCTCCCGGAAACCCGCACAAAGACACAGCCACACTTGGCAGAGCTCGACTGAGTTGCCCCGTGAAGCAGGGAGGAGCGCAGGGGTCGAGGGAGGGAACCGGGGCCACGGGCAGAGCCACGAGCCCAGTGGGGCAGGCCTGCCCTCGGGCCCCAGCACCAGAAGCTGCTCCCCCTGAGGCCGGCCAGCTGGAGCCCCGAGAGGGACGGTGCTGGCCTCCCAGAGGTGAAGCTCCCGGCGCACAGCCCCCAGTGGGCAAGGAGGTACGATGGTCAGCCCTCTGGCAAGTCCCCAGACCACCAACCTTCTCCTGCAGCGTCTTCGAGGCAGCCTTTTTGGCATCTGACTTCGAAAGGGTGGCGTGCACAGAGCTGCAGGCCAGGGCAAGCCAGAGCGTGCCGAGGAGTGCCCGCATGCTGAGCGGGCCGCAGCAGGGTCTAACCTCGGGGTCCAGGGGGCTGCAGAGAGACAGAGCCCGTGGAGACGCTGGCAGGTGGGTGTCCCGCCTGCCTCCTGGAGCTCTGGTCCTGACGGGGCCGGGGGCCTCCCGGCACTAAGCCGGGCGCCGAGCCAGCCCCGGCAGCCGGAGTCCAGCAGCCAGCATCGCCGGCCCGGCTCCCCCAGACACCTGGGAGGCCTCCCTGGCGCGGGCCCGGAGCCGCCCCACTGCCTCAGGGCTGCCCCAGCCACAGCCGCCGGCCGGGCAAAGCTTGGCCGCCACCCTCCACGAGCAAGCCGGCCGGCCGGGCAAAGCTTGGCCGCCACCCTCCACGAGCACAGAGACACTCTGGCTACCAGCTACTGGCTTGAGTGTAAGACCTCAGAGCCGTGCAGAGGACAAGAAAACCTGCCTGTGTAGGTAAACTTGGGGCGGAAGCTGAACAGAGGGATGCTTTTCCACCTAAATCAGCATCAGTAGAAGCTACTAGCAAAATGTCTACATTATGCTACATAAAAACGTGACCCTTTCATTTAGCAGATAAAAAACCGGTTTAAAGAAATAAAACACAAAACAGTAAAACACTTGACAATGAACTTCTACTCTGTTTCTATAGATGACATACAAATATCTCATACAAGTTAAGAAAAAACACTCCCAATAGGAAAAAAAAATCACTCTGTAAAATGCAGAAAAGACGTGAAGAAGTGTAACACACAGAAACACCCCATAACACAGACCCCTCACAACACACAGACCCCCTCAAGCCCCCAAAAGAGCATCTCGGCTCTCGGCTTCACCAGCAACCAAAGGAACGGGCGCTGAGATGAGGCAGCATCACCACCCCCACTACCTCCCCGCCTCCCCGCTGCAAGGATTATCAGGATGACACAACCGCAAGGACCGGGGCAGCTTCACCCCCAGAGCTGTTCCTGGGAATCCAAGTTCAGGTGACAACCTGGTCACAAATACTGTGCTTTCCAATCGGTGTTTCCTTTTCTTCTTTTATAAAATTCTACTTTGGGGGACTTATTGTCTACATGGGAAATGCTCGAAGACACTCACTGCAGCTGTTCAAACCCCACACTCCCAGACGCTGGCATCCTGAGGGCACCGCAGTGCTCACAACCCCCCAGTACAAATGTCACAACATGCACACGCAAAGCACGATCGTGTCTTTATTGAATCTCTCAGACGACTGTGCCCACAGCAAGGAGGGAAGAGGACGCTAAGTATATGTGCAGGCTGCCTGGTGTCCAGTCGCTCTCTTTCCCTGGACTTCCCCACTGGACTCTCATCCTACCAGCACCACCACCCCGCCTCCGCCTCCACCTCCTTTCTGGGGACAGCTGGGCAACACGCAGGGCCGGGCCACGTGCACTCCTTGTTGAGGTTTTGAGACAGTTGGTGTCAGAGTCTGTCGGTCAACGGTGTCTCAGTCCCCTCTCAGCCTGATCAAGGTCCAGCTGGTCCAGAGGAGACCCTACAGGCAACCCAGGCCCTTGCCCATTGGGCAGACACCCCTGGGGACACCAGAGCCCTCGCCAGGCAGGGTGTGCCCTGTTGAGAGACGGCAGAGCCAGGCCCATGGCAAGCCCTGGGCCTCTACCACCAAGACCTCCTGGCCCGGAGCTCACTCCCCTCACCCCTGCAAACCTCCCCCTTAGCCTACAGTCCTGCACAGACAGCACACACCTGGTCTAGGCTGTCACCGCCTGGGACCTTCAGGACAGGGCCTGGGTCGGGGAATCCAGGAGTCTCCCTCATCCCACTGCCCCCAGACAGAGCGGCACCCCTGGCTGATCACGTGCTCTTGAGGGGGGTGGGGAAGGATATGGAGACTCAGGCCTGATTTGCCACCCTCTGTCCCCTCCCGGCCATAAGATCCATCCAGGACGGCAGCCTCTGCCACCCAGGCCCAACACTGGCCCCTTGCCACCACGGCCGGGGGCCTGGGCTCCTCCTCGGCCTCAGCCTGGTGGTGGGGGCATGCAGCCCAGAACCATCTGGTGCTCCCTTGGCGGGGCTGAGACTGTGACTGCTGAGCTGTAAGGGGCCAAGCCTGCAGGGCATCCCATCTTCAGCCCTGGCCCCGTCAGGCCTCTCACAGCTGTGGGTTCCTCCCTGGCCCCCGGGTGGAGGTCAGGGCCCCCAAGAATGGAGCAGGAAGAGAAATCAAGCAGCACCTGGTCCCCTAGGAACCACTCAGCCGTCACCTGGAGGCACATTCTGTGGCCCTTCCCAGCTTCTGCCCATGGCCAGCTGGTCTGCCTACTGTCCCGCCTGCGTTGAGACCCCTCTGCCCACCATCTGCCTGCCCTGTGACCTGTGCTTTCACACCACGGGAAAGAAGAAAGAGGAAAGGATGGAAGTGGGGCTGATCTGGAGGAAGGAAGATGGGCCCTGCTGGCTTCTGCAGCTGGTGCAGGGGCAACAGAAGCAGGCCAGGCGCAAGTGGGCCGGCATGGCCACAGACCCCTGCAACCCTGTGCCCGCTGGGCCAGCTCTGGCGTGCGGCTCCACAACACTGGGGGAAGCACTGAGATCCCAGCTGCTCACACGTGCAGGGCTGCTCTCCAGTGGCGTGGAACTTTCCAGATGGGCTGCCTCACTGGGTAGTGGGGACATGGTGTTTGGGTCCAGCAAGGTGCGGTGTCCCTGGGGGCTCTGTCAGTGCCTCTGAGAGCCAACTCTTCCATCACACTCTCCACAGAGCTTAGCACACACATGAGTGTCCCTAGTGCGCATGTGTCTTGAGTGCACAGGCAGAAAACAGCTGATCGGTGCTAACCCTGCTCTGGGATGCACTCTCACGTTCTCCGTTTCCTTCTAAAGAGACTAGTTTTAATCCAGCCAACTTGTCTCTGCTCAGCGATGTGCAATTTTGAGAGATGCTGACCGCTGCGCACTGAGTGACCAACACCCACACCCGGCGGGACCCAGAGCCGACTGTCCCGTGAACAGAACGGTTTCGTCCTCACATCAAGTAGTGTCCATCAGATTCTCGCCGGTGGGCACAAATTTTGGGGCCAACTGTGTTCCTGCGGGGAGGGCCGAGGGTGCTCTTGGAAATGGATGCAGTGTAAGAGCAGAAACCCAGCCCTGGCAGAGGAACACTTGCGACTCTGGGGTGCCGGCCACACGGCGGGTCGCAGATACCGTCGTGTTCCCTCGGCGAAGACAGGAAGCCCAAAACAGCCTCTGGGCGCAGCGGGAGCGGGCGACACTAGCTCGCCGGGGCCCGGGCCCGCCGCCCCGGCCTCTGGCCTCGGATCTCGGCGGCGCCCTCCAGCGCGAAAAGGCCGCCGCGTCCCAGGGCTGCGGCGGAGGCCGAGAGACAGCGGGCCGAGTCCCGGTTCGCGCCGCCGCCCCGCGTCCGTCACACCCACTCACACCCCCTCACACACAACCGCTCGCACCGCCTCTCAGCCACACGCGCCGTCACGCCCATTCACCCTCGCGCCGCGCCTCCGGCTTTCACACGCACGGCCCGCAGGCTCGCTCGGCGGAGGAGAACCGAGGCCACGGGGTCGAGGCGCTGACGCCACCCCAGGCCGCCACGGCGCCGCTCACCTGCATGTCCCGGAGACGCGCCGGCCCCTGGAGTCGGCCGGAAGACCTGCGCAAACGCCACCGGAAGTCCCGCCTCTGAACGCCTGAGCGCCGCCGCTAGCGCGCCACGCCAGCTTCCGGGCCGCCGCCGCGCAAGGCACGCTGGAGGGGGCGCCGGGCCGAAGAGGGGGCCTGGTGACAGGCCAGGGCGGGACGGGGAGGGGCGGGGGTTGGTGGGGAGGGCCAAGGGGAGGAGTCTGGGCTGGCAGGGGCGGGGCAGGGGAATAAATGGGCGGAGCGAGGTGGAGGGTCGGGACCGAGGCGGGGCGGAGCCTGGCGGACTGGGTGGGGCTAACTCTCGCTCTAGGGGAGGCCGAGGGGCGGGTCGGGCAGGGCGAGACAGCGAAGAGGGCGTGGAGGAAGGGCCCGCGCCGGGTCGGCCGGGTGGAGACGCGAAAGCCGGGAGACCCCGAGGGCTGTCGCGCGCGCCGACCGCCTCCTTCCGTGGGCCTCGGGTTCTCATGGGAACCTAACGCTCGCGCTCGAGAGGTGGCTCAGAGGTCTGGGCTCCGGCGAGCGCACGTCCGGCGGAGGACCGTTTGCGCGGCGACCACGTGGGTGACCACTAGGGAGCGCCGTGGGCTCCAGGACCTCTGCCCGGCCAGGCCGGCGGCCGGGAGGACCGCGCAGGCCCGACCTCCGGCGTTCTCTCCTGGGTGCGGGAATCGCCTCTCCAGACTTTGCTCCCACTTTCTGGTGGCTGCCCCCCCAGCCTGGCCCTCCTCTGTCAGCCCCCACGTCTCCCTGGGTGAGCGCTTCTTACTCAGTCTTTGGTTTTGGTCGTTATCCGGGGGCCCGTGGTGCCCACAGTACTCTCTGGAGTAAGGACACATGCTCCAGATCCTCTGGATAGGCCCTGGACATCGTAAATCCCAGGAATCCTAGAGTCAGCGCCCTCTCTGTCCCTGCCTCTGGGAAGGGCGGCACTTCTCGCATGTGGCTCCTACAAAGCTGGAACCCTCCAGAAGCTAACAGTAACCGCCCCCCCCCCCCCCCAATCCTAATCTCAGCTCCCAGCTAGGCGAGTCAGTGCACCTCTGAAACAGACTGAACACACAGTCACAAGCAGTTTTGGTGCTGAAGCATTTGACACCTGATACAAGCTGGCGGACCCCCGCCATCCAGAGTTGTTCACAGCACAGTTTCCTGCAGAAAACCACACAGCCCATCCCTGCTGGGCCAGTCCTGACACCCGCCCCATGGCTGTTTCCCCATTTCTGCTGTTCAAGAGGCTTCTCCCTGAACTGAACTTTGTTCTCTTTCTTCCTACTCAGATTTCCTTCTTTCTCTTCCTCCTATTCCTGCCAGCTGACCCCCACAGTCTTTCCAGGGGATGGGGGCTGGCGAGTGTGCTAAGGTATGTCACATACCGACCGTCAAGTGTCAGGTTTAAGAGAATCTCAGCCAAATGTTAGGATTTACAGATTAAGTGAAATCTGAACACATTGGGTCGTTCATGTTTCTGGAAGATTTGCAACAATTTGGGGTTCACCATTTTAAATATTTAACCTATTGAGTATATGAGTTCTTGAAGTACCTGATATTTTGTTGTCATTTCAGACAAACTGGAGCACATAAAGGGAAATAAAAGATAAATTAGGTCTGAAGTGTTGAAAATGCTTAATTAACTGAGTTTGTAGATGGCAGAGGCCCCTTAAAAATGACTATAAAATCTGTTCGGTTTATAAAGGGGATAACAGGGTTTGTAAAATTGAACTTAGCAAGTTAAAAAATGGAGCTTTGAAATTAGAACATTAATAAATCGAATCCCAATTATTTAAATTTAATATAAGTCTGAGTATAACCCTCTTGTTCAGCCCCTAATCTCTCACCCCCAGCACCCATGGCTCTCCCCGTTGCCTGAGGAGCAGCCTGCCCTGTCAGGTCCCAGCTCTGAGCGACGAACCCAGGTCTGGCCTACCTTGCCCCCCACCTGTTGCATAGGACACCAGAGGACACACCAGGGCAGATGGAGGCCCGGTGGAGCAAGAGGGCCTTCAGAGGCCAGCCCTCCTGCCACCACTGGGCCCTCCCCCCATGTTCTGGGACACTGCAGAGCTAGAGCACCCCACCTCGGGGGCACCCGGCAAGCTGAGGAGCCCGAGTCTGAGGTGGCCTCTCCAGGGTGACCTTGAGGGCATCCCTGACTTACTGTGGGAACCCAATGCGTGTAGATACCCCGAGAGCACCCACACCTGGTTGCCGGCGGTGCCTGGGGGCCATGGAGCTCCTGGGGCTGGGATCGTGTCTCCCCTGGGCCGGCCAGTGCCCCCAGGGGCGGGGGCAAGGGGGGTGCCTGTCCTCGCCAGTAGCCCCGAGGCGCCCTTCACTTGCCGAGTCAGCACAGGGTAAGGCGTTCCTGCCAGGGGCCCCCCCGTGCCTCGTCCTGTTTTAATGGGGTCACCCCACGGGCAGGGCACAAGCACGATCACCGTCCTGTCACTTCTGGGCCTCAACCTGGTCCTCAGGCCGGAAGGCCAGGAGGAGGGACGCACGTCCGGATTTCCTGCCGCCCGCCCTCCCCTGCTTGTGGATGGAGCCATCCTCCCTGGGTGCCGGGATGAGCAGAGTCCAGAGGGAGAGGGGCGAGGGTGTGTCACGTGGGGCAGAAGCTTCCAGATGCGGCTCCAAGGCCAGCACAGCAGGCCTTCCATTCCTGGGCCCTGCCCCACCTCACCTGGCCGGGGCGTCACATACTGACCGGCACGTAGGTGTCCAGCTGCCCCAGGGTAGGCTTCTGCGACTAGCAGGGGGCAGGGCACGGGGTTGTGTGCTTGTGGTGTCGCTCCTGGGTTTTAATGCTTTTCGCCACCCCACGCCCCACATGAAAATACCTACAGCAAGGGTGAGACGGTACGTGAATCCACAAAGCCAAATGGGCAGCCTGTCTTGGGGGCTATAGAGGGGCACCTGGAGTGGTGGACGCTGGCAGGCTGTCCACGTCCCCATCTCCAGCCCCTGTGACGCAGGCCTTGTTTGGAACTAGAGTCTTCATGGATGTGAGTAAGAAGCTCAGGACGAGGTCATCTTGGACCTAGGGGGAGACCTCAATTCAATGACTCGGATCCTTAGGAGAGGGAGGAAGATCAGAGACAGACATGGGGGAGAAGGCCATGGGCTGAGGGAGGCAGAGATGGGGTCCCACATCCCCCAGCCGAGGCTGCGGGCAGTCCCTCGAAGCTAGAAGATGCAGGAAATGGAGTCCTGCATATCACCTCCAGGAGAACCCACGCTGCACGCACCTTGACCATAGACTTCTGGCTGCTAGAACCATGAGAGAGTCCATTGATGCCGTTCCAAAACCATCAGTTAGTGATGATTTGCTACAGCACCTGGAGGAAACTCTTACGAGTTAGTCGCTCAGTCACGTCCAACTCTGCAACCCCATGGACTGTGGCCCACCAGGCTCCTCTGTCCATGGAATTCTCCAGGCAAGAATACTGGAGTGGGTTGCCATTCCCTTCTCCAGGGGATCTTCCCAATCCAGGGATCGAACTTAGGTCCCCTGCATTACAGGCGGATTCTTTACTGACTGAGCCTATGGTGGTGCTAAAGGTCTGGAGTGATATTTTTAGGTATATTTTCTTTCCCAAAGCTGTTTTTCTCAGGCTAATCTTAAAATTGGCATAGATTCCATCAGCTCACCCTTAGAGGAAGGAGCTGCAATGGGTGAGTGTAGGCCTGAGACACCCCAAACCGTTCAAAACAAGAGGCCTGTTCAGTGATAGCTGACTGCCTACTGGCCTGGCTGATCTGTGCTTTAAGGTCAAGGGGTGTATTTTTCAACAGGTACCTTACGGAGACTGAGAGTCATAGGTTCCTGCTCTGGATTTGAACGGGATGCCTGACCTGGCAGCATCCTGGAGGGGGGCAGGATTTTCACAGCCGCCTCTCCCACCCCTCCCCTGGTCAGTGTCATCAGCTGCATTGCTCCTGTAGACCATGAGTGACAGTGCTCGTAAGGCCTCTTCACGCCCAAGGGGAATGGATGTGAAGTGGTCTTTGGGGACTTTTGGGTGTTTTGGAGAGTTTGTTTTCATTTCTTTGTTTAAAGAAAGGTAGACTGCTACAAGCAGCACCTCATTTGTGTGTGTCTGGCATCTTGGAGGGCCTTCCCAGGTGGCACTGGTGGTAAAGAACCTGCCTGCCAATACAGGAGATGTAAGTGATGCAGGTTTGTTCTCTGGGTTGGGAGGATCCCCTGGAGGTGGGCATGGCAACCCACTCCAGTATTCTTGCCTGGAGAGTTCCATGGACGGAGGAGCCTGGCAGGCTACAGTCCATAGGGTTGCAGAGTCGGACACAACTGAAAGGACTTAGCACGCATGCAGGCAGTCTTGGAAGCTTGACTACCCTAAATTTTCCTCCAAACAGATCTCAAGAGCTTGTTTGGTGGTTCCAGCAGGGGCCTACAGCTACTCAAATCTCTTGACCCCAGAACAGTCCCCTGCTATTGGGGGAGGTTGTCCTCTTCGAATGAGCATGCAGCTTTGGGAGGGAAGCATATGGAGCCACGGAAGAGGAAGGGGACACCTGCCCAGCCAGCCAGATCAGCCAAATCAACCCTGGTGATCAGTGGGGTGACAGATGTTGCAACCAAATGGCCCTCGAACGTGAAGTGGTCTTGATGACAAGCCACAAGACAGATTGGGGGGCCATCCTGACATGTCCCAGGCCCCGAGAGCATGAGAATCCCACTAACACAGCACCCTCAGGCACGGGAACAGGTGTACCAGCATCTAGGTTTGGCAGGTGTAACAGAGCCCCAGTCACAGCAGCACAAACATGGACAGCTTGAGGGCTCACGCAGTGCAGGGGTGGTCTGAAATGGACCTCCAGCCATCAGAACCGTGCTCCAGGTAGGAGAATGGAAAAGGAGGGGCAGGGGTTCAAAATCAGGTCTCTAAAAGTGCTCATGTCACCATCTGTCCTGGGTTGAATTATGTCCTATGAAGTTTCACATGCGGAAGTCCTCAGTCCCCGTAGCTCTGATGGGACCGCGGAGTTCATACTTGGTCCCTGGTCCAGTATGATGAGTGTCTTTGTAAAAAGGGGAAATTTGGACACAGACAAGTGTCGAGGGAAGATGGTATGAGAGACACAGACTGAAGACAGCTGTCAATAGGCCAAGGACAGAAGTCTGGACCAGATCCTCAGTCTCAGCCTCGAAGGAACCAGCCCGCTGACACCTTGATCAACAGCGTCCAGCCTCCAGAACTGGGAGAGAGCACAGCGCTGAGTTCCTTTCTCCAGATCATATGCAGGAATTTCCAGCATCTCGACCCTGTTTTAACATGGGGCCACCGAGTCCAGCTTCCAGACCCTCAACTGCCCAGGCAGACTCACGTGACCCAGATCACCGAGTGCCCCTTGGGATTGGTCTGCTCTCTCAGAATCCATCCTGCACACATTCTGCAGAGTTCTGCCGACAGACACTCAGCTTCCTGCAGTTCTCCTGGAGGCCAAGCCTTTGCATCGGGTGTGACTGTGTGTTGGGACCTCACTCTCCCCAGGATGGGGCTGGGTCAGGGGGCTTTGGGGGGAACTGACTTTTCTCCTACAAAGTAACCTCTTCAAGGGATGTCATGACTGGGTCTTCAAGTGTGGGGACAACGTTGTCTAATGAGGGGAAAAGGGCTGTGGAGGGTGACGGGGCTTCTGGAGAATAGGGCTGGCATTGCCTGGGCTGCCCCACCCCCCACCCACCTTCCCTGGGCCCCAGCCGGGGAGGCCACAGGTTCACCTTCCATGTCTTTTTCACAACAACCCCAATCTGCTGTGTGTGACTCTGGGGTGTTTAATGGCTACGAGAGAGGAGACGGGCCACCACAGGCAGGTTCCCACCTCCCTGAGATGAGCAGTCAGGGGCTGGAGCTCATCTCTGTCCTCCAGGTGGTCTGGCTTCCTTCAAAGTCCCCACCCACCACAGAGTTCTTGAATTCCTCATGCCCTGCCTGCAGGCCAAGCCAGGGGATTGTGCTCAGTCCCTGGAGCCTGACTGAGCAATCATTCCTGGTGAGCACAGGGGGCCACGAGGGCCCAGGACACTACATCTTGTCCCCGAACACGCAGGGATGCTTGGACCTCCAGTCCTGTCTGGGCCAGGATGCCAACCCCAATTTTCTGGAAGGTTGTTGTCAGCAACCCCCTCCAGACATTATGGGAAGGAAACTGGGTCACTCGTAAAACTGACAGGCCCAGGTACAAGCAGGATGACTCTGGACACCACGGGCCCCGGCTCTGGGCTCCCCCGCCTTTGTTTCTCCTTCAGAATGCAAGGGCCTCCAGCTCCCACTGGCCTCGGAATGAGGAGGACCTGGGAATCAGCACTGGCTGGTCCAGTTCACACAGCCCAAGAAATGGAGCCCTGCATGTTGCTGAAAGGTTAAGTGACCTGACGGGCAGGTGAAGGCGCGGCAGGAAGCAGAAGGCTGGGGTCTTTCTCATGGCCAGTGGCGTGTCGTATCAGTCTCTGGACACTGACCCCCCCCGCCCCACTAACATACACACTCATGTGTAGGGATCCCAGGAGGTGTAGGAAGCCCAGGGTCAGCACTGAGGGAGGTGTGATGCCTGTCCATCTCTAAGCCTGTCCTCCAAGAAGCCCCTCTACTGCGGGCTGAGTTTGCCATCTGTCCATGCCCCGCATGAGCCCCTGCAGCCTCATGGCACTGCCCTGCCCTGTGAATGGCTGCCAGAGGTGGGTCATGTTCTCCTCGCCTGAGTCCCCTGGCCTAGCTGTGGTAGGGTTATCTCCTGGCCTGGGGAAGCAGGCCCTAGGGGGTCTCTCCTTCAGGAAGCCCTCTGCGGGCCCCGCCCTTTGGAAGTTTCGGAAGGTGGTGAAATTGCTGCCTTATATGGATACGGGTCTCCACAGGTTCTGGCTTCCCCCAGGAGTCCCAAAGGACAAGAGCTTGGGTCCTTGGTCCACGGGAGGGAACCTGCCCCTTGTTCTCCTAGCCAAGGTGCATCAGGGGCCGGCCACTTACTGGGAAGTGAGCCGGGGTGGGTCTGGGCTGGCATTGGAACCTCTCTCCGGACAGACACAGGTTACAGGGCCTGGATAACCCCAGACGAGGAAGGATCCTCTTCAAAGCCATCCCACTTCGTGAAGGAGAGCTTGGCAGGGCCACCTGCTCTCCAGACAAACTCCTGGGGGTCTCTGCCTGCTAAGGCCCCTGCAGTGCACGACGGGTGGGCCCTGGTCCTCACCTCCACCTCCCTAGGCTGCGGAGTTGCGTGGCGGCAACAGTGGCAAAAGGTGCGGTTGGTTACCAAGGAACTGGATTCAAGACTGAGCCGTGGTCCCCTGGTGCTGTCAAGGAGTGGGGGGAAGCCGTCTCTTCAGGGCTCAGTCTCCTCTTTGTAAAGAGATGGGCCGGCTCCGGACGGCCGGGTGATGGACAGCTGGCCCCGGAGCTCTGGGTGGGGACGGGTCCCCCGCGGGAGGCCGGCGGCAAGCGCCCCCAGAGCCGGGCGGGGAGGGCGGTGAGAGGGTGGGCGGAGGCGGGGCGGCGGGATGGGGCGGCTGGCGGTGGGGGTTCTGCGCGGCGGAGCCGGGGGGAGCGAGTCGCGCGGCTTCGGAGGCCCGAGCTCTCCCGCCTCTGCCGGGCCCTCCCGCGGCGCAGGTCTCCCGGGGCCGCCGCCCGGCCGAGCACGCCCGCTGCCGCCGTGCTCGCCCCCGCTGCCGACGTGCTCGCCCCCCGCTCCCGGCCGCCGTCGGTCGCCGCGCGAGCGAGCGTGCGTGCGTGCGCGCGCGCGCGCGGCGGCCCCGACAGAGGTGCTGGAGCCTGAGGCGACTGGGCTGAGGCGGCTCCTCCCGGCTCCCGCTCCTGCGGCCCGCTGCCCTCTCCTTCGCAGGGCCCGCCAGCCCAGGCCGCTCCTCAGGCCCGAAGATGCCGGCCGTGTCGAAGGGGGACGGGATGCGGGGCCTGGCGGTCTTCATCTCGGATATCCGCAACTGTGAGTGGCTGGGCGCCGGACCGGCCTGCGGGGGGCGGGGGCGCAGGCCGGGGTGAAGGGCTGGCCGGCAGTGGCCTTCCGGGGCTGGGGTCCGGGACGCGGACCTGGAGGGCGAGGGTCCTGGGGTTGGGGGCTGGGGTCGGGGCGCGGACCTGGCGGGCGGGGGTCCTGGGGTTGGAGGCTGGGGTCCGGGGCGCGGACCTGGAGGGCGGGGGTCCTCGGGTTGGGGGTGGAGTCCGGGGCGCGGACTTGGAGGGCGAGGGTCCTGGGGTTGGGGTGTGGGGTCCGGGGCGCGGACCTGGCGGGCGGGGGTCCTGAGGTTGGGGCTAGGGTCCCGGCCGGGGGTCCTGGGATTGGGGCTGGGCTCCCGGGCGCAGACCTGGCGGGCGGGGGTCCTCGGGTTGGGGGTGGCGTCCGGGGCGCGGACTTGGAGGGCGGGGGTCCTGAGGTTGGGGCTGGGGTCCGGGGTGCGGGCAGCGTTCAGCACCCGCGCGAGGGGCCTGGCTCCGCTGAGGGGCTTCTAGCGAAGCCGCCCCTCCCCAGCATGATGTCACCCCGAGCCGTCTTTCCAGTAATGGAGCATTTAACCCAGCGTTTTCCAGAATAGTGTGCATTTTTCACTGGGAGTGGGAGTAGCGAAACCCGCGTCTTGCGGGGAAGCAGCTGCTTGACCCGGGTCCTGGCGGCCTGTTAGGCCCTGATTAAAGTGACTCGTTCCCAGGGAATCGGCCCCGGGCGGTGGGGTGGGATGGCCTAGGGGAAATGCTGCTCTGCCCGCTGTCTTCGGTCAGGGACCGCGTTCTCAGCGACGTGTGCCCCTCACAGCGTGGAAAAATCCGCACGGAAAGGTGAACACGGCCGGAGGCGGGGGTGCACCGTTCGTCCACCAATACATTTAACTTTGGTGTGCAGAAACTCCTGTTGATTTTCAGGTAATGTTCCCTTCGTTTGGGCTTCCCTGTGGCTCAGATGGTAGAGTCTGCCTGTGGTGTGGGAGACCAGGGTTCGATCCCTGGGTCAGGAAGGTCCTCTGGCAAAGGAAATGGCAACCCACTCCACTGTTCTTGCCTGGAAAATCCAATGGGTGGAGGAGGCTGGCAGGCTACAGTCCATGGGGTCACAAGGAGTTGGACATGACTGAGCGACTTCACTTTTCCTTTTATTTAATTAAGAAGTAAAACACACAAGACCAGTTTCTTGTCTGGCTTTAATTCTCATTTTTTACCCACCAGACATTTGTAGATATCAGTGGTTGACGTTCACTGTACATTTTTTAAAAATGCGTGTAACC